TGGGCTCGACGTGCTTTCCAAAATGGAAGACGTTCCCACTGACGGGTCCGACAGACCTCTCAACAAGATTGTCATAAAAGACGTGGTGGTCTATCTGGATCCGTTCCAAGAGTTCCTCAAGGAAAAGAGCGAGATCGAGAATCTGGAAAAGAAGAGGCAGGCAATAGCCTTGAGTGGAGGTACCGAAGACGACAAGACAACGTGGACGGGCAAGCGGATCCGAGCCGACGGCACTGTGGACAGTGGGAGTGCCGGAGCTGGCGTGGGCAAATACCTGAAGTCGCAGGGCTCCGCTGCCGCAGATACGGGGGCGGCCGACTTGGATACTTGGGAAGAACCGGCCAAGAAGAAGTTCAAAAGTGGCGGATTCGGCAATTTCGATAACTGGTGAGACATCGTGGCCGATTTAACGCTGATATAGTTAAAGGCTATGGGACGAAGAAAAGACATGATACCCCTTTTGACCATCATACTGCGCATCCAAAGCTACTTGGATCTTCTGCGCACCATCTATGTATATGTCTATTGATACAAAGGCAGCAAGCGATTCAGCCACGCCTCACTAAGCTCCCCAGATCTAAACGATCAAGTCGGACGGTATATGTGTCTGTGGCATCCGATTCCAGGATACACCAGACCACGGAATATACACCTCCTTGTCCCGAACCATGAGTGCCACTCCATGAGCTTGCATCAACCCCGACTCTTCGAGTATCGCTTTCAGTCGGTCGACGACAAAGTCTTTGACTTCTTGTGTACAACACGATGAAACTCCAACCAAGTACAGCGGCCACACAATCGTGTTGCTTGCGGAAGCAAGGGTCATGAACCGCTCGGCATCGTTGCTGCGGCCCTTCGCGTAGGTTGGGTCTTGCAGAGTTGGGCCATTGAAAGACCTCGGGCCTGGCGGCGTTTCAGCCACGGACGACGGCGAAGACGACGATGCAGAAATCGAAGGAGATCGCACAATTCGAGACGGAGACTTCGTTACTGGTACAATGGCTGACGGTGAGCCGCCGCCGCCGCCGCCTCCAAACAGAGCGTCTCTAAAATTGACAACGCCGAAATGTTGAGGAATGCTGGCCAACACAGTTTCGCAAAGTTTCTCCAACAATTCGACAGACTTTGCCAGCTGTAATTTTGCCTCGTACGGCCAGAGCATAATGTGTTGACCTTGAAAGCATTTGAAAAGCTCTCCGAGGATGGTCTCGTGTACCATCATTCTTATCGATCGGACGCCGTTCCAAGTCGCAGCCAGCCCCAGCGTGGCGTATACATCACAGCGGTGACCATCGAAAACGGATGGGTGTGATGTCGCAAGCCTCACAGATCTGTATCTCCACGTTTCAGGCAAATCGGCAATGACATCGGCAAAGTCTTGATCGACGCTGGACAGTTGGTTGATGATATCGGCTGTTTGGTTAAGTTTCCCGCTGTTAATGTCGTACCGCAGCTGCATGACCTTATATATGGGACCAGATAATCGCCAGCCAGGGTCAGTTCCGCCCGAAAGCATACCCAGCTGGTTCCGGAGGTCGATGAGAGACTGCGGCATGGGCATGTCTCTTTGCATACAGTTGATGAGGACGATCTGTGTCAGCATCATGAACATTCGTGCCCCCGCTCTAGTTGTGAACTGGCCGAGGCCTCGCATCTTGGCTAGAGCAGAGGCACCGTTGAGATGGTTTTGCCATGCTCTCACTGTCTGGTTGGTACGACCGCTCAACATTTCGTAGGTCCCCAACACGAGAATGGACAACATGGTGGTGTCCTTGACGGCTTCAACTGGGTCCCTTAGAGCATCATTTGTCATTTTGAGAGCGGCGCCGTAGCTCCGACGCGACCAGTCCATCATTTCTGCACACATTGTTAGGTGCGAAAGGCCTGCCAAGCCCACAGCAGCTATACTAGCCATCACGCCGTCCGCCTGTCGACTGGGCAGCATGCTGGCGGGGCGCCAGACATCAAAGATGAAGTCATAATTTTGATGGCAGGCATTCTCGTCCATGGAGACATAGCGAGAAAAGAAAAAGGCCGTGCCACGTTCCTGATATGAGGGCGACAAAGAGTACAGAGGCCTTGCGCGTGGTGCCATTGACCAAGGCCCGTCTTCGTCGTCATCGCTATCGGAGGAGGAGGATGACCATTGGATCTGCCGTGGCCGACGCCTAATAGTCATATTCTGCATCGTGGTTTCCATGGGACGAGGTGGATATTGGCGCCGAACGCTGGGTCTCACGGCCGTTCCAGGAGGACTCGGATCGGAGCTGTCGTGGTCGGTGCTTGCTATTACATTTTCGGAGGACGATCCGGCACTCGAGGCCTGTGCATTCTTTAATCGACCCCTTGCCTTCGTTTTGGCAGCTTTTTTGATGACGTGTGAACTCTCATCTCGGAACATGAGGTCGACGAGGTTTCGGTAGCCAGGACATTGTTGCTGTCGCTTCTCACACTGGCCACAGCCGGGCTCCTTTTGATCACACTGTTGGCATCGTCATTAGCCTAAAGTCAGAAGCCTCTCCCGCCGTCCGAGAAGACGTTGCCTCCCCGCCGACGTGCAAGAAACTTTTGGCAATCAACGACGAGAGCAGACCTAGCTGCACAAGTTGCGAAATGTCTACAACAAGGATAGGGAACTTACCCTGATCTTGCGCTCACGACAGTTGGAACAGCCTTTCGACGGCTTACCGCAGTAGACCATGCTGGAGACGCGGATATCTCTCCCAGAGCAGCCAAGAGGACCAGAAGAAAAAGACACAACTAAAAAAAGCCACGATGCGAAGTTGACGAAGGGCCAGTGTTGGGTTAAGAGCTGAGTAATGAGATGGATCGCTTCATGTGGGTGCCATGATCGGATCAGATCATGACACTGGATCTACTCCGTTATGCAATGGCGATCGAAGCGGGGAGGTGCGAGGCCAAGACGACTGGGCAGAAGATTTAATTTGGGGAGCAAACCGCGGGCAGCCCGATGGAAGAGGGGAGGGCAAAAAAAAAAACAAGACGGTCACATCCTCTCAACGGGAGAATCCTCCCTGGTCCTTTGGGGGGTCGAGAATGTGAGATGACGGACTGCGGCGGCGAGGAGGGGTGGCAGGTTGCCTTGATGTGGTCGATGAGGAGGGACAACGGCTGCAGTCTGCAATTGGACGTTGAACGTGTGAGTGGCACACGCTCGCACGCCTCGTTGTGTGCCTGAACCTGTGAAGGTATCCGTACGGCGAGCCGCGAAAGGTTCTGGACGACTGAAGGATGAGTGTAGAGAGGAGATGTGGGGGAGTGAGGAGACAGAGAGTTGAGGAAAGTGAGTGAGATTGGAGAGTGAGAGTGAGAGTGAGCCTGAGCCTGGCCTCCTTCTCCCTCCCGTCTCCTGTAAGGACGGGGAGACGACCTGAGAGCGGGATGTGTGTGCGTTATCGCCTTAGTCGCCTCTTCTTCGCGGCACCGGCACGCCGCACCAGCAGCTGTCATCTTTTGGTTTGCAGCAGGCCAGCAGCAGAAGCACCTCACTTTCCGCGGGTTGCACTGTTGCGCATCGTCTTTTTGGCCGCGTCTAGGCCCTTTCGGAACAAACGACCGACCGGGGGCTTCGCGGGACTGGAACCCCTCGGAGGAGCTACTGCAGTGACGGACAGTTCGTGAGCGCCGAACTGGGGCCTCCTGGGGGTCTTCTGGAGCCCAGTTAGGTGCCGAGGTTTGATCCATATTGCGTTTTTATTGATCTTGTTCAGACTTTTTGTCACCGGTCCCAACGGTCGAGCAGCAAATTACAAACCATCCGTCCGCGGTCCGGGGTCCTGTTGCCGCCTTTCCGTGTTTCTCGAATCTCTCTCGGGAACAATCCAACGGCCGTCCCCGATCGACCATCGGTCTGCACGTACCCCTTCTATTCCGGCATTATCCTCTATTGTATTACAGTCTCTGTGACTCGTCGTCGTCAACGCCAATTCCAGTCGAGACTTGAACGCGTGGAATGCCCTCAAGGAGAAGAGAGAGCGCATACGTACGAATCTTCGTACGAGTATCCGCATGTCGCCCATGTCACCTACGGGAATGGCTGCAGCTCGCGTGCGGCATGCATCGAATAGGGCTTCCAGCGGAGTTGAGGCCAGGGTTGGAATTGTTTTAGCTCCGCTTTCCCAGCCAAATGCCCAGCCCTTTCTCTACGAAATTAGTACGAATACAGCCTACTGTCGCCGGCTGCATGCTGATTTCTAACGGTCTCTCCCAATCCCGTTCTTCGTTCAATTCCGGTGGGATCCACGAGAAAGAGAGAGACCGAAAGACAGCGGCCTACACCTGCATGACTGGCCCACTCCTTCGCTTCCTTCAAGTTCCCTCTGGGATTCTGCATTCTGCGGTGCCCGCCGAAAGGTGACTGGTCGCTTTCCGGGGCGGCACGCCGTGATCTGGCAATCTGTCGGGTTCGCTTCCCTGTCGCAGCTCCAGAGGGGAAAGGGCTGAATCGAAAGCAAGCCCTGTCAACCATTTTCTTTGCTGTCAGAGGTGTCACCGCAGAAGAGACATGCGGATGCAAACCATCTGCCTACTATTGTGTCTATACTCTGTGCCATTGATTGGGTATTCTCGGAGGCCTCGTCACCAGTGACCGGGTCCGAGTCGACCAAACGCTGCGTTTCCTCCCGCTGCATTGGTCTACTACTGCAGAAAAAAGCAACGGGCCCTGAATGTTGTCTAAGACACGGACAGACTATTCGTTCAAGTTTCAACAGCGATTACGCCGCCAGGATTGGTGTTCCCCCATCGAGCCTTAGAAGGGCGCCCGAACGTCTGCCATGGCCAGAGACATGCGGAGCATTGCCGCCGGCGACACAAACAAAACAACACAAGTTCTGGTCGGGGCTTTAAGCTCAATATTTGATGAATTGATTAAGAAAGAATGATGATATGTGACATGTGATGGTTACATATGCGCACAACTGTCTGGTATCTACGAATATCCACGCCAAAATGCAATCCAATATCGATCGATCGACCTATTACACCAGGGCTTTCACACGGGCCCACAGCCTCTGCCTCTTGCTCTTGGTATTGCTCCGGCGGCTGCGAATGAGAGGGACGTATTAGACACAATTACAAATTCCTGAGGGGGGAGGGGGGTTTGCATCGAGATACGGATGCCGACCACTTACAGTTCCTTTTGCGACTGCGCTTCTTCCTTTTGCGGTTGCTTTTCTGACGTTGTCGCAGGAGCAGTTACAGCCTCTTTCGTTGCAACCTCAGTCGGGGCCTCAGCCGCAGCAGCAGTCGTACCATTGCCGCCGCCGATGCCAACGGTGAGAAGCTTCGGGTTGGAGTCGAACAGCGAACCGGACTGGTCGGTGCCGTTTGACGAGCTGACATCGTCGTAGGGGAACGCGTAGCCGCGGCCGTCAGGGCTGACCTCGTGACAAATGCGCGAGTAGTGGTTCGTCCGGACGTCCTTGTAGTAGTTGGCTACGCTTTCCCCCTCGGGCTGCCGGTCATTGATGAGCAGTGTCGACCGGTTAAAGGCCGCCGCGATGCGGGCGCCGATGGCCCCCATCTCAGCCTGGTTATTGGGGTACCCGCCAAACGGCCCCGTGCTGCAGCTGAAGATGTCGCGGGCGGCGGGCTGGGCAAAGGAGCCGACGGAGCCGAACGTCAGGAGATTATCGGAGCCCACGCGGCCCTTGACGTCGCCCCATTCGGCCTGCGTGTTGACGGTGAGGTCGGCGGAGCGGTACTTGTCCCACACGGCGTCCACGTAGGGCTGGTAGTACCCGTTGAAGAGGTTTTGGTTCATGACGATACCCGAGTTGGGGCTCAGGGCGCGCAGGTTGGCGGACCCGTCCGCCGTGCGCACGACGAGGTTGCTCCAGCCCGCGCCGTCGGCGGCATCTTGCGCCTTGAGCTTGTCGCAGATGATGTCGAGGGCGTTGCTCGGGAACCCTGGCACGTTGGTGACGGTGCCGGCGTCGTTCTCGAGCGTCAGGGACACGGGGATGCTGACAAAGTCGACGTACGAGATGTTGACGTAGACCTGGAAGCTGTTGAAGGTGAACTCGCAGAATCCCCAGTTGAGGTTGTAGTTGGGGTCCGCCGGGTTGGTCGCCGAGGGCTCCACCACGGCCGGGCCCGGGTTCAGGAAGAACTTGAGCGGGCCGTCCCGAGAGAACCATATGCGGCCGCCGGCGATCTGGGGAATGGTCAGCTTCTTCGTCGACCCCGGCGCGCCGAGCGGGATCGCGGTGTCGGCGCCGACGTCCTGGAGGATGTCCGAGGGCGAGCTCGGGTAGTAGCCGGTGACGCCGTCGGCCTGGAGAAGGAAGACGGCATTGTTGCGGTTGAGGTCCAGGCCGGTTACGTAGGCGTAGGCGTTGGCGGAGCCCGTATTGTTCTGGAGAACGATATCGAGGGTTGATCTCGTCATGGCTTCTTCTCTTACGCCTTGATATGCTGTTGTGTTTTCTGTTCTATGTCTCTTCTCTGGTGGGCCAAGGACTGTCAAGCTGTTTTCCCGACAAAGGATGACGATTCAAGCCTTTTTATTATCCAAGGCGGGATCCCCTCCGGTTCCAAGCTTGATGGGCCTGTACCTTGGAACGTCGACAGGCGCGACTAATACCTCTTAGCTAGGGTGGCCATGTGCAAGTTTTCTTTTGGAGCCCCCTGCCCTCCAACAGGATCTACAGGTGACTATTGGGTGACTCGGAACTGGTTATAAACAGCCCAGTACGGATACGCGACGCGCAAGTGTGATGTGTTGGATTCTCCCTCCCTTTGCTGGCACGGGCTGGATATGACGGAATCGTCGACATGGATATGCGGGACTAGTTCGCCTCTTGACCCCACTAGCAATGGACGTGTTGTGTTGTCTTGCCCGGTTTTTCATTTGGTGACGAGACGGCTCCACGCTTCGGCCGGCAGACGGTAGACCCCTCATAAGGCTCATCCTCGTGGTCTTGGGTGAGGTGTTATGCCTTAGTTTTCCAGGACTGGTGGAGTGTAAGAAAGCGGCGCAGTTCTTTTTCACGCCCGTCTCGTGTAAGTGAGAGGAGGGTGAGTGCGGATGCAGACAAGCATTGCTCGTTCAAAAGGGTATCGGTGGTTGTCCAGATATCCACCCGCAAAGCACTCACGGCACTGGAACCCGAGTAACTGACCAATATCTGCATCCTGCAGTCAGAACCACAAAGCCTGGGGTAATAATGTCGCGGTCCGGGCTCTTTTCTCGAAACTTTGTGGGGTGTGGGAACCGATCACCCGCCGCTCGGGATGGATGAAGAGACTTCAACTTGACTCGACAGAGTAATCCTGAAGGTTGCGCCCCAACTCCCGGCGACGCTACTGAACAGCTACGGGAGCCTCCGAGGCGGACGGTGAGAGGCCAGTTCGTCGTCGATCACTCCTTGTTCATGTGCCTTCTTTTGGGGTATGGAGGGGGGGCTAAAGCGCATGCATGTGCGGGCGGCTGATCCCCCTCCAAGGAACAGTTTTTGGAGACGCGTTTTCCTGGGGAATCGCGAGACATTCTTGATTGCCGGTGGTTTAGATCGTCTGGCTGTCAAAAGTTGGGTCAGATGACAGGCTACTCGACTACATGTGTTGAACCTATTGCTTACTGCTTAGCGCGGAACAGCAATGATTCGCCTTTTTGGGCCCTTGGTGGTCTCGGAAGTGTTGCAATATTAGCTGACGTCTCATACGTCGTTGATGGGAATCTGAGAGAACTTCCCTTTCTGCGACGAACTGTTTGGTCATCCGATCTATCAGCTCCTTTATGATCAAAGGGCCTGCCACATTTGGCGCCCGCCTCATCATGAGAACGGTTCTTCACTTGGGAAACCAAGTCCCTTGGCATATCACAGCGTAATGGTCAAGTCATCAAATGGCAGAACGTAGTCTTGTAGGAACGAGTAGTGGACATCATTCGTGGTCATCGTAAGTAGTAAAGAAGTAACATCGTCTGATGAACGAAGCGCATGGTCGCCTGACGGCCTGCCCTCCTTTTCAGATCAAAACACAAGACCCAGAGACGCCTCATGCTATGCCGGTAAAAGAAAAAGAGAATTCGTAAACCCCCCATTACCCGAAAAATGAAGACCGAGCAGACCCAACCTGCCGGGACGAATGAAGAAGACATAAAGCGAAAGATCAGATGAACCATATCCCCAAAAGGAACAACCCAACGACCAGAGACCACGACGGCGCCTCTAATGTCCCAGCAGCGGCTGCAACACCACCATCATCACTACCACCTGCTCCACCAGAGCCTGGCGTTCCAGAAACAGTCTGGTTGTTGGTCATGTTGGTCTGTTTCGTGAAGAAGAAGTCGGGCGCATCCGGAATGGTACACACGGCGTCCGGCGCTGTCGGGTCCGCGCACCGGCCCTCGTGGTCGGCCTTTCGCGCGTCGAGGGACGAATTGAAGTAAGCCCTGACCGACGCCACCGTCAAGATGGCATCCTGCTTGGGCGGGCCCCCCGACCAGAGCGGGTTCCCGTTGCTCCAGTGCTGGAGGATCAGGTGGCCCCCTTCCGTGGGCACGGCGCTGCCGTTCATGGAGCCCAGTACTTTCCCGTCGGCGTAGAAGGTGACGGCGTTGGGGAGGTAGTCGATGCGGTACTCGTGGAAGGCCGCGGTCGGGTCGAAGCCGAGGTTGACTTTGAAAAAGTTGCCCGTGTCGACGGCATTGTAGCCCTTTTCGAGCGAGGCACGGGACTGGAGGACGATGTTGACGGGGTAAGTGTTGTTTGACGAGTTGAATTCTCTTGTGAGGAACTCCATGTCGATCTCTTGTGTGTCATTGTGGTACTGTTCTTGATGTTAGTGGACTTGATATAAGACGTAAAGGGGGGTTTGTGGCAATGGCAACGTACCCAGAAGAAGGCAGCACATGTCCCAGCAACATCCGGGATCTTCATCATCGCCCTGAAAGAACCATACTGCACATCCTGACGCGCCGAGTCGATCTCCGCGCCTGGCACCAGGCCATTCGTCGTGGCGCTCTCGACAAGAAGCTGCAGTCCGGCGTCGGCCTTTGTCGAGCTGAGCCCGAACGAGCTCGACCCTTCGTGGACGGAGGCGACGTTCTCGGTCATGAACTTTTCTCCCAGGGGTCCGCGGGCGTTTGTGTTTGTCTTGTTGAACTCTTGACGGGCCCAGTCCGTGTTTTTCGTAATGTTCTTGACTTTGGTAAAGTCTGTCTCGATGAGGTCGGTGAAGACCTCCATGGTGCCGGTGATATTGGTCGCATACCCGCATTCGCAGGCCGCACGTATGAGGGTTGAGAGCAAGCTAGCCGCAAGCAGGCACGCTGTTGTAGGATTTCTCATGGTGAATATGTGGTGATATATGTAGATGTATGAAGGTGGGTGTAAGGAGAGATTGTTATTGGTCTTTGCGGGACCATGTAAGTGACGTGAGGATGTGAATATCTCTACTACTGCCAGAGTAGTACAATCCTCCAAAGTTTTTGACAGAGAAGTAGTAGAGCCGGTCCAAGCACGTCTTTGACACAGTCAAGACATGAGGACCTCTCTAAAGGATGACGGGATGCAAGTGAAGCAAAGGGTGACACCCAGACGAAGATAAGGGTAAATGGGGCGCGAGTGGAAGAACAGAGACGGAGCAACGGCGCAAGATGGAACACTACAACACCAACAACAAACGGATGAGCAGGCAGATACAAAAAGTCGAAGGATGGGCAGGATCATCGGTAGACTATGTAGTAGCTCTAGAGAGCGGAGGGCCATGCGGTGCAACCAAATCATCGTGCCAGTGCCTCTAGCTGAACGGGGTGCTGCTTCATCTACGGGTGCCGAAAATGCAACCCTCCCCTCCAACTTTCCCAATGTAGGCACCCATCACACACACCCGAAGCCCTCCCTAGACGGACTGGTTCAACGGACGGACTCGAAGTCAGGAGCACCAAGGGGAGGGGCTGGCAAAAGTATCAAAGACAGACAAAGGAACAGCCCTCGACGTTCGACACGACGTTCGAATATAACGGCATCGTTGTCAACCGTTGTTCAAGTGGAGGGAAACAATAGTCCCATCAAAGATGAACCATGTGGCCCTGACTGACGGCTGGTGTCTCAAGCTTCCCGTCCACCATCACCGCGATGCCAGAAGCGGCTTTGAAACACAACGCGGGTAAGAATAGCGACTGCTTGGAACAAAGAAGGGGAGTCGTTGGTAAGAACGGGCAGAAGAACTTCCAAAAAGAGAGAGAGAGAGAGAGAGAGAGAGAGAGAGAGTGTGTGTGTGTGTGTTGACTGTCCCCCGTTCAGTTCTCTTCGGGTTGGGCTGGGTGGAATTTTCGCTCCGGCGGAAGCCAGCCACATGTGGTGTTACGTCGTGTCGCCTCGACGTCGTATCGTGTGCCCTGCAGGAACCCGCGCAACACACCGCGTTCTACCTTGGGATTGGACGGATCATAGAGTGCCGTAGCAATGCTGGAGCCCCAAGTCGGGCTTGGAGACAAGACCAAAGAAGCTTTTCTCACTGCCGTCCCCCCCCCCCTTCTCTATCTCTCGTCAAGGCATGGGCGGGGTGAGTGAGAGGCCAAAGCCACTAGGCTAGAAACCCCGCCGATGGGCTGTCGGCTGTCTCAGAGAGCAGAAGACAATGAAAGCAGCTCCGCTGGCCCATCAGCTCTCAAGAAAGAGGCTCTGTCAAATCCAAAGAGCATGCCTTCTATCGTGTGCTTACCCTGGGGGCCCAGTATATCGTGGAAATCACGAGGCAGTTAGTTCTCTTGCCGCCACTTCAGCTATCCCAAGTTCTATCTCGTCTTGATCTGATTCACCTCAATCGACACTACGGGACATTTGTATGATGGCCTTTGCACAGAGAATGGCTATGTGCCGCAGAAGCTAAGCGATTGCACTTGGGACTCGGTTGGCGACAAGTTCTGAATACAGTATGTATTAGGATAGAAGCCTCGTGTCCTATAAGAATGCAAGAAGATGAGGAATCCAGACGTGATGTCGCTTGACACCATTTGCCACGCAGCGACTATAATTCCATCAGCAACTTTCGTCACGGTACGCTGTCTCGAGGGCCCCCCATCATCAACCAAATTTTCTGCACCCTCCAGCATCGTAGGACGAAACCCATGGCTGCACTTGCTTCTTATGACACGCCCGCTCATTCTCTGGAGACTGCCCATTAGCGTCCAGCCCCGGCTCCGCTCGAACTACCTCATCCTTCCCAAGTTCTTTGTTATGGCCTACGCCCAACGTCAAAAGTTGATCTCTTTGTCGCCAAGCTACCTGGACTTTCTGGTGGGGAAAAAAGGCCCTCTAGCGCGTATGGTGGAATGTATGATGGAATGTTGTCATCAAGCAAAGGCGTAGACATATAAACACCTTAGAGTCGCCTCACTCCAGTGCGCAGGAAGTTCATCATGTAATGCCAATGAGAAGTGATATTCATAAATATGCTGAACGGACAGGAAACTATTTATACACTTGTGCTCAAGAACCATCTCCACACCTTTTTCTCCCCCGTCTCTGATTAAGCCAGGCTTGTTGGTTCTCTTGTCTTGAGAGTACACATCCAAGCCAGCCATGGTGAGCATCTGTCTCCCATACAATCCGCTCATGCCAAGACAAATTTACACGGCAGATGATCAAATCAGAGTAGACATAAATTCCAGGATAAGCAAATACTGCAATCTGTATATCGAACAAGGTATCTGAGCAAAGCGAAGCGAAAGATAGCAATGATAGGAAACAGCGCATAACAAAAGCAGGAGAGAGAAAAGAGTAGAGATCAACAAGTAGACGCAATATCAGCAGAGAAGAAAGGACGAAGGAGAAGAGAAGGATGAAATGGATATCAGCAGCACAAAACATTAGTATGAGCTAATAGAACAAACGCGCAACAGTCATCACCAAGCCCACCCTGGACCAGCCAACAGTGCCCTGAGGCAGTCTCTGGGATGCGTGAGCAGGGCCCGAATTATCCCAATATCCTAGGGTTGCTTTACCCAGGAATCCGTGCCGAACCCAATGCCCCCCCTCCCTTCACCGTTTACCTGCCCCGTTGTTGCCGTGACCATGTCCAATGCTGGGACGCTCAAAAGGAAAACCAAGCCAAGGAAACAAGATACTAAAAAGACCAGCTGAGCAGGCCGGTATACGCGTAATGATCATCCCAAAAATTCAAAAGCCTCTCTTCTGTGACGCCTGTCCCCTGCAAAGTCAAGGGGAATAAGCCTCAGACCGAGAGGGAGTGTTCGATCAACCACTCCAGATCCGTTACGCCGAAACCCATCAGACGAAGAGGTATATGCCAAGGAGAAAAAAGCGCAAGGAAAAACCATTCAGGAAAGGAAAGACATAGGAAATCGTTCAATCATCTTGTGACTAGTACACGCTATCCTCATCGGCCCCTTGCGAGATCATCGAAGGGGTCGACACGCTCGAGGAAGCTTCCATTTCGACCTGGTAGCCGACGAGTGCTTGTGCGTGCAGGCGGAAGGATTCTCCCATAAGTCGGGTGATTCTAGAGTCTTGTTAGCCATCTAGTCTTTTATAGAAGGGTGATAACAGTCACTTACCCCCAGACCACGACCTCGTCCAACATGCTGCCCCACAGACGGGCAACAACAGAGCTAAGCTGGGAAGCATAGGCCTCGTCGAGGTCCTTGTCGAAGAGCTGTCGAACCTTGTTGTACATGGCCAGTTCCTCCTCTGTAGCTGGCTCCTCGTCATGTTCCAGACGGTAGAGCCAGAGCGAGAGGACAATCATGAGGTCAAGACCACACAAGGCATGCTCGACGCTCCAGTTAGTCGGCGAAGTTCGTGCAACCCAGCGCACGCCTTGGACCACGGCAATCTCGATACAGTTGTAGCATTCCTGAATGACCTTGATCATCTCACTGGAGCGCTTCACGCGATCCCGCGCGGCTGACATGGCAGCCGCGACCTCATAGGAATCGTGGTAGCGCAGCGCCTCTTGCACAGATTTCAGATCAACTTCCAAGCGAGTCCTGGCGTTCCGGTACAAAGCCTTGGCATTGAAGATGAGAGGGTGTCCCTTGTGAGGAGCACTCAGTGGGACTGAAACATTCTCAGGCTCGCAGAGCTCGCAGGACTTCTCCCACGTCTCCAGCGCGAGTCTGAGCTTGTACTCGGTCACAACATCCTGAAGTGCCTCGGGACTGCGCTTGTGGTACCACACTTCGAGGAACAGGGCGTTGATCATTACCCGCGACGCAAACGCGCTGTACCTGAGTGTCTCTCCCTGGAACAGGTTGTCGTGCGCCTCCATGAAAGTGACCACAGGCGACGCCTTCAAATGCTCGTGCCAAGAGGCCTCGTCCGTGACCTTGAGGTTCCAGAGTCCCTCGGTGGAAGGGAGCTGCAAGTCCTCAAACTCGTTGAAGCTAATTGCCGGTGTGTGGTTGTACGTCAAGGTGAGCAGGCCAAAGAAGATGTAAACCGCGTAGTAGGTGCGGCGGCAACCTTCATCCTCGATCCACTCGCTGCGGGTAGGCTGAGCGCTGTTGCGGGCTTCCTGACGAAGCTTGAGCTCGTAACGGTTTCCCGCAACCATGTTGGCGAGCAGACTCTTGATAGAGCATGCCCATTCGAGTCCCTTCGGATCACCACTCCAGCTGGCAAATATCATGTTGAGAAGCGAGCCCTGCATCGTCCACAGAGGGCACTTGCGCGAGCTAAAGTTCTCCTTGTTCTGCAGGAATTGGTTGACGAGCACCTTGGATCCAATGTGCATCATATAGGCCTGGTCCTGGTCAAATGCGTAGAGCGCACCGATGCTCAGCACTGCGAGAAGCAGAGCCGGAGACACCTTGGTCGAGTCAAAGGACGCAGGATGCAGGAATGGAAGATGGTGGTGGAACAGCCCAAAGTACGTTGATAAGAATCGGTTCAAGGAGGCCAGGTTGGGGAGGCGGAAGCCGTCGGGGATGGCATGCTCAGTGTCTTGCGCGCGGATGTTATCGAGAATCTGGTTGCGTTCATCGTCGCTCGCAACCTGAGGGGCACGGAATCCAGCAGTTGACAAGGTCGCCTCGGTGACGAACGGGCTTTGCGGCACAGGCGTACCAGCTTCGGAGTTTGGCAGTGAGTTGATCATGGACTGCAGCGCCGGAACGAGGCCGTTACAAGTCTGTCCGTTGATGGGCGGAAGCTGAACGTTGCGAGGCTGCATGGTGTTCGTGCTGTTGAAAGACTGCTGAGACTCGAACGAGCCAGATGCTGATGATGCGATGGAGTGCGCCTTTGCTTCTGACGATTGAGACATGAAGCTCTCCCACTGGGGAACAGGTATGGCACCTGAAGGGTAGGTGGCAGACGAATCCATGGCGTGTGGCGAGTAGGGCATCGATGGACTGCCTCCTGCGCGTGCGCCGGCGGCGGCCTTGTGTTGAAAGTCTGCAACCAGCATGGCGGCTGTCTCGAGATCGAAGGTGCCATCGTGAGAAGCGGCTTCAATCTGGTCTATCGCGGACTGGTCAAGCATGGGGGTCTTGGCTGGGCCGCCGATAGCTCTCGTCTTCGGGCCTGAACGTCTCTTGCCATCGCTGTGAAGAGGAACACCTCCGTCTTTGGCGTGCACGGTACGATCGTGACGAAGGAGAAGATCGCGTCTGACGAATGTGCTGCGGCACTTCATGCACTTGAAGGGGCGCTCTTTGGTGTCTAGTAGAAGGAGTTGAATTAGCAAAATGAATCGAAGTGAAGACAACTGGATACGAATGTTGCTTTGCGTGGAATTGTTGTCGCATGACGCATCGAGGCAAGGTCGAAAGGAGGGGTTGCTTAATGTCGCGAGGGGTTCCCAGTCGAGCGGAAGCTTTGGGATGTAGGAGGAGGAGGGGAGAAGAGGGGTTCCGGGAAGATAGGTGCACTTACGGGATCGTTCATGTCTGCTGCGGTGCTCACTCCTGCTGAAGGCTCTGTTGCAGAACTGGCACTTGTACTTGCGTTCCGGTGCGAGTGAGGCTTTTCGCGAGGCCGGCGTCGAAGATGCTGACGTCGGAAGGACTGCGACGCTTGCGCCAGGCATATTGAAGGCTCGGGTGGTGGTCGTGATTTTTGAAGATATGTCGGGTGGCTGGGCCAGCTGTTGCGACGACGACGACGACGGCGACGAACAGATGTGACGGCTTGGACGATGTGCACGACGGCTCTCTTGTTGTTGAAAACGATGGTTGAAATCGCCCGGCTCCTAGGGTTTCCTCCTCGCTCGGCGCGCTCCCGTGGAGTTTAAAGTGTGTCTTGATTAGACTGGTAGATGTTGCTGATCATTTGGTTCGATATTCTGGTCATAGGAAGGACGTATGTGTGGTTGAAGGGAAAAAGCTGGCGAGTAGCCAGTGTTGAAGCGGCGTGTCTAGAGGCGACAGGCGCGCTTGAGTTGTGATGATGGGCCGGGAAAGGCGAAGAGTGCGCGCGTTGGGTTGCGTGTTGGAGATGGACGATGATCACGAGAGTGGGAGAGAAAAACGGAAGAGGGGGAATCGAAGAAAAAGTAGGAGGGGAGAAGAAGAGGAAAAGAGGCGTCTCTGGTGAGAACGGTGGGGACACTGGACTGCGACAGTGGGAGGGACTTGGTGAATTGGAGGGGGTGGACACATTGGATAGGAGGGGAGGGGGAGGGAGCGCAAGAGAGCACGAAAGAGAGGGGAGGGGGGGGGCCCAGACAGGGCGCAGAGAGCAGAGCAGAGAGAGAGAGAGCGAGAAGAGAGGGGAGAGACCAGAAGGACGACGATGGCCCGAAGCTGGAAAATGGAAGAGGGACAGGTACATTGGACGAAGTACCTTTCCCCCCGTCTCTTGGGTGTCCTCTCCCGCCTCACCTCACTTGGAACAGGCGGGAAAGAGGCGGGCAGCAGCAAGTGGCATGGTACGTACTGCCGGATGTCTTCTATCGATGGTTCTCTGCCAGGTGGGTAGATACCTGAGGAAAGATACTTTGATAGCTAAGTAAGGTGGAAAAGTCGAGGTGGGTTGGGTAGGTACTTCCTCTAGCTGCTCAGATGTACCTAAGGCAATGTATCTCAGATGCAGGGTTCCTCAGGCAAGCACAGGTAAGGAAGGTCGACATAACAACCTGAGAGGTACATCCGGCTACAGCTCTTCCTCCCCTTCATTTTTTTGTATCTTTATTTATTCATCTTAATCCAAGCACATTGGACCCCACTGCGACTCACTGAGATGGACGAAGGAGGGGGAGGAGAGGAGTAGGAGGGCCACAATGCACACATCGCAGAGAGAGGGGAGGGGGGAAGAAGGACGGGAAGAGAGGGATTAGGAAACTGGAACGGGCTCCAGTGTTTGTTCACCGGGCCACCAGAACAGCAGAATAGATCCGACCTGGGCCTGCTGGGCCGGCTCCATCAGAATGAGCAAGGGAGGGATGTGTGAGTTGGGATCCGAACTGGAGGTGCTGGGCGGCGGGCCATTATCCTTGGGCCTGCTGGCCGAGGATGTAGTGGAGAGGGGGGGAAGGGGAGCCCTGAAGCGGGAGTGGATGAGTTGAGGTACATACCTATGGTAGTTAAGGTACCTGAGGTTGGGTGGATGGGTGGACGACAGACCCCCCTGTCGTCTACCTTCCAAGCGGCCTGCCAGCGACACAGCAACCGGCAACCAGCCAACCTGTAACCCCGAATGAGCAGGGCGAGCGAGCATGGCAAGGCCGCAAAGCAGGTGCACCAGTGACTACTGCGTACACGTACCTTACCACCGCGCCGTCAGAGTCCACGTCCGCGGCCAGCTGGAGGTCACGAGTGAGTGGGAGTGGAGAGGGGTAACCCGCCACGATACGAATAGAAGGGGGGGGGGGGGGGGGTGCGGGGGGCGGCGGGGGGGAGAGTGCGCGGCGTGCGGGGGGCGGGGCCGCGCGGGGGGGGCGGGGGGGGGCGGGGGGGGGGGGGGGGGGGGGGGGGGGGGGGGGGGGGGGGGGGGGGGGCCGGGGGAGGGGGGGGGGGGGGGGGGGGGGGGGGGGGACTCGGGAGAAGAGGAGGGGGCCTCGGCGACGGTGCTTGCGTCCATTGCTGTGCTGCGCTGCGCTGTTGCTTCTTCCTGTGACAACCAACTTACAAGTTCCTACGAGCGAACCATTGAAAGTGAGGGGGGAAAGATGAGAAAGAGGAGGGACGGCAAGCTGCTGTATGTAGAGGTGATGAGTCCTCCAGCAATTGATTGGCTCCAAGGTACCGGACGGATACGTCTGTCTGTCTTTTCATCGGCTTCGGCTTCGTAATTAGGTAGTCTGTCCTTGACCTTCTCCGCCTCCTCTTTTCTTTCCTCCCGTCTTCTTCCACTACCTCCTCCTGCACTGTCATTCCATGCTGACCCTGTCGTGCTGCTGTTGCTTCCGCTGTCGTTGTATTCGTAACCTCGGGTTGGATGACCTAAGGTAAGGAAGCAGGAAGGTACATACATACCTACATACATACATACATACAGTACTCCGTAGGTAGACTAGGTAGAACCAATGCCGCTGCAATGCTGTTGGCACCAATGCACACACTTGCACAGAGGCACGCCGCACACGCATGCTGTCCACAAAAATAAAAACCACCTGCTTCCACTCCGAGCAGGGAAGGAGGTACGCACCCACTCCTCCTCACTTTCACAGCAGATGACGGGAGGTAAGGTTCAGGTCGGTTAGCACTTCCTGGCTCCATTTCTACATACATACCTTTCGTGCTTCTGCCTGTATTTCCACAAGTACTCCCGTACCTGACCTGCTGTGCTGTTATGTCAGAGGCGGAATGCAAACACTCTTTTTTAGCTACCTCCCCTATTACGGATAGACTGGTAGGGAACGGGAAGGGAGGGCCGGAGCTATGTAAGCAGGCACTGACGATCCCACTTCCATGTCACTCTCTTGCTTAACTTTGCGCACCAGATACTTCTGGCCTTACAGATAGATACCTCACATTTCTTTCATTCACTGCCACTCTGCATCACGCAGGGCATCCAACTTTAGCTCCAACTTCCAGCTTCAGCTCTCCAGTCAGCCTTCAAATGTCTCATTTCAATCACAGCACGAGTCGACGAGAGTCTGAAAGTAATCGAATAGCATCGAACCTCGCCGCATCATATTCGTGACCGAGTACCAAAGTTGCCAAAACTCCGAATCATCTCCACGATCCATCCAGCCCACGCAATTAGTTTGCCTTCGTCCAATTTCCATCAAATTTCTCGGAACCATGAAGGTATGCATCATTGTATCCATATAGTACCCTCATCTCGTCTGACACACAAGAGGCGAGGAATCTAACTGGATCGTGTCGCGGCTCGCCATCATCATCACCATCCAAGACAATTTTAGGGGTCAAGAGACAAACGAACGGATAGGGGCAAATACCAGCCACTCAAGCTCGAGAGGGATAATATTTCTGCTCTATTCGTACAGATACCGTCGCTCACCATCCCATCCCGCTCGACAGAGCAGGGCCCAGTCATCACTGTCTGTCCGTATCGGCTGGCCCCCTTACGAACACGACGCAACATGGCACGTAGAGGATTCAGGGATTGCCAGTAAAAATTTTGTCGCCAAACTAGGGGGCACAGCTTCCTCTCGCGGCCGCTAGTGCTCTGTCTGTCTACATTTAGCAATCACGAGGATGGAATTGATGGATTTGCCTGCCCTCGAGCACAGAGGCATCAAGCCATCAACAACAGCACAGGCGTTCGAAGGCGGTACCTGAGCTCACGCAGTGCACCATACCATTACGCAAAGTATCGACTATTCGTCCCGCCATTGTCATCCTGACCAAAATTACAGCGCTCAGATTTTGGCCCGCGGGACGGTGAAATGGAGCGCACGAGATTTGCAAGGCCTGGCACGCACCCGATCCGTCCGGAGCACAACTAGCCACTTTCAGACACCACGACCCCGGTGTCCAGTACCCACAGAAACATGGCAGGGGAAACCAAAGGGCGGATGGCCGGGTTATGGGACGCTTCAAGGATGTTTGCTGGGGTGCGTCAAGACGTCTAGGGGGGCGTGAGCCCATGGCAAAGAGCCGGTCGATGAGCCAGTTCAGTTGAGCACCTACGAAAACGCACATATAGAGCACTATACACGACTACAGCACACGGGCTAATGGCAAGCGGTGCTGGACTTCCGGGCTATTTAGGGGGGTCCCATTCGGGGTGGATTGGACCAAGGCAGTGGTACGCGACACTAAGGCAAGCATTGATGTGCTGGTCCCAAGTGCCCTGGGCTTGATGACGGGAAGCATCCAGGGACGATGATGTGGCCGGTTGGGTCATCATCGTTGAGCTGTCCAGAGAACTTGAGGCTCGAAACTTCAGGCCATCCAGCTAGAAGGAAAAAGAGGAAAGACGGCGTGATGAAAGGTGTGCGGTGTGAGAGGAAAGGCGGAACAGCTGAATGGCAAGGTAAGTCAAGATATGCATGGTATCCGCTTCACCAGTTCGTCCCGTCCCATAGCTCGCTCACCTTACTAATAATAAGGCATGCAACGACATGACATTGTAGCTCAAGGCCAGTTGACAGGCGACTAGTCGCTTCCCAGTTGCACACTGGGCCATGTTATCCTGGTTCATCAATACTTGCTTCTGGATCAAGCGAAACAAAATGCCTTGCTTAATAGGAAGGCGGGTGTTAACGAGCACTGACGTCGCCCATGTGTCTACCGAGAGAGGCTCGCAGATTACCGTCTTGCAAGAACCCGAGGCTGGAAGAGAGGCGACGTGGAAAAGAAATTGCAGTTACGAACAACTTGGGGGTTCCCCTCTGTCCCAGCAGCTCGCTGCCCCTCCCGGCCTAGCCTCGCTAGAACCCGGACCGCCGATTTGGTTGGCAATTTCGCCCCGGCTCCGGAACTCGAAAGGGAGGACATGAACAAGGGCGAGTCGCGAAAGGCCTGGCCGGAGAAGAAGCCTTACACAGCTTCCAGAATCCAATGATTCTGTGACCCCCTCCCGCGTCTCCGACTCCTCAGAGAGCCCCTCATCAGTATGACCAAACCCCCACCTGGCTGGTCATCAACCCCTCCTCCTTTGTCGCCAGTTGTGTCATTGTCATTGTACGGATACGATCCTGCGGTAAAGTCTCAGTTTATATCAAGTACCAATACTCAATATCCGTACAGCAAAGTGGATGGACAGCTGCTGATCGATTCTTGCCTAGGGCTCTGTCTGCGCCATGTGAAGCCGGTAGCTGATCGTGGAGTGCTGGTTGTGCAGGTCAAGGTTTCGAGGATACCCAGCTGGCAAGACCGTCCAACAGGATGGGATGGGATGGATGGGATGGAGTGCTCTAACGGACAAGCTAGGATTAGCAGCAAGTTCTTGCCGGGCATCCCCTACCTCGAGCCAATGGGCAGAGACCCCGTCTCCCGGTCCCCGGACGGTACATCAGCGTGGTCAGGGTGCATCCGGTACTCGGATGATACGTGTCTCGACAAGCTGCACTAACGCGCGCCGGCGGAATACATGCTTGTTCCCGTGGACGGCGACCCATCCTGTCACTCACGGCGGTGAGGAGAGGTATCCCTGTGTACCTCCTTCGTGCAGGTCGAGGACAAGTACGCAGTCCAATACACGTGCACTTTGTGGAAACAAGCAAGGAGTAGTGTACATAGTAGCTGAGGATGTGCTCCAATATGTGCACTAAGGCATCCTCCCAGAGTCCCACTCCAAGGCCGACCCGCCGTTCTTCTCGCCGCGGGTCTCAGGCTGCAGCTCACATGCACCTGTCGCTGGTGTTCGCATCGCGGAGGTGGGAAAACGGTTCTGTCACAGCACGTCTGAAGTGGGTGGATGCTGGCACACGGCTGGATGAGCAAACGCCAAACGGCCAATTCTATGGACCACGGCGGTTGTGTGGGTCTTGCACCATTTCAAACGTGGCTCAAGGACGCGGTGTTCACGCGCCGCGCCTACTCGACTTGCATTGACCAATCACCACCATCAAGGCAAAACGCAACCAAACGCGTTGAGAGCATAAAACAAGAATGACAGAAAACTGAACCACTGCGCTGGGCTGGGCTGGGCTGGGCTGGGCTTGCGTTTGGGATACCCGTCAGCCCGTACCGCTTCCCGCACCCGCACCGCTGCCGCGTGCGTACCGCGACTTACCTTAGTACCCGGCCGAGAGAGCGGGACGCATTTTTTGTAGTTCGATTTGGGATGCGCCTGAATCATCATTGATGAGACACGACCTACGGACACACATACACGTCGTCTCTTGAAAAAGGCCCATGGCCATGAGAGAGAGAGAGACAGAGAGAGAGAGCCACACTTACTAACTATCACTCGGGATGCCAGATGCCCGACCGCCTCTTCGTTTCTTTCATTCCTCAAAGGCGGTCAGTAAGGTCTGAAGCGGTCGGGACTTGTTTTGATGCAAGATGCTCAATAGCCCTGCTTGGGTCCTGGAATCCTTGGGAACACTTTGTTTTTTTGCTCGACTACCAAACGGTACACCTGCGACCGCCGACAAGCATCCGGGCAAGCGGGTCGTATCCCCTGTTTACATTAGTTGACCGACATGGTGAAAGAGAGAACTCCAGAGACAGGGCTCTGGTCGTGGTCGCCGGCGGCAGCAGATCGAAAAAGGAGACGACAAGACGATCTGAAATGATACGAAGCATGGCCATGACCAGCCATGCCGCTATGCGCAACACAGACCATTGTGTACTATTCCGTACGGAGTATTGGATTTGGGCATAATCAACAAGTGGAATGAGAAAGGCGACAACCGACCCACGGCTCCATCGCGGGCCACGGAAGCGCTCCCGCGATCTTCGCCAAACGAGATGATGTCGACGTTATTGTCTCGACTCTCGATGCACTTGGTCAGTACGGCTAGGTAGTCAGTCACAAGTGTGCCCCTCGGTCCTCGAGCCCCTCCCCCTCCTTTCTCTCATGAGTCTCATCCCTTTTTCGTTCGCCCGCCCCCCTTTCGCTTTTTTTTTTCTTTTCTTATTTTTTTTCCGCTTCCCATTCTGACTCAACCGTTTGCTTTCTTTTCCCTTGGCCTTGTCGTCTACGGAAATTGAGGTTGCCTCCCGCTCTCTGATACGGATGAGAAAATTTTTCCAACTCTGCTATGACTCTCTACCACATCCCTTGCACAATCAGGGAACTGGCAATGAATCAGGTCCTCGGTATCATGGCCCTCTGAGTCCCTGTTGCGCTGAGAAAGACATGCCCTGCAGGTACTTCGTACCTTGCTATCGGAGGACAACTTGAATGGAGGGACAGAGACTGAGGCTGGTGCCAGTGCTACCTGCTGCCACCTTCCAGGCGAGTTTGGAAGTTCAAGTGCGGCGCAGGCTGGTCCCATTTCCCTCAAGCTGACACGCTTTGTTGTCCCTCGAACTTGACGAGTTTCCACCTCTCGTGTTGTAAATGGTGCCAACTCCCAAGTCATTTCATCATGTTGCTACACGTCAAATAAATCCCTTCCCCTGTTCTCCTCTAGCCTACGGTCCTGAACGGTTTATACTATGTAGTGTAGAACCTTTGGGGCCCTGGTTGGGGGGGGGGGGTTGTTCATGGATGTACCACATTGTTCCTCAAATCCCGTTATCCTGTCCAAGCGAGTTACACAATTTTCTACACGCCTTCTATGACTGGGTCTCATGCTTCCATTGCAAATGTCCCGTCCTTCTGGATCTGTTCCTTATTACTGACCTGTCCATGTCGCCAACCCGCCGCCCGAAGTCTAGGGGCAATCGATCAACGCTCCACTGCGATTATCATTTGCATGTCACGACATGTCAAACATGGTATCCGTACGGATCATGGATATCCTCACAACTCTCAGAGAATCCGCTCTGGCCCTATCGGCCTCGTTGATTTTTCGGCTTTCTCATTCGCATCCCTGACGCCACGAATCTGCCCTCGCCCTCCGGTCCCTCCCCCTCCAGAGACGTGCAACTTGAACTTCGAGTCTCGACCGCCGCGCCCCTCCCCCTCTCTGAAGTCTGAACCATGGATCATGACCCAGAATTCGCTATCACGCATCATGCTGCGCTACGGGTGCTCTCATCCTAGACCTTGCAAGGCCTATCGCTCGCTCGCTTACACTTACAGTTCACCGTCCTAGGCGTCACCGCCCTCAAGCAACCCCCCCCCCCCCCCGTCGATGTCGTGAACTGGCGCTTCCGGGGCCCTCGAACGGCAGGGACAAAAGCGCAAAATCAACCGGGTTCCTATCGAGCATGTACAAAACCCTGGACTCTTGAGGGGCATCACATCGCTTTTCAAGCACCAACGATGCGGTGAGTCCTTGTAGGCGCGTCTCTCACCTTGTCGGTCTCGAACGACGAAATGTCGGAGTGGGTACACGAAATGGCGGACAGAAACTGAATTTCAAGGGTCAGAGATCCGAAAGGGCAAGTCCTGACATATCGGTGGAGAGCAAACTAACAACTCTTGCGCTTCGACTGCTGGGTCGCAGCATGAAAGTGGACATCCCCTCTTCTATTGTCTTTTACGCTCACGACACCCGCTTCATATTGACGATTTCGCCTCTGATGCCGCAAGGCTTCGCGAAGTCGGCGCAGGTGCATGCCAGATAAGCCTTGAGAGACGTGCTGCTGGCACAAGAGACAAATCTAGAAGCAATGGGCCTCACCGACAAAGCCATTTTCCCCCAACGCATTGACGTGTCTACCACGGATATGCGCCTTGGGAATCTAGGAACCCGATACCTCGAGGGAGTACTGCACACCGTACTTACCTTACCTTACTCAAAATCGCGGGCATACAACTTCAAGCTCAGAGTTCTCCTCCATGATCCAGCTCCGTCTCCGGCCGCCACGCGACGGGGCTAACATGCACCCCAGTCCGGCACTCCATTTACCACCTGCAATAGTCCCTCTCTTGTGATATATGGGCCCTTCGAATCCAACTTAACCCAAGGGCAAGCCATGCCCCCGCCATCTACCTGGCAGGTTGGCAATTTATTAACCCTACGAGCGGACGCCGGAAGAGGATCCAGAATCAGAAGTGGTCCAGGCCAACGAAAGGAAGCCGGGAGGAGAAGATGTCGCCAGGAGCCCAGGACCCAGTCCAACCCGGGCTTTCGGTGCCCTTCATTTGAAGCTTCGGCATAGGGCAAGGCCTGCCAAGCCAGAGCAAAATACATGACCGGAACGGCCGAGTTGGGAACCTGTCGTTGATTTACCCCTCCATTGACGTTGCAACGATAAGCCGTATGCTATCGGCCTACGGAGTACAGGCTTTCATCTGATGTTGGTAAGGCGTTGCCCGTTGTAGCGAACCGTCAACGATGATGGCGATGGAGTGAGTAGACGCTCGTAGGGAATTTCCGGCGCACGTCTCTCATGCCACATAAAGTAGGTACCTTGCAGTCTCTCTTTTATCGTTCCTTGCCCCCTGACCAAGGACGAGGATATGGCAAAGACGATATTGGTTCCAAAAAATCTGTCCGTCTGGAGGGGTAGAAAGTTCAGAACGAGAGAAAAAAAAAAAGGGAAAAAAAAAGAGAGACAGAAAGTTCAGAAACCCTTCAGGATAGCGGGGCACTAGGAACAGCTAAAATGGAGCGCGCCTCCACGCCTGGGCACGGAGGCAGTCAGAGCCCACCTCGCGCCGCGGCACGGGTTCCGGCCAGCCGGTTCCCCGTTGGCAGTGCGGCGTCAGGCGTGCCTGTTTGCGCTCCGCGTTTGTGCCAGGATGCGTTGCTGGAACGGTCGCGGTGGAGGAGGGAGGTGTGGTGTGGTGGGCCTGTCTAATTAAGAGCATGCTCAAGGGTTGCCTTCAGAACTTCCGGGCGGGACTGCCCTTAGTTGTGTATTACTACTACTACGTAGTTGTGTCAGTACTTACACAGTAGGTACTACTGAAGGCCTGAGGTGGCTTCTTCCCGGCATCCGCCGTTCCCGGGTAACCTCTTTGGGCTTCTTTTCTAGTGTTTCCGTAGTGTGGTTTCTGAAAGACTGTGACTCCGTGAGGCGATTGGAAAAAGTAAGGCGAGCAAACACAGCGGTCTCGGTGCTGGTCCCTGGAAGCTGTAAGTGTGGCGGGCCAGGAGAAAAGAGAACATGTCGTTGCGCGGAGGGGAATTCTGGCTAGGCAGGCTGGCCAGCCAGCCAGCACTTTCTTAATGGTAGGTAGGTACTCGTTGTGACTTTGTGCTTTGTATCGATCTAACCATGTGGTTCGAATCGCAAAAATGTCACCAATGCACCATTGACAGAGAACGAACATCTCGCAGATCGACAAGACTTGTGGTGGCGGGAGGCTGAAGGCGACGGGCAGCTAAACCCCTGACGATCATTGAGGTGCCTGACTGGATTTTCCTGCTAGGGCGTTGCCGTCGGGCGCCTTGATCGCGGCACGCACTTCTGCATAGTCACAGTCATACATACGTAGGTACTCACGCAGAGTCGGAGGTAGACTGATGTGAGGTGGGATCAGCGTGTCAGTGTCATCGCCGGCCGCCCCAAGGCCCCGGAACATGGACGAATCACGACCTGAAACCGCACCTCTGTGATTCGCAATACTTTTGCGGAAGGAAGAAAAAAAAAAGCACTGCGGATAGAAAATGGTAGGTTGCCTCTTTCGCTAGTAGTGGCGCGCTGTGTCTGTATTGGACACCCCCGTTACCTACCGCATGTCTCGTTCCGAGCCCATCGTCGCAATGGAATCTCATGAGAACATCTGATATCGTCCCGATCTGCAACACAGGAGGGGTTCTCTGAGAAAAGGATTGCGACCCCTTTTTTTCCCTTCTTTTCTTTACAACAAAGCGTCAGTGCCCCTCACGGAACGCCCCGCACCGTCACCCATCCACGCGTTCGTGGATCAAGCGCTCGTTCGTTCGACTTCATAGGTAGCGATACCCTCGGGAGCGATTCTGTAACCTTTCTCAGACAAGACACACCACGAGGGTGTAAGATGGCGCCATCCCAACTGTCGACGATTTCGACAGTGGAATGAAAACCCGCCTGCCTCTAACCTGGGTGTAAGGCAACGTACCGATCCTCATTCACTACCTTATGACAACGGAGCAACAATATCTAACAGAAGCATAGTGATCTTGCCCAATCGAATGAACGCATGGCGTTGATGCTACCGAATCTCTCGCCTTTGTCATGAAAGAAGATGGTCAGGCGTAGAAGTGTCCCAGGCTTCGGCGACTGCCTATCATCGGCGCATGGCGTGTCGTGGCCGAATCGACAGGCAAACCGGCTGATTCTCGCGGACACGGCGCGGCGCATCAAGAAGGCCAGAGGGGATCACGCTCACGGCGCCGTTGTCATGAGCGACTGCATTCCGGCGGCGAAGCTTGGGTCAAATGCGATGTCTATGCCCCTCCTCTCAATACCCGGTGGCATTAGCCGGGCCGTCGTGACCGGACAAGGCATGGGCGAGAGTACGAATGATGGTAGACCGCTTTATACTTTGCCGGAGTGCAGCGGCATCGTCTTACACCCGGTCGGAAACGGATAGTCGACGAGCCGTCGGCAGGCGTGGAGGGATACATCAAGGCGGTGGTGAACGCAGGGCCGCCTTCTTCGTCTTCAGACGAAGAACAAGTGCGGGCAAAATTGGAGTTGCGGCCAGGAAGTCGGGTTGGGATGGGATGGGATGCGTCGAGACGATGTGCCTGAACCTGACCTGTTCCTGGCGCATTCTTGCGCTCGACTCCCAGGGCAGCAGGGTGGCCAGCAAGGACGAAGACTTGCGGATGCCTTTTACTATCTTTGGGTGAGTTTAGGTGAGTATCACGGCGTAGACAACGTTCCCATTTCGTTACCTTGTGGCAGGAGGTGACGGCGTTGGCATTATCCAGCCCTCCACGCCTCTTTGAACGTAGCACAGTGCGGAAACGGGCAAGGATCCGGATAAGGAGGATTCATAGTGATCTGTCGTCCTGGAAACGTGGCGCGTCAACGGAGCACAGTGCGGCGGGAAAGGGTGGTAGTGAAGATCCGTGGATGGTTCAAATGGAAAACGAGGTGAAATTTGAACAGTCGGCGGGGTCCACCTGCCTCTGGATGAGGTGGGTTAAGGTACTCCGTACCCTACCTTACCCGGTAGTCCTGCACTTCCTTCCTTCTTGGTCGGTCAAGCTCGTGCCCGGGCTCCACACCGGTGTATGGTGGCCCCTGCACTTCCTCTCTCCTGCCAACCGCACAGTGTCCTTGATTCCTTCCGGAGGCCCATTTCCTGGCTGCTGTTCCGTCCGGCGTTCTCTCTCCTTTCTCATATAAGGAAGGCAGGTAATAAGTTACTTAACGCTGCAAGGTAAAGTGTTTTGGGCTGCCTCGAGGTAAATGATGGATAAGGTATCGTTGTTTGCGTTCTGAGTGTCTGCGTTCCGTCCCGTCTGTCTTGTGAAATATGTGTCTCGTTGTTCCGACTGACGGGGGATTCTCAGGTTCGAGGGCAAAGCCGCAAACTTGCAGACGGATGAAGGTATGATAGCTATACTTTGTTCGGAGTAATTATAGGGGACTCAATCTGTCTGTACCTTGGGTCAAGGCTCAAGCAATTGATTGTCATTGTCAGGGACCCAAGCCAAGTCAGACTCGGCCTTGCTCGTTCAAGACATGATTTTGGATACCTAGATAGACAGATGTTCAATACCTTAGCCGGAGGGGGCCGCCTGCAGCCCATTCACGGCTCAGATTCAGGCTGGAAATTGACCAAAGTGCCCTCCTTGCCTATTTGATCACTGTCGCACGCTGCGAATACCTCGTACTTTCCAATACAGACAAATCCCCTGCTGTGCCTCAACCCATACCTACTGTCCCGGTCCTTCACTTCCTCACGTTGTGTTTCCTCCCAGGGGAGGGGGATGGACTGCTGAGGATTTGGCCAATGGAGGAGGGAGAAGAGCGCTCAAAGACCCGCTCCAACGAGACGGGCAAGCGGAATCCTGGAAAAAGCACGAGGGAAGGAGACAAGACGGGACGGGAGGAACCCAGACAGCTTACCTAATTTGCAACTTTAGCGTACCTACACAGGACCAACCACAGTACATAGTAGTAAGGGACCACCAGTTGCACCAGGCCTGAGGGAGGAGGTCCCCATTCCGTCCCCCCGTGCCTCGTGCGGCGTGTGCCTCCTCCCCTTATTGCAATCCTTCAGTCCCGTCCCGGCCATTGACCACCCACAGACTGTTAAGCTTCCGCCATCGAGGTACCGCCGGCATCCTTCGCCCATCCTCTAAAGTGACCTCTTCGCGCCTTTGTGATCGCCAATTCGTCCAGCGTCTAGAAGTATACTCCCTACATCCACCTATCGCGCCCAAGTAGCTACTCTACTGTGGACCCCCCGTGCTACCATTGTTCCCAGTCGCATCCCCTCGACTCTGCAGCCCGCCCACACGGCCCATAACCATTGACAACCACCACGAAAACGACGACGAGGACGAAGACGATAGGCACCTATTCACCATACCTTGTTCAAACTTGTCTTGATATACATTGGATACCCCTCCAACGGTCACCGTGACGGTTGCAAAAGATTCGATACTGGTCGCCCACCCGCTAGAGGCCGACCCTGAAAAGAGACAAAGCGAGAGGAGAGGCATTTACAGAGACGGTCTGATACACCCGCCGAGAGATCCCCTAGGCGACATTGGTCCTTCGGGGGCCTTCCCTCATCAGGCGATCCTCCTCTCCATGCCCCCTCTCCCCTCCCGAGTCCCCCCTCCCCTCCCGACTGTCCAGCAGCATCAGCGCACACGACGACGCGAGAAAAATATCCGGCGAATCGTCGCTCGCATCCCACACATCTCTACCCGCCCACTGCTTTCTCTCATCTCATCCCACCAGTGAGCTCTGCGAGTCGCGACCGCTCCCTCGATTTTCCAATTCTTCAACGCGACAACCGACCCAGTAGCCAACTGTTCACTGTCAGTCAGCGCCTGCGCCAGAGAACCACCGACCTCGTCGACACACGGCTGCGCCTGTTGCCAGACGAGACGAACGTCGCCCCCCGCAACTTTACCCCCCGGCTCCAAACCTGCGACTCCTGGATTGTGGGTTTCTGCAACTCAACAACTCGTCGCTTCTCTCCCATCTGACTACGCCTTCTTCTGCTTTCTTCTTCACGACTTTTTACGATTGACGATTCAACCCATCTCCTCGCCGACCCTCCCCGCCGATACAGGTCCAAGCAACAACAGCGTAGACGTGCCCGGATCATGACTTGACCCTTTTCCCCTCCTTGGGTTATCAGCGCGACCGCCTCATCATGCTGATGACACAGACCGCAGTGCCGGCACTATTCCAGGGTCAGAACAACAACTACAATTCCCGCAAAAAGCCTTCGCGCGAAAACCTCAATCACGACGCTACCAACTACTACCCTTCCCAACCGGCGTTGGACCCTTCCAGCGTCGGCCAAGCCTTCTCACCCTATTCACAGGCCATTACTTCTTCCTCGTCCATAATGAACGGTATTGCGGGCACTGCCCCGCCCGGTACCATGTACGTCCGCGCTCTGTACGATTACGAGGCCGACGACCGCACGAGTCTCAGTTTCCACGAAGGAGACGTTATTCAGGTTATAACACAGCTGGAAAGCGGATGGTGGGACGGCGTTATCAACGGTGTGCGCGGTTGGTTCCCGAGTAACTACTGTCAAATCGTTACGAGTCCCGACGAAATTCCAGAGCATGACCAGAATGGCGATCTTGATCATGTCGACGATGAGGAGGACAGTCAGGAGGTCTACGACGAGCAGCTGGAAGAAGATGACGAGTCGGAACTGGACGACGCCAGCGGCCTCCCTCTCGAGGGTACGGATCTCGGTGACAAATCACGGGCCGACTTTTGGATCCCGCAAGCAACCCCAGATGGGCGCCTATTCTACTACAATATGATGACGGGCGATCGGAGCATGGAATTGCCTTTGGAGTCTCCAGTATCTACCAATGAGACAGGGCCCCGTAACCGGATAAACGTCAATGTCCCTGAGAAGACACGGCCACCCCCCGAGATGATGGCTAGGGGCCTGACGCAAGATGAGGACGAAGACTCCGAAGCAAACTCCGCATCCGAGTTGGAGGGAGAGTCTTTGATGCTCGCATCTCGTGGATCTTTGGTAAGAGCTCGTGCCGCAAAGCTCGCACCGCCGTGGGTTGCTTTTGCTGACCAGTGTATGTGCATGATAGCCTCGTAATCGTCGGTCTCGTAGCGAAATGCTCTCACCCTCCACTTCGATGGACTCCATGAACGGTACCGCACCCGTTACCCGGCAGAAGGACGGCGCATACCTGAACCCGAACTTGGCACCCAACGCAATCCCAATGATTGCATCAGCGACCTCGTTCACCAGCACTTCTTACAATACGCCGCCAACCAGCACCGTGCCTCGTTCCTTTTTCGACGACGGCTCAGCGCCGCCGCTGACCTGGACTCGCCTGGTTTCCAACATGCGCCGAGCCGTTGACCGTTATCGCGATGCCATTACGAGTGGCAACCGTTCCGAATATGTTGCGCGCGCAGAAGATATCTCAGACCACCTGAGACTACTTCTAGCTGCTGGATCTGGCACGACCGATAACCACTCTGGCCAGCCTTCCATTATTTCCACGAACAAGGCTCTTTATCCCCATTTCAGAGACATGATGTCAAAATTCTCGAAGCTCGTAATCTCATCTCACATTGCTGCTGCTGACTGGCCCAATGCCGAATCTGTACAGAAGTGTCTCCAAGAAGCCGATGGAGTGCTACTCGGCGTTTTCAGTTATGTCGAAATTGCCCGTCAGCAACGTGGAGAGGAGATCCCGCGCCTGTTCCCCGGATTTGTCATCGGAAGTTCTACTGGCGGCAGCTGGCAGAACAACGGACTGGGCACCCGCGATCCTATCACGGCGAATTTCCTGGAAGATGAAGAGGGTGTGGTCGAGCCCACGGCAATTCTAGACGGCAAGCAGCTCGAGAGGCTAGACGAGCTCAAGCGCATGCTTGTTTTCAGCATAAGAGAACTGGACAAGAATTTGGTTGTGGCGGACAAGATCACTTCACCTTTCAAGCACGAAGTCATCGGAAACAACGTTTGTTTGGCGGGAGGCAAGGTCTTGGAGACGTTCAAGCCATGGATTGCACTCATCGAGTCTATCGACCTTTCAACCCTGGGCAACAGTTTCCAAACGCCCCAGTTGGCAGACTTCGCCGCCAACAAGCAGAGCCTATACGACAACATGTCAGACCTGCTGCTAGGTTGCCAGGCCGTGGCCGGGCCCCTGGCCGACGAATGGGCCGAGGTTCGAGGCGAGGCTCTCGAGAACCGACTAGACTATGTCCGACAATGTGCCAAGGCCCTCGAGACGAATTCCTCGCACATCGGCTTTTCTTTGCAGCTGTTGTCTGAACAAGTGCAAATTAACATGCAGCAACAAGTCGACTCGAAACAGAGGGAAGACGTGATGCAGCGTGAACAACTCCGCCGGGGAGAGACCACTCCGTACGACAGACCCCATCAGCGCACGGAATCGCGAACGACTCCCGCAGCATCGCGACCCCCAATGATCACTTCACAATCCTTCACCGAGGGCGAGAGCACTGGCAACTTCCGAGGAGGCGACTACTCAAAGGTTAAGAAAATTTTGGGTGACGACCCCAACCCTCAGAGCAACATGCCTCCTGTCGATGACACGCCGGAGTTCCTCAAGCTGGACCATGAGCCAGATCTTGCCTGGGACAACAAGCTGACACCGCCCATCGTTAAGGGTGGTACTTTGGAGGCACTCGTGGAGCAACTGACACGACATGATAAGCTTGACTCGAACTTCAACAACACGTTCCTGCTTACATACAGGTCCTTCACGACAGCTCAAGATCTTTTCAAACTGATCGTGAATCGCTTCGGCATTCAACCACCAGAGGGTCTCTCTCAATCGGACTTCGAGGCCTGGCGAGACAGGAAACAGAAACTCATTCGCTTCCGAGTCGTCAACATTCTGAAGAGTTGGTTCGATAACTTCTGGATGGAAGAGCACAATGAGGAATCAAAGCAGCTCATTCGAGATGTTTACACCTTTGCTAGGGATACCGTCAAGTCTACGGAGACACCAGGCTCTGCACCACTAATGGCGGTCCTGGATCAACGGCTCAGTGGTCAACAAGCTGGAGCTCGTCGGATGGTACAGACGCTCAACCAAAACACGCCATCACCCATTATGCCTAAGAACATGAAGAAGCTCAAGTTCTTGGATATCGATGTCACAGAGTTTGCTCGCCAGCTCACCATAATTGAGTCAAGGCTCTATGGAAAGATTAAGCCCACAGAGTGTCTCAACAAGACATGGCAAAAGAAGGTTGGCGAGGGAGAGCCAGAACCGGCTCCCAACGTCAAGGCTCTCATTCTGCACTCCAACCAAATGACCAATTGGGTGGCGGAGATGATCTTGGCGCAGATGGATGTGAAGAAGCGTGTGATTGTGATCAAGCACTTTGTTTCTGTCGCAGATGTGAGTGGTAGAATCTACTACCATGAAATGACTCTGAAGCTAACAGTCCATAGAAATGCCGTAGTCTCAACAACTTTTCCACACTAACCTCCATCATCTCAGCTCTCGGAACAGCGCCTATCGCTCGCTTGAAGAGAACTTGGGATCAAGTACCACAAAGAACTCAGGGTGTCTTGGAAACCATGAGAAAGCTCATGGCCAGCACAAAGAACTTTGGAGAGTACAGAGAGGCTTTGCACGTGGCCAACCCGCCTTGCATCCCCTTCTTCGGTGCGTAATACTTATAAAAGAAGCCTTAAAGTCGGTGCTAACACTCATGTCCTTGCAGGTGTATATCTTACCGACTTGACATTCATTGAGGACGGAATTCCGTCCATTATTAAGAAGACGAATCTTATCAACTTTGCCAAGCGGGCAAAGACGGCGGAAGTGATCCGTGACATCCAACAGTACCAAGCTGTTGGCTACTCACTGCAGCCTGTCCCAGAGCTGCAAGATTACATAATAAGTAATATGCAAGCTGCCGGAGACGTGCATGAGATGTACGACAAGAGCTTGCAAGTAGAACCACGCGAGCGCGAAGATGAAAAGATCGTGAGGTATGTAGGACTGGATTTCTAGCCAACTTCTCCGATCGGAGATACTGATTCACCTTTACTAATTCTGAAACAGAGTTCTTGCTGAATCTGGCTTCCTATGATCGGCGATTGCTGGAACGGAGAGAGCATCCTATCGTGCCTCATTCATGCTGGCAGTTCCGGCATGAGCAGAGGCCTTCGACAGGTTTGGACGTTCCACGCGTCGAGGGAATACTCGAGGCGCACCAGGTGTTCATTAACACCATGAGCCCGAGCACTTCGAGGCGGTCCGCCATGGTCACAAAATATCAGAGCTTGGGTTAGGTGCCAACTACGGATGAGGTGGCCCTGATCTCAGATTCAGAGCTTCGTCACCATGTGAGCGCAGAGGACTAAAGTCGCCATAATGGCCCTGTAGCCGTTGGATGATACCTTCGACGGCATAGTGCCGAATGGAGATATGTGTTCCATGCAGAATAGGAGGGATGAGGTCGGCTGCTCCTTATCCAGAAGGGATCGACTGATATGTTGAGATTGAACAATATATAACGACGTGGGTTTAAGAAGCCCACTGCTTCTGCATTTTGGTCGACGGGTTCCCGTCAATACCATAGCAATGACGCTGTTGGAAAAGCACGACTTGACTCGAACATGGTCAACATGTACGCGAGCCGGCAGGAAAAATGAACGACATGAAGGAAACTGACATTTGGAAATGAAAGCCAATCCAAAAAAAAAAACCCGGAAAAATGAAGAAGAAAAAAAAAAAAAAAAAAAAAGCTCAGACGGCGTCTGGTGAAGCGTGAACGTGAGAGTAATCTTTGTATACGGTTTTCTGGGACGAAATGTGTCGAGCTGGAAAATACTTCACTGGCATCATGAGATGTAAGCAGATGTGGGAATTGGGCGTAGAACTCGAGCCAGACGGCCGGTTTGCCCATCAAACCCCTTATTGGGTCGTGACCTTTTTCTATAATATCAATCAGAAAAGACTCTGAGAATCGTTTATCGAGATCCATCTTCAATCTGTCGGCGTGCCATAATCATATGTGCTCTTGAACTGCGTAACCATGCAATGCGCCTTATTAGAGCAAGCCTTCTTTGACGATGTCAATATTGGCGTTCACTAATGCCATGAGAGTAATATTTTTAGTGTCGGGTGTATTTGTGGGCAAGCTGAAGGAACAGTAATGTGGGAGGCCAGGAGTCAGGCATGATGAGAGCCGTGAGAAGCATGCAACGGCTTGTTTGGCCTCTGTACGTGCAACAGATTTTCTCAGGAGATGCCTGTCCACCTCCAGATTACCGGTTGGGACAGCATGGCTTTAGTAGCAAAATTGAGCAGTAAGGTTTCCCTCATTCACACAGAATGGCTGTTTTACGGTCATTTCATTAACTTTATCGTTCGGTACTGCAAGTCATTAAACAGCCGTCATGATCGTGTTCCGGCGCTGGTGCTAGAAATCGTTGGTGATACAAAATGGACATGATTAAAGAGAAGTCGCCACATCCATCTCCTAGTGACGGTGAAGCTTGGCCTTGATCTTGTCCTTGAGACTTTCCTTCTCCTTCTCCGTGCCAGTGCCGGTACTGGAGCTGTGAGATTCGCTCGTCTTATCACTGGTTTTGTCGGCGCCGGACTTTGCAGATGCCTTGGCTGCCGCATGGGCGGGATCCTTCTCATCCAGGAGGCCTGACAAACTGTTAGTTAACACTGTGACCACCTTTGATCAATAGATCTAAACTTACGGTCTGCCTCGCGACCGGCGCCAGGCCTCGTCGCATCAAAATCGCCGCCATCAGCAGCCAATCCTGTAGCCTTTACGAGCTTCTCGCCCGTACCCTCCTCGCCGTGGCTGGCATTAGGATCCTCCTCCTTCTTGCCTTCGGTGTCCGTCTTGGACTCCTCACCTCCGATGAGACCACCCTTCGAGGATCCCTTGACATTGCCAGCATCACCCCCGCGCTCCTTGGCGACGGCTTCCAGGGGTCTCGGGCCTGGGCCGTCAAGCTTGTCACCGCCAGCAGTCGGACCGGACGCACTGTTGTTGACATCTTGTCCCTTGGGCGCCGGATCGGTGGCCGGGTCACTGGGAGCGCGCGTCTCAGTCTTCCCTGCGGCGCTGTCGGCCGAGGGGACATCGTTGGGTGATGTGTGCTTGAGCTCAGGCTTGCCGATCTCTTCCTTGTGCTTTGGGGACAGCTCCTCTGTCGTCTTGTGCGTCGTGGATTCCTCGGTAGCACGCGACCTATCGGCCAAGCTGTGCTCGTTTCTAGTCTCGGTACCAGTCGTTCCAGTCGTGCCAGCCGACGGGGTGCTTGTGGTAGGGGCAGTGGTAGTAGACAGCCCAGTGGTTGTGGTTGCTGTTGACCCAGTCGCCGGCTCAGAGGTGTGGGCATCAGCCACGTTGGCCTTCTTCTCCTTGTTCAAGGGGTCTTCTGCTTGGAAGTAAGAATTGGAGATATATGAAACCAGGCTCTAGAGCTTCAAGCTCTCCATGGTGATAACATACCGATATTGCCAGCGTCATACGGTTCACCCTGGCTAGTGTTGCCCTTGACACCAGAGACAGGCTCTTGGTTAGCTTCGTTCGTTCCCCAGATGGCCTTGCTCGCCGCGCCCGCGATGTTGTTGATTGTCTCCATATTGATCGGTGGGTACTCTGTGTTGACGTGAAAGTCTTTGTGATTTGTAGTTTGCGCAATTGCTTGAAGATGTAGTCCTCAGTGGTCTGGAGACTATGGCCGATTGGTTATTTGTTTGTTTTCTAGATGTAAGTGAATACTCCAGGAAGGCGGGGTGATACTGGGCAAAGAGGTGTCTTATAAAGTAAACGTGGGAGGCCTCGAATAGCAAGTAGGTAGCCTGCAGGTCTGACGTCTTTTGGGCCTCGCTTCTCCCCGCCTGCCTCCGATAGCAAACACATCACAATGGCATACCTGGACGGCTGGGGTGGACAGGCAACGGACGGGATGGCCAGGTACGGGGTAGGCAAGTACTTCTCTGCCCTCCAGAGGGCAAGAGACAACGAACGTAACTAACGGGTACGACGGCTCGAGACAGAAACAGATATATCTTGGCCTTGAATTTTCCAACTATCCCATCCTGCTGGACTCGCTAGCGGCACACATATGCCTCGCAGCCAATGGTTTGCCCAAAGTGACGCGGAAGAATAGGAATGAGGGGTCTGACGCAGCTAATGCCATTGTTATCCAGGCATGTACATCCTAGCAGCCACACCTTGGTTCTTGCGTGGGAGGTATCTCTGCCGCACGTAAGAAACGAGGAAGAAGAAAAGGTGGCTTGGACATGGCCAAAGCAAGGCAAGGCAAGGCACGACAGGTTAGAACAGATGCAAATGAGCTCATCTGCGACGTTGGATTGGCTGGTAGTAGCCCAGCACGGAGAGACTAGACGAGATCACGTCAAAGCTGGCGCAAACGGACGAGCTGCGGTGGCTCCCGATGCGGCACATGTAGGGAAGGCCAGCCAACGAGCGGGCCTGGAACTAATGGGTTGATTTGCAGAGGTCGTCATCTTGCCCACCAATTTGCCAAGTCAACACTGTGTTGCCTGCATCTACCTTAGTTTAACGGGGAAGGTAAAGGGCGGGATCTAGCGATCAGCAGCTGGCGGGGTTGACGAGCCTGGGATGCAGAGGAAGCTATGACGTTGAGCGCGGTTGAAAGTGCAGTCACGGGAAATACAGGCCGGGCGGGAAGCAACAAAAGGTGCGATTACGTCACTGCCCCGGGCTATTTTGATCTCGGAAGGTGCCCACGAATACCCGCTTGCAATGTACCACTCCAGAGGTCTCGACCTTTGAACCTCTGGCGCAATCTCGCCCGCAGATGAACTTTTCAGTATCAATTGGAGACATCTACAATAGTTAACAATGATCTTGCAGCATAATGAGAGCATCGGTTGAGGAGGGGAAGGTAAGCTTTGAATAGCACGCACTGGCAGCAAAGGTAATCCACCTTACCCACCAATTTGAGGTCCCGGACACGCCATCCTGCAAAATGCCCCATACTCTCAAGCCTTGGCCGTCAAGATGTTCCTGAAAATGCGCATGTCACTGCTTGCAATATGCGACGGTAAAGCTGTCTCGCCAGGACACTAAAAGGCCGTAGCTCCTCCTTTCACATGCAAGCCAAGTCGGGACGCCGATAAGCTAGAAGTCGAGATGAAGAAATGGACCAAAAAAAATGGCCAATGGTCCTTGTTCGCACACCATGGCGTCCCAGAAAGAAGCGCGGGGCCTCATGTTTGAATCATCCCTTGTGAAGCTACACCAACGTCGTATGGGTAAGGTAGTCTGTAGGTAAGATTCCGCCATAACCGACCTCAACAAAATGCGACGGACTAATCCGGGCCGAAGGAGCCGCGATTCCCGTCTACTTCGGAGCCTCCTCCGGAATCACAACACCAGAGAATAAAGAAGGGAGAAAGGTAATGAGATCGAGTAGCGAGGGTGTCACCTGCTGTATCTCAGCCGCTGAGTGGGTGGGGGAATCGTCCTCTGTATGTCTGAAATGGGAGGACCTGCCATCGGTCGGAAATGTCCCTCGTGCAGCCATTCGTGCAAGTAACTGGTCCAACGCCCTTTCTCTCAACAAGCTAAAGTGGCTGAGGTAAGCGTATCACTGGTCACGCTGACGCTGCGCCGCCCGGCATGTCATCCGTTGGTGCTCCCTCTCGAAGATATCTACCGTTATCTACTGCAACTTTTAGACTACAAGTTCTGTTTGTGCCTCTCATTGCGAACTGCAACTCGTGCAATAACTCGAATGAATGGAGTCGTATTCACACATCAAAGTCCGCCCTGGCGTGCGGTGATCTAGCATCAGCTACCTTTCTGTCTTGCCACGAACTCCAACATGCTTCTCTCAACACCTACCATTCTTGGGTTATGCTGGCTGGCGGGAGCTGGACTCACATCCGCAGTGCCACAAGTCTTATCTCTCGAAGACCATCCCAGAGACCAACATGTACTGCTGTCTTCCGACAAAGGCATGCCTCCCGAATCCCTTACAAATACCGTAGCTTCACAGACGGTCTAATGAGACTTTTCCATAGTGCGCTCAACTGATTACTTCAAGCACTCGCTATGGAGCGACCGTCGACAGTCCCAACAGCCGCCTGGTTTTGTTGCGTTCGGTGACTCCTATAGTGCCGGTATCGGCACCGGCGTTGATGGCGTCGAGGACGAATGCAGGCTGGGATCCCACGCATACCCAGTCTTGATCTTCACCGACCTGGCTGAAAGCCAAGCCCCAGGAACAGCAACCTTTCAGTTCCTGTCATGTACCGGGTCGACCACCAGCAATGTTCTATCAGGTGGCGATCACAGCCAGGTTGACAAGTTCAACAAGTCGATCAATGCTGACTTTGCGGTACTTTCAATCGGAGGCAACGACCTTGGCTTTTTCTCCGTGATGAATGCTTGCATATTCCGCTTTTACAGCTTCAACTCTGGCAGTTGCGAGACAGCACTGCAGTTCGTAACCGATCAGATCGAGAGTTCGGATTTTGCACAGCGGCTAGAGATGGTCATCATGGAGATACTGGACACAGTGCAGTGGGAGAAGCGGCCGTGGTTCATCATTACCGTGACCGGCTATGCTCGGTTCTTCAGCGTGGAAACTGATGAGTGCGACAATTGTACCCTCGGTGTCTGGTGGCAGGGACCAAAGCTCAAGAGGGATGTACGCCAGAGGATGAACGACATGGTCGTGGCAGTCAACGAGAAACTGAGGAGTTCTATCGATGCCGTCAATTCGAGGTTTACGACTCCAAAGGTTCTGTTCGTCGATTATGACGCCAAGTTCGAAGGCCATCGTTTCTGCGAACCAGGCGTTATGGAACCAGCGTACAACAGGACAGAGACTTGGTTCTTTCTCGTCGGAGGTAAAGACAACAACCCAAATATAACGGATCCGACGCCGGCCCCGAATGCTACAACAGTGGGCATCGAGTATGGTGCGAGTAGCAAGACCTTGTCTCCGTTGTCACCGCTCGCGGACCCGGAGACGTGCCTGGGCCCGGCTGAAAGATCAGGAGATTGGGGCCTGCTGGCTCTTTGTTACATGGCGAGGGCTAAACGCGACTATCCATCGCTGGAATTTACCGCGGAGGATGTCATGACTCAGAATTCCATGTGGTATGTCCCAACGTATTATGGGAAAACCTTCCACCCAGTAAGCTTTCGTTCCCCCAGTTTGACAGATCGTCCTGAAACTGCAGCTGACAAAACTTACAGAGGAGCCTCGGTCACGAGGTGATTAGAGATGAAATCTACAGGTCCTGGTCGCAATTAGATACAGTGAGATAGAAATCAAGGGCATCAGCGTGCGGACTGCCGCCCAAACAGGACATGCGCGAAAAGAGCAGATGAATGGAGGGCAAACCCTCTTCTCGTCCATCAGATGCCAGGTAACACCGCTCGCTAGGCTTCATGCAAGCAACCAAGAGACCGCTCTGCGGGGGAATATACGGTTAACTCAATGTCGATCATTTCGACTTCATCCCTACCCTTGGATATTATACCCATTTTTCATAGGGACAAGAACATCGCAGTATACGCAGATGCAGGGCCACGTCTGCTTCTCGCCGGAGCCGAGTCGGGGAGATTGTCTACTCTGGATCGCGGGTTACACCGAAGTTCCACACAACTGCTTCAGAGAGAGACCAGGGCCCATGCTGCAGGGGAAGGTGGGACATTGGCCCCTTTGGGTGAGTGATGCACCCGTTTGGCGGGGTTGTTCTCTTGGCCCGGAGAAACTTTCGGTAAGATGAATAGAATGCCTTGACAGATGCTGTCTTCTTTTCTTACTCTAGTTGAGTTAGCTGTAAGCGTGGCAAGAGGGTCGCTGTCTGGGGTTTGAGGCGAGTGAAATCGAAGTTGATGTACACTCTTTGGGAGACTTAGGAAGTTTGGACGGGTAGACGGAGGAGCCTCCGAAAAGTGTCTTACGGCCCATCCATTACAAAACCAGACAGCCCAATAAACAAACAACGACTCCTAGAGAAAAGTGTGGATGCGTCCAGGATCGTGGAGTACAACAACAGTGTTACTCCGCTCCACCTCAACCATTTTGGATCGACTGACTGATGCCATTCCGACCTCTCGTCCATCTAATGTCGCCCAGAACATCGCCCCGGAGCCAATTTATCAACCATGAGATGACCCATCCTGGGCCCAGCTGACGGCTATTGTACACCTAAAGTCTCCGGTCAAAGCAACTAACCTGGCCACATTGTATGGCACTATTATGGCCTATAATCCAAGTAGGATTTTAACAAGAATCCGGCCATGCGGATGGGTAAAGGGGGGGAGGACTCGCGGCAGGCAAACCATGCCTGTGACACACAGCTAGGCTGTATGAGTGATGTTGACGGAGCTTACGGAGTAGGTATGTATGGTTTCTTTTGGTTCCAGTGTCTCTCTGCACTGCATGCCAAAGTCTGGAACGGTCCTACACTTTACCCAACTCAGAGCTGAGCCGTATCGGGGTCTCGGGTCTCCGCATTTGAGCTTCATTATTAATAATTTCACACTTTTGCCACATAATACATCTCTATGTACGGCTGCAGATGAGCATCCTAGACAGTACCGAGTCTGGAATAACGGCCGTTGATGATTCCAAACTAACCCTGTCAAGAGTTCGCCAGTAGCGGTGATCCGTAACCACCAGCCGGGTACCGCCAGATCGGCTTGCAAGTAGCCTTCAACCTCTAATGTACTTGACGATGAGCGGTGTCTTCACTTTGAGGCAAATATGGCAAAGAGCCTGCCACTCTCCTAGCCTGAGGCTCTAAGCTATACCAAACGAAATTCTAAAGAGAGCAACTTATCAAGGTTCCGTTCAGTACATCGTCACCATTTTGAATATTGGAATATAGAGCCAACAAGCAGGACTCCGTTCTATTGAGATGCACACTGTAGTAACCAGCGATGAACTTGGAATTGTAGACATGCAGACACATGCACACAGGCACACAGGGTATTACGGGATATCCGTAGATACGGGTGATTGGTTTGTGTTACATGCCTACTGTACGGGCCTGCATGTTGCACGCAGCACCACCCAACCTTTGGCCGTGACAGCATACTGGTGCAGCACATCCCCGATGCGCGGACAGCGGGTTCGACCTTCTCGGCGGGCTATTTCGCGCCGTAGGGGAGGGATGCCGATGGGCGAGCCGGGGTTCACAAGAGGGACCCTTATGATTGATCGAGATTGGGCCGTTCATCTTGATAACCCACTTCCTGACGGGAAACAGAGAACTGCCCGGGCAGCACAGGCAGTAATTCTCGGGAATAAACTGCCTCGCGGTGGCACACACCGTAGGTAGCCGTACCTTGTACCTGGTTAAAATGCTTGGTCTCAGATGTGAAGATAGGTATGGAGTAGTCACTTACAGCTATTTGAGTGTGCTAGAATCTAAATAGCAGCCATCGTCAGCACGGCCACTCGTTCTATAAGTAGTGCTTTGTTGATGGGCCTACCGATCACCTTCAAAATTTTATCCAGATGTTATGGTACAGCACCTCACTTATTTGATGAAGGAGACCATTGCCGCATGGCACCGACTAGAGCCCAAAGCCACGGCCCCCGAGACGCGGCTTGACCGGGGAAACGTTTCCTACACCAGCGCTACTCGAATACAGGTAAGCACGCAAGGTAATGGCTGCCGTCTGTCACGGTTTCACTTGTAATGCAGCAAGATCTGCGTCGTCTTGATTGGAAGCACCAGAGGGGCCACGCTAGGAACTTGCCGCTGGCACCTCACGCACGTTTTACATGGTGATCCAGCGAGGGGGCACGGAACCTTCCTTGTGCTGTATGCAGGAGTGTACCTACTCCATACAGATATGTCCAGCGGCGTCTTCGTTTTCACCTGCCTAGAGTGGGTGAGTGTTACATATCTTGGGCCTCTTGGAAAGAGTCAGATAGAGGAAAAAGCATGGAGCGTGCTTGCGTACCCCCAGAAGCTTGGTGGTGCTGATGCCGAGTGTTGAGCTCATCACTTGCAGGTGTCTGGGCTGCATGGCTGTTCGTTGCACGCTGAAGACTAGAATGTCCGTATATTGATCGAGTCTGCAATACGGATACTAGGTGGGAGATGTTGATCACAAAAGAATCTGCCTACTCTTCCAGTAGAAATCACCACAAGATCTAGGCTCCTCCAAGCTGAATCTAACGTGGCATACCTCGGGCTACGGGCACCTGCGTCAGATATTCAGGTCGATGGCCCGAGCCCCACGTCATCGACGTCAAAACGGACAATGCCCAAGCTTATCCTACCTTATGCGCAGGAGGCGACGTGAAGGGCAGTGCTCTGTTGCTCACAGCGGTGGCCCATGACCCAGAAGCAAAAGTTGATGGCTATCCATACCTTTTCTACAGTAAGACGACGGTGAGAGAATCTAACACCTTACTGCAAGCCGCCTGTGACCGACCTTTCGGAAACTTTACACAGCCCTTCTATGGAAGTACCTTACTAGGGTTATGGCATATCACTACCTTCCTTATGTGCCTCATGAATACATCACACAGCAGGTCGGTGGCTCAAGCGAACTTTCCCTGTACGGCATTTTAGAGGCCCAGTTGCTAAGCAAAGCAGCATGGGGTCCTACCAAAGTACCGAACACGAATGCTCACTGACCAGTCACAATGGTTTGGAGTCCTTGGGATCGGGCGACAAGGGCAAAGACTGGGGCGGGATTCGATGACAGATCCCGCTGCACTCTCCCGGAGCTTTCTACCTACCAAGTCCGAGCTACTTGGTACAGGCGGATACACTAGGTGCCACGCTGCCACGCTGCGTCTGAAAGTGCGAAGTGTGCGAAGTGTGCGAAGTAGCGAAGGTTCGGTCTCCAAGTCTCCAACATCACTCTAGGGGAGTCCAGTCTCAATCCCCCTTCCTCACTCAGCCTCTCCCACCGGCCACCGATCGACAAGTCGACAGGTACCTATTCGTACGTCCATTGTTTGATTATCAATTAACTTTGCTTAGGCACCTTGCTTCATGTTGTCTTGCCGCACAGCCTTTGCCTCGTACAGGCCCAGCAAGCGTGCTAGTGCAAAGCTCTGACGTCTGCGGACCGGTCCCCCAGGCCCCCCCCCCCCCAGTGTTGGGTCTGCTGTTGGAGCAGCATAACTCGCCCTGTGCTAGGTATCCCAAAGGTACGGATACTTGGGTCTGCGTTGCTTTGCTTTGCTTGGCCTAGCACTAGGTACCGTATAGTTCCAGTACGGATACGCGTCTCTACACAGTAGTGTACGAACATTTACAATACTTCCCTTCCTCACTGATAACGTACATCTCATCCTACCTTCGCCTTCCTCTCATTTGTCCACTCGCATTGCCCTTCTCGTACCTTGCCTCAATTCCCCTCCTGTTTATGGCCATCAATCCAACCCACTTACCCTCTATCAGCCTGGTCAATCACAATCTGGAAGGGCTAGTCACGGAGCCGGAAAACAAGACAGTCTAAAAAGCCTAGAACTCAGACTCAAGCCTTGCATCCGCCCTGCCTTACAGGCTTCTTGAGCATTGACGATTCAGCTGCTTTGTCCCACCCCGGCCCTAGTGTCATTTGGATCCGCGACGGGAGCTTCCAAGCCTGCGTCGCCTGCGTTCCCCTCTCTCACTGAACTCAACTAACGCCTTTCATCCCGCATACGTAGGGCTCAAAAGGCTCAGTAGTACCTACCTTACGGATAGTGTTGACCCTCTTGTCTGTTCTCCCCTTCATCTTCTGCTGCTCGTGCTCCGCGCGAACTTAGTACAAGGTTGGGACAGCTCCAAAAAACCTCCACTTAGCAATTCCCCCCAGACCCTTACTACTAGACGTACCGGCCGTCCTTCTTTCCTAGAAGACTTGTCGCAGTCCCATCTATCCATCCTTTCCTCTCGCCTCGTTTACCACCTGCAGTTCGCAGCCTTTTATTTCTCGATTGTCGTGCACATCTGGAAGACGCCGGTTCACTGACCGTTCTTGTCGAGCTCCTACAGCATCTCGCCCGTCCTGATTCTCTGCCCGCGGGGTTGAGGAAGCGGGATTCGGATGGCATCACGCTGTGTTTCGAACGACTCGTGATGGACCAAGTACTCCGGCGCCCAAACCCCCTGCTTGCATCTCTTTCGCCGAACAACTAAAGCCAACAACACAACCTGTTATCTGATCCCGCGGTTTTACCAGGTCTAGGTTATCCAAGAATCCATCTCAAGAATGGTCTACTGCGGCAAAGCCTCTCAGGGCTGTCAAAACTGCCGAACCCGTCGCATTAAGGTGTGTAGTACTGATCCCCTCAACCCTCGAAGAGCGGCTCTTCTGAAGAAGGCCCTGGTTTGGACAATTCACCCCTCAACCTCGTTGCTGGATAAAATTGACCAACATGGGACCGTGGTTGACAAAATTCCCCTTATAGTGCGATAAAGTGAAACCCGAATGTTCACAATGCATCCGCGTGGGCAAGAAATGCCCCGGGTATCGAGACCAACTTTCGCTCATGTTCCGCGATGAAAGCACCAAGGTCATCAAAAAAGCACACGCTCAGTGGGGAGTTACCGATGGTGCTGAGAATGGTGCTGAGCGCGCATCGGCCTCGACAGCTCCGTCACCGCCTGCTTCTTCGCCCTCTTACAGCCGGAAGGGCTCGCCGAACAGCAAGAGGTCTGCATCAAGATCAGGAGCCGCGAACGTACCTTCACCAGCCTCGAGCTCGGCATCCTTTTCCGCCTCGCCTTCGTCAACGTACCGTTCTGCGGGCTCTTCATCACCACCAACGCTCCCGGCTGTCAAGGAAGAACACAACCGCGAGTCCAGCCCTCCGACACTCCAGATAGGATCTACCCTCGAGGAACAGGGCGTGCAGTTCTACGTCAACAGGTATTTGATAGGGCATCCTGATGAACCCAAAAACGGCCAAGACTTGAACACAGAGGGTTGGATATGGCATCCAGCAGTACAGGACGTCATGTGCGCCGTAGGCCTTGCTGGTCTGCACAACCTGACTGGCAATGCCAAAATGATGTCGACTGCGCGAGAGAAGTATGGTTCAGCACTACGACATACCGGGAAGCTGATCCGGCCTCCCCATACACCGAGCATAGATGTGACAATGAGGGCCGTGGTGGCCCTCGCCATGTTTGAGGTTCGCCCCCCAACTCTCTGCTGCAACTATGGTTACGCGTCTTTGACTGTTGCTGTTGTTCGTATTGGCTGACCTGGTTTCTTGCTCGTACAGGTTGTGAAAGGGACCCATCATTCCACAAGCACCGTCCATGCCCATGTTATGGGCGGAGCTGCGCTGATGAGAAGCTGGTGCCCTATGCCCAGTGCACCTTTTGCAGGCTTCAGGGCCTTATTGCAGCTGTGCTACTCAATGGTAGAGACCGCTCCTCCTGGTCTGGATTGTTTCGTAGAACTGACGCTTTCTGTAGTTCATACCTCTACACGTTGCTGGCATGCCCATGCCACCGGACTTTTACGACTGGGTTTCTTATGGTTCGCAACTCCAGCTGCCCATAGACCGACCGTCGACCGACCTAGCGGTTCTGATCGCTCGATTTGTCGAAACCTCGTCAATTATTCACAACCATGTCATCAGCGACGGAAAACCAAAGACGGCCAGCGTTATTCAGCAGCTTCTGGATCTTGATCAAGATTTGGCCTCGTGGGAGAATGGACTGGAAGGAGATTGGATTTACCGCACCATTCACGCCACCCATCTCCCTCCTAAGGCAGTGTTCCAGTGCGAATACCACAAATACCACGACGTCTGGACTGCTCGAATCTGGAATTACTACCGATGGTGCCGGATTCTGGTCAACCAGAATTTGCTGGATCTGACCAATAAGAATCCTGTGTCCAGTTTGTCGCTGGTATCAGCGGCTGCGCGGGACGAGTTTCTGAACGTGATCCGACATTTGGCGAGGGATATACTTATTAGTGCACCAACACATTGGCGACACCCGGCCCTAGACGGACCGGCTCAGATAACAGTGGAAAGTCCCGGCGGAGGAGGAGCTGGATCAGCAGGACTACCGGCATTGCTATTCCACCTCAAAGTGGCGGGTTGCGCTCCTGGAGTGCCCAAAGACTACTGGGAATGGGCGTTGGGGATCATCCAAACAATTTGGGGCGACATGGGAATGTTGCACGCACGATCGATGATGGAAGCCATGCGAGCGCATGAAGACACGGTGCTGAGAACTGGTGCAGCTGGGATATTGGCAGATGATTGGTAGACGGGGCCATGGGTCGGAAAAGGGAAACGGCGTAACGGAGTTGAGGAAACCAGGATGTTTTTTTGGTCTTGAAAGTTTAGCAAAGGTCCGGAGCAGCGGCCAGGTGTGGCTGGGTGATACCATCGGTTTTGGAGTAGGGCTTCGTTCCTCCCGGCATGAAAAATGGCACGGCAAGTTTAAGGAAGTTCTGGCGTGAGGTATATCCGAAGCAAGTTCGTGAGGGCAGACCATGCGTCAAGATGAGTTGCAACGGTTCCTGGTGGGATGGTTGCGGCATAGCCACTAATTTGCAATGCTACCTTATGGGCCCGAGGCGTTTGAAGATATCTCCAATCCATTCTGTCAGTGGCATCCTCTACGATACATTCATCAAATAGTAACTAAGAGGACCAGAGAAGGATTTGCGCGTCTAAAAGTGACGAACGCTGTTCCGGAATCTGATATTTGAGCAGTGCGGATTACGATACTCACGGTCTGTTAGCACGGTATGCTGGAGAGATGGCCTACGAGCTCTTGCATGTGGAGGCCCCAGGCTCCCACGCGTGACCTCCACTGGGACAGCCCCCGTCCTCCTACCTCACCCAACCAAAGGCAACCCGACGACGACATTCAACGGCTACGATAAGGCCCAGGGCGCGACGCATCGCAATTATTTCATCAACCATCATATCGCCTGCTATCCGATGAGACGTTCGAAATTTTTTTGAAGTCTTCTGCCATGAAGTGACGCTCACGGGCAGAGTTTCATCGCCGGACATTGATATCCCGCGTCTCCGTCGCCAAAGTGGCCCGTCGCCACACACCACGACCCATAGAGACCCCTCCATCGCGATCGTATCGCACTCCGCCGTCATCACTACATCGAACCACCTCATCGGGCGAAACAGCCTACAAACACGATGGCCGCCGTTTCCGACTCCAAGAAGAGTAATGCGCCCGCATCCTCGTACTCTTGCCCAGCTCTGACGGTACACTAACCACAACTTGCGCATACAGACGACGAGCAGACGATCAAGGTCGCATCGAAGAAGGACCCCAAGAATAAGCCCGACGGCCCTATTAAGCTCAAGAAACCCGCTCCCAAGTACAATAAGCCTGGAAATTGGAGGGAAGGAAGCATTGTGGAAGGTGAGTCGACTGAATCGCGTAACGGATACGAGGCTTGGAGACTGACCGATGTGAGCACCAGAAGACAAGAAATCAAAGAAGGATGATTCCGCATCGATATCTGTCGCTTCTCCCGGACCCGTCGTTAATCCCCTCGATGATATCGCGCGCGAAGCCTTTGCGACTGGCCGGCCGCTGGAGGACACGCCCGACCTACAACAATGCAAGCATTGCAAGAAGAGCATCCTTAAAACAGCCGCCAAGGCCCACATCGCCGCGTGTCTCAAGCTGAAGAAGGAGAAGGCCCAGAGGAAAAAGGAGGCGAGAGAGGCCCGCGAGCGCGCCAAGGAAGCTGCACGTGAAGAGGAAGCCAGAAAGGCAGACGAAGATCCCGATGGCAAAGGCGATGATGACAGCGACGGCGATGAAGACGGTGGCGACGGCAAAAAGGCTACCGGCAACAAAACTGCAAAGAAGACGGGAGGTAAGAAAACCGACGGTGATACCGGCAAGGGCAAGAAGCGCAAAGCAGACGGAGACGCGGAGAAAGGGCCTAAGCAGAAAAAGAAGAAGGAAGAACCGAAGCCGAAGGCCCCCAAGCCAAAAGGTATGGACCGTTGTCTCATTGGGATTCTCACCTGGTTTCTGACTATGTACAGGTCCCGTGGATGTCGAACGCCAGTGTGGTGTTCTGTTGCCCAACGGGCAGCCTTGCGCCAGATCTCTTACGTGCAAGAGCCATAGCATGGGCGCAAAACGTGCCGTTGCGGGCAGATCTCTTCCCTACGACATGCTTCTGGCGGCATACCAGAAGAAGAACCAGGCCAAACAGCAGAGTACGTGGCTCCCTGAACACGTTTTAAAGACAATGCCACTGACAACATATCATTATAGAGGCTGCTCTCGACGCCAATGCCCCACTAGAGGACGAAGATGAAGCCAACGCCGGGCCGGTTGACTCGGATGAAGAGACGGCTGCTGTCATGAGTGCGCTGGCGCACTGGAATCCGCAACCTGTGGTGCCGCAGCCAGTCCTCATTCCAATTAAGAGGCAGTACCAGCTAGCTCGACTTCACGAGCAGCTACAAATGGCGACGAACGGTGGAAGAACAAACATATTCAAAGTCAACGGTTTTGGGGCGCAGAGGCTTCCCCAAGGTCATCCAGGACTCAACGACACGGAGGACGCGCCTGGCGAGCTTGACGACGTGAACTTTGGAGGCGCCCGCAGGTCTTCCAGCTTCAGCATGCAAAGCCATCCTCAACGACGGCCGTCTGTAACAAGCAGAGGATAGTGTAGTGCAGGCGTGGCTGCAGGAAAGAGGCCCACCTGTTGTGACTTTCTGATACTCTTGCCAGGCGGAGACGCCATTGGATTTTCTTCGTGGGAGAGGGTGGTCTCCTGCATTTTTAACTAAAAGGACGGGCGGCGTTATGATTTTAGGCGGTATACCATGTGGTCGCAGCTGGAAAGAAGTTGCTTCTCTCTTTCCCCTCATCCGTGTTTCTCAAATTGCCCATTAGGTTCTCTTTCAGCAGCGGCGTTTGGTGGGTTGTGCACTAGGGATCTCTCGCTGCTACTTGCGGAAAAGTAGCAGCGCATGTGTGTATATATTTATCTCTATATGAACGATGCGTTTCGGATGTAAGACGCAAAGGATGACAAGTCCAAGAAACTAGATCTCCTAGTTCTAGGTCATGAAAGCATGGGTAACAGTAATCAAGTTAAACCCCCCGTGTACCATGGCGTAAAAATGCCATCCGAACCCAAAGTCGCGAACCGTCGATTGTGAGGTACATGGTATTTCATACTTTACCTATAGAGCTGGGATTATACAAATGAGATGGCAGGTGGGTCTGTTGGTTTGCGCATCCAGAGCTACCCCCGTCTGCGCCGTCTGCGGATTAGCGCCGCTATAACACTTTCACGCGATGATGACGTCGTTATAGTCAGGCTAGTTAACCCCGGATTTTCGCCGTGACCGCAAGCACTATCGGCGCCGAGCTGACCTCGGTACCACACATCTGCCGCATAGGTTGACAGAAGGAAATACCGTCGTCTTCGATCTTCATGCTCGTTGATCTCGCCCCCTTACCACTTACATTTTATACGTCCTAACTTGCATATCGGCTACACACGCTGAGGAGAACAACAAGGATCTACTGCAGCGCGCCAACCTACAGTATCTCTTACATCGACGCTTCTCTAGTTACTCCTACAAAACCTCTTATTCTCATAGTTGAATCCAATTGATTTGTCCTTTCAAGTCGTATAGCACTCCCACACGACCATGGCGCCCGCAGGCGTCCTCGATGCCTTGGGCCACGCCCTCGCAGGCGCCCTTGGAACTGCCTTCTCGACAGCTGCAGTGTATCCCCTCGACCTTGTCACCACACGCCTCAAAGTCCAGCGGCAGCTGCGAAGCGAAGATGCGATCTCCGAAAAGGACCAGTACAAAGGCGTGGTGCAAGCCATGAGAGCCATCACGGCGAAAGAAGGCGGCATATCAGCCCTCTACACGGGTCTCGCCCAGGACGTTTTCAAGTCCATCGCGGACTCGTTCCTCTTCTTTCTGTTTTACGAGTACTTTCGAGGCACGCGCCGGCACTCGCGTGGGAAACGACTGTCGGTCCTGGACGAGTTGGCCGTTGGCGCATTGGCGGGCGCCTGTGCAAGAGCCTGCACGACGCCAATTGCGAACGTGGTTGCGAGAAAACAGACATCAGCAATGATCGAAAGCAACGAGGAGGGCGGCGACGCATCGGTGTGGGAAATTCTCTCGTTAATTCGCGCAGAAAACGGCGTGGCTGGTCTTTGGGCCGGTTATTCCGCATCATTGCTGTTGACCATCAACCCCAGCATCACATTCTTCCTCAACAAAAAGCTGGGAAAGACTCTACTCCCGGACTCGGACGAAGCCTTGCACAACACGCACACTACATTCCTCCTCGCTGCTGCGAGCAAGTCTATTGCGACCATCATCAGTTACCCCATACAGACCGCAAAGGCCAGACTGCAGATGCGCGGTACTGCTTCGCCGCGGAGGAGCACCGATTCCCAAGAAAGACCTCGTGCTGAGGACCTCAGCAAGGAGCCTTCTAGTCCAGGTGCGCTGGCCAAAACGAAGGAGGCGCTCGATGATAGCGTGCTCGCCATTGTCTTGTCCATTGCCAGAACTGACGGAATAACGGCCTTGTACGCCGGGCTTCAGGGCGAGGTGCTCAAGAGCTTCTTCAGCCATGGCCTGACAATGGTATCCAAAGGCGTCATTCACACCTTCGTAATCCGCCTTGGTCTTCTATTGGTGTCCTTGTCACGGAGACAGTCGCGCGATATCAAGTTGCAGCACCTGAGACGAATTTTCCTCAGACTTCGATGAAATGACATCTGTTCATTTTCCCGTGGTTTCGAGGCTAAGACGGTTCGGCGCTGCGTGACTGTTTCTGAGAGAGCCTTCCAGAGCATACAAGACAGTCATGCCGATGAACAGCTTTTGGACGGTGCCTTTGCCGATTCACATGAACCGTGCTATGCAGGTCATGAGCACGACTGCATTAGCATTGGAAAGCGACGCCGCTTTTCTCAACTTTGCTTGCTCCCCGAGCAGAGAACCCAGTGCCCTCGGACCTGAGTTCTATCAGCCCGGCAAATTCCTGTTTAGGTTCCTTGTGCTTGCTATCTGGGCGGGCCGCAGGAAGCCTAGCATCGCACACATAGCATGCATTTTCTTGCGGTGTCATAAACTTCACAGCGCAATTGCGGCAAATGACGTGACCGCACTTTTCGGCCATAAGAGGTCGCGAGGCATTGCCGAGTGTCTTGACACAGGACGGGCAAATGCGCCGGCTGGAATTGGTCTTGGTGTCGAGCTCTTCTTTGAATTCGAGCGAAGTGAGACTCTTGAGTGAGAAGGAATGCCGAGACTCGTCTACCGAAGCCGGGCAGATGGGCGCCAGCTTAATCTTTTTGGGAGCGGCTGCCAAACCTTCCGCCATACGAGCTGCATTGGCATCTGGTGTTTGCCCTGGTGTCCAGAAGAACGGTATACTCTCCTTGGATGCCTAGAAAGAGTTAGCATGGCATAGCTGGGTAATCGGGGTCTAAGGGTAGATAGTAGCATACTTTCTCAGCTTTAATCAACTTTTTGGCCTTCGTGCGATCCTCCTTGGCAATTCTGTCCAACTCATCCTGGTCCAGCACAAACTTCCTCTTGGTGACCTGAATGTCTTTGGTGGTGTTGGGGTCGGCTCCCTCGATTTTGGTCGATAGACTGGATGATGAAGATGCCGTTGCTGCAGCCGACGGTTTCAGCCCTGCTTGGATACTCTCAAAATCTTTGACGGCACGTTCTTGGGCTTCAGCATCTTGTTGTGCCTGCGCCTCCAAGGTCGCCTGCTCATTCTTCTCCCGAAGTTTTTCTTCGCGCTTGATTTCCTTCTTCTGCGCGAGCAGATTGGCCACAGCGCACTCTCGACAGAAAATGTCGCCGTGACTACATGAGACTGGGTCCCTAGCCATCTCAAGGCAGAGGTAGCAAGAGCCAAAGGGGAGAAAAGAATCGCGAGACAAACGGGCTGAGGTGGATGCCCATGCAGCCTTGGCCATATCACGCTCGTAAGAGGTGAAGACGCTACGCGACGTGTTTCTTTTGCCTATAGATAGTCAGATCCACGAACAGATGCATATGAGGGGATGTACTTGAAGGTTGAGGGCTTACTGTGTGCCATGGTGTTGATTATGACAAGGAACTTGGCGAGACAGACAAATCTACTAAAGTTGAGCAAAATAGGAACCGTGGTATGAACGCTCTGTTAAATGATAACGTTGGATTCTCGATCTGGTTTAGTTGAAGGATGAGGTGGTGGATTGTGAAGAAGTCAAGCAGTTACCTCGTATTAAAGTAAGGTAACGAGATAGACGAGTGGGTAAGGAAGTTGAGACGGGCCAGGATACCATTGTCCAGGCAAAGCAGAAAGACATGTCAGAGTGACAAGGAACATGGCCCAGGCGTCGTGAGCCGTATTCGCGGTACTGAAATATACTTATGTACTTATCGAGCGCGTCTACCCTCTTAGCGAGATGAATGCTCTATAGCGACCCACTCTAATGTAAGGCAAAGACAGCTTTTTTCTCGATTCTCATCTTGGATTCCAATCGGCAGCCAAACTCGGAGTGCCAATGGCTGATACAATCTTCTTCTTACTGCTCATACACAGCGTGTGAATTTTTTCTCAATTACCTTTCCTAATCACGTGTTCGTCATTGGCCCGAAGAGGTGGATTTATGACGCGGTTGATTCGCTCCAATCACCGTGTCACCTACTGTCACCCAGTCACTTTCCTCCCTTTCACTCATTTCACCAGTTCGGGCCGGCGAGGTCGAAGACTGTCTTCCCGCGCGCCACACTTGTAGAAAAGAAACATGACGGCCTTGGAGGAGAGGCCAAGTGAGCCAAGCCTACCATGGCGCATGGCGTCTTCGGCTATAATGGGCCTTACTGGTGCCATCTCTCGAGCCTTCTTATACACCTTTCATGATGTCCAGACCGAGAACCAAGCTCGATTTTTAGAAGTTCTGGACAAGCGTCGAGCCGAGACTCCTGAACGTGGTCTCATCACTGGTACTTTATCCTTGTCGTATTCTCTCAAAGACGATGAGCTTATAACTGACAACTATGGATTGCAGTCTCAAACCACATCAGCGTGTGAGTTTTTTCATTTAGTTTTTTCAAAAGTAAAGACCCGTCTCTCGTGCCGATCTGACGCGTCTTGAATCGATAGTTTAGACGACCCCCTAATATGGGGTGTGCTGCCGCTCAAGTACAATATGTACCCCCTGAGTGCGAGATGGGGTCTGGGTGCTCATGACATCTGCTTCAAGAACCGGTAAAGACCACCCATGTTTCAACTGGACATTGAGGGGCCTCCACTAACAAAATCGCAGCGCTTTCAAAACGTTCTTTACCCTCGGTCAGGTTTTGCCGACATATCGCTTGCTGCACTCCCCCTATGGCGGATTATTCCAGCCCACCATGACCCAGGCCATCCGCTTAGTATCCGGCCCCGGGGCACTGTTCCCCTTCAAAGCCGCCTTCGAAGCTGGAAACAACGAAGTATTTTCCGCGCCCACTTACTACAGAAGCAAGCACGGCGCGTGGGTTCACGTGTTCCCCGAAGGCTGTACGCATCAAAATCCTGAACGAACCCTCCGTTATTTCAAGTGGGGTGTTTCCCGGTTGATCCTCGAATCCGACCCGGCCCCCCAGCTCGTTCCCATGTTCATCGACGGATTCTCAGACATCATGCCGGAGGATAGGAAGTGGCTGCGATTTCTCCCACGCATCGGTGCCAAGATTCGCGTCTTTTACGGCGAGGCTCTTGAAGTGGGCGAGGCCTTCAGAGAGCAGCGTCTAAAGTGGAAGCGTATCGTGCAGAAAGAAGTGGAGGCCCGAGGCAAACCATTGAGCGTCGGCGAAGTACCAGAGTCCCTGAAGGATCATCCTGAAGCGATCCAGCTGCGTGTAGAAGTCGCCAAGACTGTCAGAGACATGGTGCAAGAGCTGAGGATAAGTGCGGGATATCCTCGTGACAGCCCGGCATTCGCTCTTGCTGAGACATGGGAGCGCGAACCCGAGGACAAGCAGTTTAAGAGTCCTGTAGATGACAGCCTGGTTAACAAAGAATAATGACACTTCGACTTGGATGGCGGCTCATAGAAGGCACGCCATATGTACAATCTTCTACACTTTGTAAATATACAATAAGCGGGACTCTTGGATTGCATTGTTTACTACATAGTTGCGAGCGATACTCGCGACTGTCATAATCACCCTCGCTCCCGCACACAACGCCAAAAGAAGCGAAGTTATCAGTAACGCCCGTAATGCCCCTTTGGCAAAGCCTGCCAACAATGCCATACCCTCCACTATGAAGTTGCAACTCATTGCTGCCGATGCAAATAATGCATAGCAGACCCCCGGTCCCGTAAAAGCATAAACCACAAATGCATGCGGGCGCCTAGCCACGGTTCGAAGCCCGAGAATCAGTAATTTTCGTAAGACCCTTGTCCCGGGTAGGCTCTAGCTTGTGCTTGCAAAGCTTGCTGCTGATGCTGTTGCATGACGATATCGTTGAACCAGGGGTGCTTGAGGGCTTCGTGAGCACTGATGCGAAGTTCGGGGCGTAGCTGCAGCATTCGTTGGAGCAAATCGATGCCAGTAGGATCGATCTGAGGAAGAATCTGACGAAGGTCTTGAGTGGCGTACATCTGGAAAGTGGGTTTGTACTCGGGGAATTGCGTAATGCCAGTCCAGGTTCGTTCGGTTGGGGTTCCCATGATGCGGAAGATACGAATAATCTGGTCCTCGTTTGTTGTGCCAGGGAACAGTGGTCTGCCGGTGTACATTTCCGCCATGATACATCCCGCAGACCAGATGTCAATGCTGGTGTTGTACGTTCTGCTGCCCAAAAGGACATCTGGTGCGCGATACCACAACGTGACCACCTCGTTCGAGAACGTGTTGACGGGAATGCCGAAGGCACGAGCAAGGCCGAAATCACCAAGCTTCAGCTGTCCCTTGCCGTTAATTAGGAGATTCTGAGGCTTCAGGTCTCGATGTAAAACTCTGTTCTGGTGGCAGAAGTCGATGCCTCTCAGCAGTTGATACATGAACGACTTGATCTGGTGGGGCTTGAGGGCGCCTCTATCGCCATGGGTGTCCATGTATTTCTTAAGATCTCCATCCATGTATTCAAACACCAACATCAGCTTATTCTCGGTGTGGATCACATCGTGGAGGGCGACAATGTTCTCGTGCTTCAGCTCCTTCATGAGCGAGATCTCTCTTATCGCCGTCGAGGGGGTGCCTTCTTCCGAGTCCAAGTGGATTTCTTTGAGAGCGACAAGCTCTCCAGTCTGCCGGTTACGACCTTTGAACACCTGCAAATAAACAGTTAGTCTCTACGCGCATGAAGTGTGGAACTGAAAGGGCATACGGTAGCATAGGTGCCCTCGCCAAGCTTCTCAAGCTGCTGGAACGAGCTTGGGTGTCTCTTGCCGTCCATGTCTGCTGAATGGAGCTGGCAACGATGTTGAGATTGTGGGTAGTGCGGAGAAGTTCACCGTGTCGACGGAATCAACAAACAAGATTCTTAGGCTCGGCTTGGGATCGTAGAGACAGTCGTCGACGAGGCTGACTGGAAGAGGAGAGAACAGAGAGTTGCGATGCGCGCCAGCCCAAGACGTGTGCTACGATAGGGGCTCGCACGACGAGTAAAGTTGCCTGAAAACTCTGTATGCGGGATGGTTGGGATGGATGGCTTGCGTTGTGGTCGACAGCTAATGGTATGATCAAGCAATAGTGCAGTGCGGATAACTAAGTGTGTGTTCAAATGATTGTCGGAGCTGAAAGGAGTGACGACAGAAAGTGGTGCGGTTGCGGCGTGGTTAGTGTTGGGTCGCATTCAGCCTGTCGGTCGACCTTGCACCTTGCGGAGACGTGAAGAGGAGACCGGGACCCCACCACTTACTTCCTAGTTTTTGCTACCTCATGCCGGTCCAATATATTGTTTTCAAGCTATAGTTGAGACAAGCGTAAGAGGAATCAACTTGATTTCCGATCTCGAACAAAGGAAAAACTTCCCCTAATCATGGTACATAGTGCGGAACTCCATGGCATCTCTTTCTTGACGTGTCAACGTGTACCTATCCTATGATAGGGTTGGCGCGCGTTAATGTTACTACCTACCTAAGGTAGGTAGCACGGTAAGGTAAGTAGGAAAAAAACGGCTCTCACCTCAGGTTCGGCGTGGGCAAGGGACTGGTGACCGACCAGCTGCTTCCCGTGGCAGTCTCCATTATCACCCCGCACTAGTACAAAAGTAGTCACTCGCTCCACTTGGGCCTCTTATCGCCTCTCCACCCTTGCGGGATGACCTTATCGCCATCAGACCCCTCTCGTCTCGTCGGTCAACGACACAACCGACCTCTTACCTTCCATACCTTACCTACTCACCTACTTTACTAACTATCTCAGCCTGGCATTCCGTCAACGCTACTCTGTGCATAAGTGGCGCTTATGTGCCCTACTACGAAGCTCTTTTCAAAATTTACGTGAACCACATATACGCTCCAATTAATAACGATCTGATGATACTGTCGCGTCGACATGCGACCCTTAGCTGGATGCGACTCGTTCCCGGGGAATCTCTCCTCAGGTGATGGGGCCAACGAAAACATCGCTTCGGCTTCGCAGAGTACCGCCTCACACATGTCCTTTATCCTCGCTGACGAAGCTACCATGGAAGCCTCCTTGCCATCGCATCCTTTTTCTGCTCCTCGGGCGCGCGAACAGCGGAAACAAGCTACCTCCGCGACCCCCAGCGACGGATCAACGCAGAGACGTGAATCTGGCACAGCTCCACCAACCACTTCGCGTTATACATCATCTTTGCAACCCCATGATGCCGTATCTCATCGGCCAAATTGTACCAGCAATCCCTCGTCGGCGGGGATACCGACACCTCCTCCGCCGTCTCTATCTCAACCTATGACTCCCATACTCTATGGCGTATCAGGACCATGCTCTGCTATCAGCAGTTCGTCATCGCGGCCCAACTCGCTAGCTGGATCGCTTTCGGAATACCAGGAAAGCTTTGTCATGAGTGCCTTCGGAACCTCGGACGCTGGTCGCCCCCAAAGTATATACAGTGGCGAGGTTGCTCAGCAGTTCATTATGCCCACCATCAACGTCCCTAGTCGGAGACCCTTCACAGAAGCTGGAAAGGGCCTTGGTAGGCTGAAGCTACTCGTAGCTGGTAAATCAGGTATTGCATGATCTTGTGCTCCAAGAATAAAGCATTCGCTGATGAAACGTGTCTTCTCAGGCGTAGGGAAGACCGCTTTGATCCGAACTATAACACAATCTTGCTCGCACATCGTACACGTCGACCCTACCGTGCCAGTGGCAATGGCGTCCAAAGGTTTCCTGCCAGCAAATACGATGCCGAATAGTCCTCCGATATCTCAGGGCACTTTCCAAATCACAGAGACTTTAGCCAGCACCAAACCGTACCCCTCCTGGTGGAAGGATTCGGCCTTTCCATCCCCTACGCCTGGTCCGATTCAACTAGAGGACACAATTCTAGACAGAAACATCTGTCTGGTTGATACGCCTGGATATCAGGAAACATGTCGCGTATGTTCTGCAAGCAATTCACCCTTACGAGCCTCGAATCGACTAACAAGATCATAGCCAACGGATACTATGGGCCAAGTCTCACAATACGTTGAATCATACCTTCAAAAGAGCCGTCTCGACGGTCTAGAAGACCCCGATGTTCTAAAAACAATCAGTGGAAGCGGCGGCTTGCTTGTTGATGCGGTGCTCTACATGATTCCCAGTTCAGGTAAGAAACTACGCTATCACGAAATGAAAGCACAAACACTCAAATCATCTTAGGTCTGTCTGCGACTGATATACATTATCTCCGTCAACTGGAGGCACTGACCAATATTATTCCACTCATTGCGCATGCCGACACTTTGACATTAGAGCAGACAGCAGCGGCTAAGAAGCACATTGCCCAACAACTTGCCGAGGCTGGCCTCGGGCTGTTCTCTTTCGATCCCTTGACGGATGGCGTAGGAGAACAACATATATATGCTGCTTCTAGCGAGTTAGGATCGGATTCAGAGGTCATGGACGCCAGTCTGCTCATGAGCTCCGAGTATGTGCAACCTTTTGTGCCCTCCGATCTCTCGCAGTTAGTGGAAAACATATTTTGCGTGAATGGCGCAACTTGGCTTCGCCATGCTGCCGCAGCAAAGCTTCTGGGTTGGCGCACTCGTCACCCTGGGCCTAGTAACGTCTCCGGCTTCGCCTCAAAGTCAGAAGGCTCGACGGATATGTGGTTGATGCGTCCTAGGGCCGGATCACTGACTCCTCTTGCCTTGAGTCGCGCTCCAAACTATTCTGCTTGTAATGAACGACTCTGCCGAGTGCAGCTCACGAACTGGGCGGCAGATTTACAACGCAGCCTGGCCAACGAAAAACGGATGCAAGAGCTCAGGGCATGGGAGCAGGCGGCTATGTTGTCGAGGGAAACTTGGAGAGATGGCCGCTCAGCATCAGGCGGCGGGGGCGCAGATATGGCGTTGACGAGAACAAGAGGACGGGGAGAATGTCGGCAGTCTCTCCGTAAGAGGAGACACAGTACAGGCTCTGGCCTAGATTGGGGGCTTGTAAGACATCAGGATCCTTTGGGCTTGCTTCAGCTTAATGCCGACTTTAGGTGGCAGGGTTGGAAGACGCTGGAGATGGTCGGTGGTATTGGGATCCTGGGCGGTTTGGCGTGGTTGCTTGTTTAGAGTCACCATAGTAGCGAACTAACGGTGGCATTTGGGCATGGCGTTTCACCCGAAATCATGGCAGCTATCGGGCGTACATACCCTATTGGGCGTTCGTGTGGAGAGTAGAAAATACTAGCCACTCTGGGTACCTTAGTTGATGGGATTCTTTAAAGTTGTGAACTGTACAGCCTGCGTGTACTCATGCCGCTATGGTGATGGAGGTCTGCCCAGGGCCTTTGAGTCGTTGACAACATTGACCGGCACACTGGGCTGGGCGCTCAGTGGCCCACTGTCCAGCATCCAAAGTGGGTGGGTCGGTTCCGCCGCCTTTCATTGGCTAATGAAGAGCAGCCTACCTCAGGTCTATTCTCCACTATGCAAACGCGCCTGCTTTCCTAGCCTGCCACTTCAACAACGGGACCTTGACTGTCCACCTTACCCATCCGTACCTTGCCTCACTCAGACCTTTGTGCCTCGCGTCCTAGAGGTGAACGGTACCAGGTCTCCAGCTGCAAGGCACTTGGTGACCACCTAGTTTGAGCTAAGTTATCACAGCGATACCTACTTCGGCTTGGTTGTTCTCGCAGTGGAAGCTTCTTCCTTGACAGCCTTTTCCTTTCTCTATTACTTCTTTTGCTATCCTCCTTCCATCACCAGGGTCGCCCAACCGTCGCTTCTCCAGCTAAGCCTGTCCTTCTCTATTTACTTATCGCATCTATTTCTTCCAGAAGCAACAATCAGCCATGGCTAGCGAGGAAAGACCGTTGGGCGTGACGCCGCCCATCTCTACTGCTCTTCCCACTGAGGCGGAAAATCAAGCGAAGGAAATGCTCATGGAAGAGTTGAGGAAGCAGAATACTTTTGAGAGCGCTGCGGATACCCAAAAGAGGCAAGTCTTCGAATCAAGCCCCCGGTCATTCCCGATCTGTTCTTGCTAACGATCTTCGCGGTTGTCCATAGATACGAAGTCATTGCGCACCTCGAGCGGATATGCGACGAATTCGTGAAACGAGTGGCACGGAAAAGGGAGGCAGGCAACGAAGCTCTCATTAGAGACGCTAGAGGAAAGATCTTCACCTATGGCAGTTTTCGCTTGGGCGTCTTCGGCCCTGGCTCCGATATCGACACTCTCGTTGTCGCTCCGAAATACGTAACACGAGCCGACTACTTCGAAATCTTCCCTAACCTGCTGAAGGAAATGGCGCCTCCTGGCTCAATCACCGATATGGCAGTGGTAGCCGACGCCTTCGTGCCAATCATCAAATTCGAGTTCGATGGCATCAGTATCGACCTGATCTTTTCTCGCATTGCTATGCTAAAGCAATTGAACAAGGACTTTACTGTCCAAGACTCCGGCCTTCTTCGAGGTCTAGATGAGGCTGAGCTTCGGTCGCTCAATGGCACACGGGTTACAGATGAGATTCTCAGCTTGGTTCCCGAGGAAAGCACCTTCAAGTTGGCCTTGCGTGCCATCAAGCTTTGGGCGCAGCGTCGGGCCATCTACGCAAACATCATGGGATTTCCTGGTGGCGTGGCCTGGGCCATGCTGGTTGCTCGCGTCTGCCAACTATACCCCAAAGCCGCGAGCTCCGTCATCGTCAACAAATTCTTCCACATCATGCGCCGCTGGCCATGGCCACAGCCCGTCCTTCTGAAGCACGTTGAAGGCGGCCCTTTGCAGGTCCGCGTTTGGAATCCTAAGGTTTGCTTCCCCTACTTCCCTGGCCCTAGCTTCATATGTGCTAATCAAAGTATAGCTATACAAGGGCGATCAATTCCATCTGATGCCTGTAATCACCCCGGCCTACCCTTCCATGTGCGCCACGTACAACATTACCCGGTCAGCCATGACTGTCATCCAGCAAGAGCTCAGCAGAGGATGCGACATTACCGACAACATCATGTTAGGCAAAAGCCCCTGGAGCGATCTGTTTGTCAAGCATACTTTCTTCACCAAGGGGTACAAGTATTATATCTCTGTCATCACTGCTAGCACAGACAAAGAAGCACACAAGATCTGGTCAGGCTATGTGGAATCCAAGGTCCGTGTTTTGGTTCAAGGCTTGGAACAGCACCAATCGATAGCTTTGGCCCATGCATTCAACAAAGGTTACGAGCGTCGGCACAGGTGTGCGAACGACGCAGAAGTTTCCCAGGTTCAAGCTGGCAGTTTCTCGTTCCTAGCAAAGGATAGCGACGTCAAACAACAGGACTTTGAGCAAGAGACGAAGGTCGAAAAGGTTGAGCCGATTGAAACGAAGCCCGACATGAGCGGCATCCCAGGGCTCAAGACGGAACCCACTGACAACGTACATGGGCTCAAGACTGAAGAAAATGAGACACAGCCAGGTGTGAAGACGGAAGGAGTCAAGTCGGAAGACGAGAATTCCAAAGCTCCCAATCAGATCCCGAAGCATAACCCTTATACCGACGTCTTTACCACCACGCACTACATCGGGCTGACCCTGAGCGAAGGTAAGTCTGCTGCCGCTAACGAAAACGAGTTCAAAAATCGGGCTTCACCTTTCAGTCTGGGTCAAAGTGGCATGGCAGCTAACTGTTTAGGCGCGAAATCACTTGATCTATCCTATCAAGTCGAGAATTTCAAGACCTTATGTACACAGTGGGAAAAGTACGACGCGGTTCTCAACTCGTTGAATGTTCAGCACGTGCGGAGGTAGGCGATACGGGCATATTTCCTTTGGTGGCATTTGCTAAGTTCAGGACAGCTTCAACCTTCCCGACGACGTCTTTGAAGCCAACGAAACGAAGCCTCAGAAGCCTCAGAAGAAGCGTGTCATCCCGAACGCGAACGGCGCGGCTCAGATCAAGAAGAGGAGTGCTTCAGAGGTACTGCACTGGTTTAGTTCACGGCTACGCTTGAGGGCTCATCACAAGACTAGCGAAGCTTTGGTAAGCGCATGGCTGACACGTTGTATAGGAAAACCAAGAACCACCCGCCAAGCGCCAGCAAGCTTCTGTCACGGCTGCCGGTTGAGTATGGACTTTGGACCAAAGTGTCCCACGCCATCGACCCTAATAAAGACTGTCAGCATTGGTAGCATCTTTTGCCTCTGATCCACTGACCAATAGGCCAAATCACATCTTCGAGTTTGACGTCCTACAACACGGACTGTCTCATACCGTACCAACACTGGATAACACACTCAGAGAGAGAAAGCGAAATAGACACAAAAAAAGAAAGGGGGAAAGGGAACTGAAAGAGAAAAAAAGCCATCGACGACCCGGCATTACCCTGATGCCAGTGTATCCACACTTTACCTGCAAGACCCCCTTCCATAACCCAACTTTGGGTGGAGATCGCAAAAGCAAAAGCAGCAACATACTCGGTATGTTTTGTGGGCTTTGGTAGGTTGCTCGTTCTGGCCTGAGACGAGCGGAGACTACTAAAGAGCATCAGGAACATTACTGTCGCCCACGAGGATGCACTTTGGGACACGTACGCTTTGTAATGCAGAGCGAATTCATTTCTCTATGCTTCTTCACGCAAACACGGGCAGGGCTATTGAGTCAAGGCGAAGCCAGTTGTATACTAGATACCATCGATTTAGAGGATTGACTATGCTTTGTCCCCAATCTCTACCCTTGCCTTGCTCTGATATCTTGTGACTTCGTGGGTGCCTAGGCGACTAGAGGTGTCCGTGCCTCTCTGTCCATCTGAGGTCTCCACGATTCTCGAGCCGTTTCGCTTGACGTACTGATTGGTCGAGATTGATTATAGCTGATCCAGGCTACCTCAATCATCGTCATCATCGCTACCACTTGACCATCCTTCTCGATACGCCTCGGCGAAGTCGGCTAGCTCATTGCTAATGTCTTCCCGGTCCTCCACGCCAAGAGAGGACGCGACGGTAGTGCGCAGGGCATTCAGCGCGGCAGACACTGAAGTATCTGTGGAAAGACTGGTCTTGACGCCAAACGAATCGCTCAACGGCTTGCCGCTGCCGTCGAGGTAGATCTCGGGGAAACTGTCGAGCATAGGGAAGCCCCTATCGGTGAGATACCTGCCATCATGAGTCAGTTGTCAAATTACGAGCAAGCCTTTGGAAGGATAGCGGTAGTTGTCTTTTCTGGCATACCTTTGTGTACTAGTCTCTATGAGCGCAGCCCTTGGCCGTTGCCGGCTATCTCCGCCCTCGTCCTCGTCGTGTTTCATGACTTGCTGTGAGCCACGTGTAGTGATTGTCTGCCCGAAAAGGTGAGGCTTGCCGCCTCCGCCATTCATATTCCTTCTTCCAGGAGTAGGCTTGGGTCGGAGGATATCAAACAAGTCCGTGTCAAGCTTGGTAATCTCGCCAGCTTTGTCATCATCCAAACCTGACTCTGGTGCGCGGGTGTCTTGTTTCGTTTCCGAGGCTGGGTCGACGACGGTCATTTGCAGACGGCTCATGGTCTGTCTGCCGCGTAGATTCAACCCACTCACCAGCTCGCCGAGCGTCGCCTGTAGACCACTGCCAGAGCTGGTTGAGTTGAGCCGGGAAGCGATCCCTGCTGTTTCCATGGCCGTACTTAGCAAGGCCGTGGTTTGCCAAGGAGATTGCATGTCGATGCTGATGTTTGAGCTCAACCGTGCTTGGGGGAGAGCCATGGGAACCAGCATCGAGGCGTGCTCACACATGTCCTTGACTGCCCTTGCAGTGTTGGCGAGCTGGAGGCGTCTTTGGTCCTAGCGTTATCATTAGCTAGGCTAAGGAGTGTAATGAGCGCGCAAACGAAGTTTGAAACTTACGATGCGGGCAGCGGGTACAGGAATCTGCAGACCCCACACCCAAATTGTAGTCTTGCCATACTCATCTCGCAGGCGCTCTACATACTCGGTCGCGAAACCTCCCCAGGCGTCGTCTATAGTTGTCACGATCTGGAGACCCTGCATCTGATCGGCCTCCTCTACGAAGGGACGGAAGTCTCGATCGACAATGTCATGTTCCTTGTCTAGAGAATCGAACAATTCCCTGCCCAGAGACCACTTGTCAAAGGGCCTGATGGAGGAGTTGATCTCATAGTCATAGAGCTGGTTGAGAGACTTTGGGTGGTAGTAGACGCGCGAAAAGTCGGACCAATACCGCACGTCGGAGGACTTGAGCTTTGGGGCAGGCGTGCCGAGGTCAAGACTTTTCTGATAGGCGCTCGGCTCTACCGATGTCTGTTTGTGTACTTGCGCAGATCCTTCCCTGGGGTCGGCGGTGGCATGTTAGGTGGCCGGTCTGGGATACTTGAAAAAGGGCCAACGGCTGGGGTCAAATAAAGATGGGCGCGTTACGGACCATAAGTGAGCAGGTGCCTCTTCCTGGCTTGCGTCGTACAAGGCGTTGATCTTGCGAAGCGAGCCGAAACCGCCCTTTAGATCATAGACGACGGTACGCGGGAGGAAGGTCTCGGAGCCATCTAGGGCCACACCCGGACGCCAGTGAACGTCGTGGTTCACCGGGGATTCGTCCTGATCAGAGTAAGTGAAGTAGGATTCCTGGCAACAAGGTCAGTTTGTGTTTAGAATAAGACGCATGGGATTCGCTGTTGATAGAGCTAAACGTCTGAATACCTGGGTGTTCCAGAAATGAGTTGCAGCATAGTTGCTCAACTGGCCTAGCTGGAGAGTGATGATCTCGTGCATACTGTTTTGTTCTAACCTGAATTATGAAGGTAAGTAGTCAAGATGGCTTCGCCGGGCTGCACCAATCATAGATGGTCCGGCAAGGTGAGCCGGGGGGGTTTACTGCGGATGGATCCCGAAACTGGTAGGGAACGGGACGGGACTTGGGCTTTGCAATCTCAGTGCCAGGTCCATTTGGGCCGTTGAAGTGCGTCAAGTGAACCCGGTAGTGGGGTAGGTCTTGGGCGTGGGCCGGGCTTAGGGCGGCCGGCGACGGCATCCGCCCCCATCGGGCAACGGACGCTGATCTACCGTCCCATCTTCCATCAACCAGTGCATGCACCCCGTCTTGCGGTACTCACTTGCCCTCTTGACGTTGACCATTGCTTGAGGTAGGAGAGAGTTCTCCCTCCAGCACGACTACCTAGCCATTCGTAGATGGTCTTGAGCTGGCACTTGCTTTATGATCGGCTTGTAAATGAACTAATGGTTTTCCCCACCAAGGGCGAAACCATGTTGGTCCTTATTGAAAACAAGGGAGCGTTAGCAGCAAGTGAGCGGGAGCACCACCCGCAGGCATCTGGGAAAGTTGACTGGCTTGACTGGCACGCATCCAAGTTGTCTCACAGCACGGGGGACCTTAGATTCCAGCAAAAGGAGAAATACGAAAATGGGAGCAGACATTCTCTCCCCCCCTTGAGTAGGGGCCAATCGGGGCTCCCATTTCGAGGTCATACACAAGCCAGCAGGCGGTCGTGCACATCCCAGTGTGAGTCAACCTCGGCGAGCGAGATACGCCGCTGCACCAAGGCGAGGAATGAGGTGTCGAAAAATCGTGTTGGACCAGCCAAGGCCCCTTCAGACATACTATCAAGGGGTACCTTGGGTAGAAGCAATTGGGATGATTCCAACTCCCAATATCGAAAGGTGTTCAAGGCTTTCGGCACGGCAGGGCGGACGGGGTCTTGTTTTGAGGTAGGAACTTGGACCTCTGGAGGGTACCGTTCCTATGCATACCTTACCTTGCTCTGTACGAAATACCTACCGGTACTTGGGTAAGTGGAGGTGATTACGTCAGGCAGGAGTGGCTTCAGGCATATGAAGGTGCCTGACCGGTGGACGAGAAGGGATCCAATTACCTTGGGCTACTAAATGAGCAGGAATCAAGGTAGGAGTGGTATGTGAGGAACTTCAGAGCTGAAGGCGACAGTGGAGGGCTCAAAGAAAATGCTCAAGAAGGTTCAGCACTTGAGCTCAGCCAGGTTCTCGGGGCACCGCACTGTTAAGAAAAGTTTAGTCATACTGTACGCGTGAAGTGGTGACCCAACCAGCAGAATGACCTGAAAACATGGACAATGGGAGGGCAGAGGGTGGGGGGGGACTTGGGGAAGAGGTGCGCTGTGGGGCAAAGAGCACGGGCTGGTCAGCTACGTAGTAATACCCTACCACCTTTACCTACAGGCTATAGGCTACCTAGGTACAAGACGGGTTGGGGCCGCGCCCCCCCCTCTGGGCGCCCCCTTCCATTCACTGAAGTCTGAGGGTGAGGGGTGAGGTGCTCTACCAAAGTGCCCGCACAGTGCCGTGTTACCAATTAACGCCTCCCCCTTCTCTCGAAAAAGCGACGCGTTTACCAGAATTTCGCGACCGTCACCATTTCAAACCCTTGCACATCCAATACGGCTTTCACACAACTTCAGCTCCCACCACTCATCTCCTTCCTCTTCTTATACCTTCCAGTACGGAACACCTACCACTCTGCTGCCTTCGGTGGCGTCACTTACACGGCCATCACGACGTTAGAAAATTACGCCTCTATAAGCAAGCAAGCAGCGTTCCTACCTCAGTTGTTCTACCATACATCCTGAGAGCGTGTCGCAAGCGCGGCTCAACACCACCGCCCGCCCACCTTTCCCAACCTCGCGACGCCCTTTACAATACCATTTGTCCTGACACAAAGGAGCGCCAAAATTCTTACTACAGTCACCTTACCCCCGTCTCACATTGTCGCAGAAATTATATAGACATCATAACTCTTTGTGGCACTTGCCTGCCCCGGACTTTCAGATCCAGCCCAGCCAGCCCTTCACCCTTCACGACTTGACGAGACACGACTTTCCCATTCCTTCATTCCTTACACGTCTGAGACCAACTACTTCAATCAATCGTCCACCATTGTTTATACCTTCCCGCGCTCCGCCCTCCGTCTTGTTCAGGCCCCTTTCGCACAGAGGTGCCGCATGCTCGAGGCTCCTCCACCATGCCTGCCTCAGCAAAGCGCTCCCAGCGCACTCGTCGCGACACTCGCCGCGATACCTCCCCCGCAAGATTAGAAGACAGCTCCCCAACTCGGCCAGCAAAGCGACGAAAGAAGGTAAATTGATGCCTCTGCTCTCTACTGACAATTCGATCCTCGCATCATCGATGACACTAACGCCGCTTCCATCAGGTTGATGATCCTCCGCCTACCGAACCCGCCGACGATGACGAGTCCAACCTCACTGCCGATCAGTCGGCTCAACCTGTAAGCGACGATGATCAGCTGCTCGCGCAAGTAGTTCAGCACTTTCAAATTCCCAAGGAGGGCGCCCCCCAAGCCAGCAAGGACCATGCGAACTCGATACATGAAGCCAATGGCAGCGGTGTTCAGGCCTATGCCAAAATCGCCGCCCAGGATTGGACTTTCTACATCACAAAGCTCATCGTCAATATTGGACGCCCGTCTGAGGGCGTCACTGAGGATGACGAAGACTTCATTCACATCGATCTCGGCCCGAGCAAGATGATCTCCCGTCAGCACGCCCGGATTTACTTCAGCTCCAAGGAAGAAATCTGGTTTCTCGAGGTCAAGGGAAGGAATGGCGTAAAAGTGAACAATGTCCCCATGAAGCAAAAGAGTTTGAGGCGCCTGGAGGGTGGTGAGGTTCTTGAGGCAGGTGGCACGGAAATGATCTTCGTTCTTCCAACCGAAATCAGTCCCTTGCACATCGATCCTCTCTATCTCAAGAGAGCTGGATTATCGCGTCAACAAATGACGAGTCCTCAACCGAGAACGGATCTGCCGGACGAGCCATCTTCGGCCCTAGGCTCGACCATAAGAAGTTCTCGAGGCTCCCAATTTCGCCAACCTATTGCCCCGGCTCCTGCAGATTACAAGCGGCCTGGAACCCCTCCTTCTGCAATCCGCGGTAAGCCTACGCCGTCGCAACACAAGTCACCACACTACTCAAGTTCGGGCACGCTGTTGTTGAACTCCAACGACATTGATCTCAGCCTTGACGAGAACAAACACATCAAGCCGCAATACAGCTATGCGCAAATGATTACCCAGGCGATTATCAATACGCCAGAAAGGAAGCTGAATCTCAACGGTATCTACAACTTCATCATGAACAACTATGCATATTACAAACACCAGCAAGCCGCTGGTTGGCAAGTAAGGCTTAATGCTGTCAGACTCCCTCGCAACCTCGGTCTTACTAACATTATTCAAAGAACTCGATTCGCCATAATTTGTCGCTGAATAAGGCCTTTGACAAGGTTGCCAGATCGACAGACGAGCCTGGGAAGGGCATGAAGTGGCAGATTGTCCCAGAGGCCCGGGAAGAGATGACCCGAAGCGCATATAAGGGGGGTAGAGGCGGTCACAGAGGCTCTTCCGCGCCCTCTTCACCCAACAACCAGCTAAACTACATTACTCATGGACCAAGGGACGTGAATGCCAGAGAGCCTGCGTCGGCGCGGAAGAGGAAGGTATCCGTAACGGGATCGCCTCCGAGTTCCTCCTTAGCTGCCGTTCAATCGACTCCAGATCGCAGCACGCGCCGCCTTGCTCCTCCGAGCACTGCCATGACCATTGATGGCAGTCCTCTACCGAGGCCGCGGAAGGGCGCCGCATCTGCATCGAACAGCTTTCCCTCCACCAGCTACCACGATCAATCACCGACACTCACCTCATCCTATCTACCAGACGAAGGCGCGTCTTTCGTCACACCTGCCCCTCACCGTGTTCATCCCCGACTAGCGCCCCCAAGCACCGCACAGCGGCCCAGTCAACACATGCCGACCAGTTCCCCAGCGCCCTTCTGGAAATATGCAGACATTGGCAGCACCCCTCTGAAACCTGCTGCTCATTTCGACATGAGTCCTTCTAAGCCGTCTCTGGGCGGAATACCGCAAAGTAGTAGCCCACCTCCTGCGAAGTCGCCAAATCTTAGCCCTACAAGATCACAACACAAGGAATCATCACGGGAGGCGCCGAGTGAGCCGTCCAACCCACCCGAGATTGAAGAAGACCAAGGTTTTGATTTAGCAAAGTAAGTCTTGTCAACGTCATATCATACACCTGTTCCTTGACTAACATCCGATCAGGGGTTTCCAAAGTATTGGGTCATATCACGCACCTGTTGGCCGGGGATTATCAGTAGCTAGCGCCATGAACGGCCACTCATGAGACAAACATGAGCCGCTTTTGGCAGGACAATAAAGCCCACGCCCCCTCATAATGATGTGCTACACTAAATGTACGAATTGAGAGCATTTGTGAGAGTGAAGATAGTATAATTCTCAAGGGCTCCACCTGCCCATGCCACCTTCCTACGTAATACCTATATATATTTATATACGTCGTAGTATCCACAGATGTACCGATCAATGCTTTTCCTACTCCCGTCCGATTGTTTACAAGTACAAATGCCTGCCTAGGCGCCATCGCCAGAGATTCAAGGGTTCAAAGATTCAAACGCGAGCGACTGGTCCACTACCGCCAAAGAGAAACCGCCTGGCGTGATCATTCAGGGTTTGAAGCTTGGAGGCGGTTGCGACGTCATCTTTCCTCTCTTTACTTCGAAGACTTGCCCCTCCTCTTGGGGTTGCCTCGGCTCGGTCTTCCCTTGGAAGTCTTGCTTTGGTCAGTGCCCTCGATAAACTTGATCAACTCATCGATGCTGCGCGAATCCATGCCTGAAGGGTTGCCCAACTGCGAGCTGCTGCTCGGTCCGGCGGACACGCTGGGAGCAGTAGCGGAAGCCTGGTAGGGCGCACCCTTAGGAGTAAAGCGAATGCCTGCGCGCAAGCGACGAGCCTGCGCATCCTTCTGGTGCTTCGCAATGGAAACGGCGTTCTGCGTAAGCTGCTCGAGCCAGCTCTCGGCCTCCTTGGTGTTCTTGTCTTCGGGTCCAAGCTCGCCGAGGAAGATGTTGTAGGACTCGCGCATGCGGCTGACGGCTCCCTTAGAGTCTTGGTCCAGAGCCAAAGCCTGAGCAAGTTGGAACAGAAGGGTGGCGGCGTTGATCGAGTTCTTGCCGAAGACACTCTCGCAGATGCGGAGGGACTCTTCGAACCACAGACGGGACTCGTGGTACGCCTTGAGGTGCTGAAGCATGACAGCGCCGTTGTTGATGGTTGTGATGGAGTCGGGGTGGTCGGCGCCATAGATAATCTTCCACAGCTTCAGCGCGTGCTTAGCATAGATGAGCGCACCGTTGCTGTCGCCAGCTTGGTGGAGGAACAAGCTGAGATTGAGGTAGTTGAGCAGGGTCTCGGCAGAGTCAACACCGACAGTCCTCTCGGAGACAACAATGGCCTTCTTGGCGAGCTCAACGGCTGCTTCCTTCTCATCCAACTGGTAATACAGCATAGACAAGGTGTTGTAGACGCGGGCGACTTCGGGATGAAGGATACCGTAAATCTGCTCGTGTAGAGACAAAGACTCGAGAAGAAGCTCCTGGCCAAGCTTGCGCTGGTTTTGCATGATAGAGATGCGGCCGGCCTCCAGAGCTTCCTCCGCAAGAGTGCTGCGGGGACAGGAGTGCTTTACGATAGGCACAACGTTGACAATATCGTCTGCTGTGAATGTAGTGTTGGGAGCAGGGGCCGGGGCTGGGGTAGCCGCTTCTTTGGTTGCCGCTTTCTTGTTCTTCTTCTTCTTGTTTCCCTCCCCGTTGGTCTGTCCATTGGTCGCAGGGGTACCGTTGGTCGCAGGAGCCTGCTCAACCGGCTTGTCTGTGAAGTTGTACTCCTTTGCTTGCAGCTGGAAACCAAGCTTGAGGGAGATCTCACGAAGCACCTGCAGAGGCTTAAGGTTGTTGTAGAAGTCGGCATCGAGCTTGTACCGGTATCTCTTCAAGGTCTCCTGGGAGATGCTTTCGTGGAGGGACTCTGGGGTGACCTTCTCGAAGGATAGATCGGCATCAGTGTACAGCGACTTCAGGACTGCGTCAGATTCGGCCGCCGGCTTGGGACTCAGTTTGTAACCCAAGAGGCAGTTAAGAAGATGGGAGATGCAGGCTGATGAGAAAGGTGCCGGCAGGTGTCTGAGGTAGTTTGAGGCGACATGCTTGAAGGAACGAGCGACCATGTCCTGGATACAAATATCCTTCAGGCACTGCAGGCGAGGTTCAGAAGCGAGCTGTGCCACCTTTCCAGTGTACCTGATGTTGATGCCTCTCTTGTGCAAGAGACGACCCAGGGACTGGCCATCCATGGGGAAGCTGATGTCGCAATCGGTAAGCTCACGAACGAGGTCGGGAATGACCTGGTCGCGAAGGTACTTGGATGCAAGACGAACATCCTCCTCGTCTTTCTTCATCTCCTCCTTCTCGGCATCAGTCTGGGGGACCTGACCGCTGAAGACATCGGGGTTGAGCGAAAATGCGAATTTAGAAAGGTCGATGTGATCTTTCGAATCTGTCGACTCCTTCGGTGTCTCCGCCTCCTTTGTCTTCGGCTTCTCCGCCTTGACCTCCTTTTTGTTGACCTCCGACTCTTCTTCGCTCTCGCTCTCACTTCCGCTCTCACTCTCACTCTCCTCGCTGTCGTCGCTTTCGTCACTGTCATCGCTGTCTTCTTCCTTCGTGGAGGCATCCTTGCTCTTCTTGGGCTCAGCCGTAGTTTCGTCAGTCGCAGTCTTGGTGTTCTGCCCACGGCGTGCCAGCTCCTCGTCAACCCAGGCCTTCATCTTCTTCCGCCCGTATGAGTCAATCAGCTCCGGACGAAGGACGGCCATACGGTGGGGGTACTCGACATCACCTTCCTCCTCGAGCCAGTCAATATCCAGTGGCGTCACACGGTACAGGTCGAGCACGTATTTGCGTCCGTCGGTTCCCAACAAGCCCTTGGTCTCCACGCTGGCTTCGAGATCGAATCGTTTGCCATCCTTGTCCCAGACAGCATGCTTCTTGACCTTGATAGCCTGAGACAGCTTGGAGAAAACGTCGGCAAATCGCTCGTCCGCCGCAACGTTCTCTTTGCCATCCACGGCACCATAGTCGATCTGATTTTCGCCAGGCTCCCTCTGCTTGAAGATTCCTGGGACGATACTTTGGCCAACAATACGCTTACCAAGATAGTCAATAACAACCGTAGCAGGGGTGAAGAGACCATCAATGTCAAGCTGATTCACTAGCCTCACTCCTGCGACGTCCTTGCCAGTGGCAACACGAGCTGCCTCGTCGCCTCCCTCAGAAGTGAAGGTTTTCACGCCATCAGCACCAAAAGAGAAGAAGATGTTGTTGTAAACGAAAATCTGGGCATCTTTGCATTCCGTAGGGTTCAGCGGAGGGATTTCGCCACGGGCAACGAGCACAGCACCACGAGTGGCCGCGTCGTTGTAGTCAGCGAAGAGCTTGGACATGAGACGCTCACGGAAAACTCGGTCCTGCACAGTCTCACTGGGAAGCTCCCTCGCGGATTGGAACTCTTCGTTCCAGTCTCTCAGTGTGTCGGTGTTGTCGGCGCCTGCAATGAGATACGTCTCCTGGGAACGTGTCCAGTCAGGGGTGTGAGCGGAGAGGGGAGAGTTGGATGACGGCACGATCCATGGCGCAGAGGGTATCGCGTTGGTGATTTGGAAAGTCGCCAGCGGGTCCTTGCGGTTGTTGAACTCCTGGAGCTTGAGGAAGGATGCCGAGAAAGACGGCGAGATCTGGTCGAGGAGCCCGAGCAGGGAGTGGTTCGAAGCGGCTTTGGGTGCAGGGCGAGGGAAAGGATCGAACTTGGCATTGGAGGACTTGTTGATGAAGAACCCCCCAACATGGGCTGTGATTTGGTGTTGCTCACCCTCGTTAGTAGTAGCAAGTAGGTACAAGAGATGACCCTTCTGCTTGAGGTGAGGCGGCGGCGGGTTCCACGGGGAAAGAGTAATGGTCTTGACCGTCTTGGGTGCCTCTTCCTCCTCGACGGGAGGCAACAAAGTTGAGATTGGAACCGGGGTCCCAAAGCTGTAATCCTCCTTTGTCTCTTTGGCAACCTCCGTCTGCCCTCCGTTGGCTTGTTCCTCGGATGGAGGCAAGACACTATCAAGCAGAGAGAGACCGGGGAGAATGCCCTGGACAGCGTCGGTGCGGTCTCCAGCGGCACCAATGAGCTCTCTGATTCTCACTAGGTGTATACGGGCCTCCTTCTCCGTGTATGGGTCTTCGACCAATGTGACTTCAGGGCTTTCGACAAGGCCTTCGATCTCGGATATCGGGAGGAAGTCATTGATGCGTTGGCCGCGGTGCTCCAGGTGGAAGCAAGTGTACTGGAATGCCACAGGGAGGTCGATGATGGACTGTCGAACTTCGTGAACCTGCTCTTGTGGGGACACCTGTACAAAACTGGTCAGTGGATGTATCCGCGAGTGGACTTAGCACAGCTAACCGTAATTTGCATCTGACGGGGCTCGTTGGGAAGCTTGATCGTAAGGGTAACCAAGGCTACTATGCATCAGCATTTAACGTCCCAACCCCATGAAAGCTTGCATTACTCACCGTCTAGGCCTTGATCGATCTCGCCCTCAGCCTGGAGCTCGGCCTCGGCTTCAATGGGGGGCGCTACCTCCTTTTCGGCATTTTCTGGAAGGACTCAAAGTTTAGCTTGGAACTGTTTAAGGATTGCATTGCGTATCTTGGTTTTGCTTGTGGATAGTTGGTACCTTTGCCTTTGGGTTGATCGGATTGGGACATTGGTACTCGATGTAAGCAGAAATACCAGAAGGGCCTGGATTTTATATTCCTCGACGGACAGAAATCCTGAGAGGGGATAGATATATAATCGAAGCTTCGAAGTGGAGAGGGTTGGGAAGAATTGAGCAATCGCACAAATCAATGCAGATACACAATTAATATAGGGTAGAACGATGTAAGTAGCGGTCTGTGGAATATAGATGCGCAGCTCCGAAGTGACGGGTGGCAGAAAGGAATACTCGGCGGCCTAAGAGAGGATGAGAGGGTTCCAACTCAACGGCCAGTTGCGGATCGAAAGGGGGGTGGTAGAGAAAAGGTGAGAGGGTAGAGTGCCGTTTGGGAACGATCGGGGAAAAAAATTCACGGCAGAAAAAAAGTCGCGTTGTCATTCATCAATTGACGGCAATGCACCGGCCCGGCAAAGCTGGAGCTGTCGGTTTTTTCGGGCCCACTCCGCTTGAGGGAGCTCTGTCAGTTGTCGTCGGTTCTCCCTAAGCTGTCCCGGAAGGTAGCGAGCCCTGACAGAGCCTCCGGTAGCGAGGCCCGGTTCTCACCAGAGTCTGTACCTTATCAACTCTGTGCCTCCTTCTCTGCCTCTGAAGGGTCAAACAACCCGTATTGTATCTGTCCATGTACAGGATTGTTACTTACAGTATCTATCCGAAATAACAGCTGAACGCTTTCTGAGACATGTCGAGTTCTCAGTACCCATGATTACACCGCGGTGGACAAGACCATTAATACAAGTTGCTTCCCTCCAGCCGTTCTTACGTAAGGCACTCTGAGGGGGGATACTCCAGGTTTTTCGAGCTGAGGTGCGCTACGGACACGTGACCATCCAGTTAGCGCTGCGCTTTGTGGTCTAGTCCCTTTTGGTGACAGCACGATCCTTGTCTATGTACACACCATACCTGATTGGGGAGTTTGTAAACATTCAATGTGTTGGACATATTCCGTCCCAGCTTCACTCATCAACTACTCAGCATACCAAGAGCTAAGTTCTTAACATCAGCACACTGCGCCCTTATTCGCTATTGCTCTAGTTAGCAGCTATCTTGACATCACACGCCTATTTACGAGCACTTGAGCACACTTACTACTCAGCTTACTCTCATACTGCGTATCTGAGCAGCTTCGGTTTCGTGTAGTCGTCAACACCAATCCACGTTGACACTGACAAAGCGACGCAGCAAAACCATTCCGCTATCCTCCAATAACGTACACCTGCGGATTCTCATATGTCAAAAGCACATGTTATTCAATGTTTTAAACCCAGCACTATCGACAACAGAATATTAACTTCGACATGAGTGGACGGACTGGTGGACCAGAAATGGCGAAGGTTACCAACAAGAACCGGAGAAGAGAAACCAGGGCAGAAACAGATGGAAACCGACCCCTCGGCCATTCTGGCCTGCCTTGGACTTCTTCGAGATGCCAAAGACTTTTACGCCCTCTTCAATCGCGGATTGCTTTGCTACGGAAGGTTGCAATAGCCGAGAGAGCTGCTTGCGGGCAGACTCAGCCTGAGAACGAAGCCCTCAAAGATGCGCTAGATCGCGAAACGGCCAAAAAGCCGAGCCTTGTAGTCGAAGCGTACTTCCCTAAGACAAAACGACAGCGCCCGCGCCGTACATATTCCATGAAGTTGGCTGACTCCTCAGAAGACGACGGCAGTATGGCATCAAAATCTACTATCCGACCCAGGAGTCTTCGACAAAGGCCGAAAAGTTGTGCTTCCGAAATGCCTAGCGTCTCAACGCCAATTCTTCGCAAAGCCAGGCACCATATTACAACATCGCCGAGTGTTGACCAACCAGAATGCCACGAGACAGGGAGCAGCTGTATGCGCTTTAAGACTACGAGACGTGGGCCACTCGACAATTCAACATCCAAATTAATGCGTCTCAGAGACACACTGCCACCGGGAAGGTACCAGATTTACGAGGGTATTTTACACGACCTGGATACTCTCCTACGCTCGACGAGTCTCAACCATCCTGCAGGCGGGAAGAAGTCGTTGTTGTCGATGTGCCTGAACAGAGTGCCTCAGTGCGCGCAAGAGATTGAAAACTGGGAGAAATCTCAGGCTGTGAACAACGGGCCGGTGTCCTGTATCAAGCAAATGGCTTATTCTTTACGCGTGTACGACGAACTACAGACCCTTGGAGCCACCGACAACGGCTGGAGTCACTTGCGTACACTCCTACGGGCACATGCTATCCATCTTCTCAAAGGGGTCATTGGGGAGGGTCTGCTCGATGTCTCGTTTATTCGCATCTTGATCGATTATTGCAAGGCCATGCAATTTCTACACGAAACAGCAAGCCTTACGGAAGCTATGATTTGCTTCCTTTACTGCAAGCCCCTGGAATCAAGAGATACGCCTAGAGTCAACAGAGAAGGCCAGCTGCCAGCCTATTTGTTAAACCTTGCAGAGGATCCAGTTGTGGAATCTCACTTGCTCGAAACGTTCTCCTCACTTTTGGTTCGTAGACGGCTCCCCTTTGACATGGTCACAGGGAGAGGTTTTGGTGGCTTATGGAGTATAGCAGCTTCCGCTGTACTCGAGAAAAGAGCACGCCCTTCTGCAACTGAGTTCGCATCAACCGGACTTGCAGTCCTGTGTATGAATGCCTACCCGAGACGTCAAAGGCGTTCCTCAGCGCTCACAACGGAATCAAAATCAGCCATGCTCACTTTGATGAGTGTACTTGGTGCATTGTCAGCCATGGCTATGATTTCGCAGGATTTCGGACATGCTGCACCCGGTTCCAGTGCAAGTTCGAGAAGTCGGACCCAGAGAGCGGTAGTACATATTCTCCACCAAGCATTGAGACTGGTGAGAAGTCGTGTCGGTAGCAAGGAAGCCGCGTTCCCACTTCTACTGGCATTGTTTCTGTCTCTATCCCCCAGAGCGGCGCACGAAGCCACTCGGCTCCGACTGAAGGCGGCGATAGACGGCTTCGGACGTGGTCTGAGCCTGGGGAGAGCCCCAAGCACGGGCAACAATGACAGCCAGCTTCTCGACACCACCGTCGACTTCACCTGCTCGATTGCTCACTGTTGTGGGAGAGCCACCGGCCAGCCATCCAACTCGTACTTTGCCAAAGTCTGCGAACTCATCGATACCCTTGAAACGCCAGGGTTCGCAAGATTGAGAGGCAACGGTGCCTTTGTTTTGGCCCACAAGACAGACGATCTACGCGATCTTGTCTTTGCAGAGACGTTGAAGAAAGACCTGGCCGAGAAAGACGGCATGGTTGTAGCCAAGGGCAACTTTACAGGGTTTCGGTGGGAAGAAGGCATCAGCGAATGGATTGCAGTCAGCCCGTTGGCGAGAAGGCAAGGAGACTTCACCCGAGAAGCCCTACCTCGGCGCCGAAGCGGAGGACGTAACAGTGACGTCCGGGTCCTAGCGGATCGATCGGAGCTGAATTCGACCACGGAAGGAGCCGACAAAACCGGAGCTCTGGTTTTCGCAAGTCCCAGACCGACGGGTGAGTCAAATGGTGACCAAGTGGGCCGACGACTGGCGGGGAAGAGGAAGAGGACACAAAACGAGGATCATGGCAGCCGCAAGAGAAACTCGGGCGCAGAAATCGCGGGAATCGACGGAGTTGACGGTATTGACGAGCTTGGCATGGGTCCAGAGAACTGGCCACAGGTTCTGGGCAAGTCCCGATTGGGAAGCCATGTTGTAGGAGCTAGGATGCGGGACGGGTGCCGGCGGGTTATCCGGAGCAGCGAGACATGCTCTCGCAAGGTTTTGGCGGACTTGGGCGAGCAGGCCGCCCTCAATGACTGTGGTCTCAACGACGAGGATGAGCTGGGATTTTAATGACAACTGCAACAAGTAGATTGGGTTGGCCGTGTCAGTCCAGTCCGTTGGGCATGGATATGTCAGTAGCTTTTGTGCGAGTCAACAGGGTGCAAAATAGCCACCAGCTGCGTTTCAGATCCTTGCCAATGTGTGGAGTTAAGACTGGAGACATGGCATAGGGTTGTCCCCGATGTGGACCTTGCCTTTCTTCTTCTTCTGTCGCCTTCATCTCCAATCAATATTCACTTGAATTGCTTATCCGACATTCTCGTAATGGTGCGGCAGGCCCGTGGCGGCGCGAGCAAGAATATATCTTGACATTTCAGAGTGATTGGCCAGCGGCACATGCGTGTTAGCCCCTCGAAATGGAGGACTTCTGACACATGAGCTCGCAGGTAGTACGACTGCAATCATAGAAAGATCCGAAGGGAATATCCAATTGCAACTGACGGGAGACCAAGACCGTTTGTCGCAATCAGACGGTTTGAGCTGTCCAGATCTTCAGACAAAGTTTCCGTAGCAGACGTGATGCGTTTCCTGTCAGGGCGATATGTTTTGGTTATGCGCTAGGTCGACTGGCCGCAATATCACTGAGGATAAACGGGCCGTTCAAGCAACTGATAACAATTGGAAACACCAGGAAACGGTTGCAGATCACTGAGGCTAGTGGCGGGCACCGGGGCTCATTCAATGGATCATCATAACCTTGAAGAGGGCTTTGAACTTTGAAGAGGGCAGTACCGCGTGGATTGCTGCGATAAATTGAAATGGATGTCCATACACACTCGTCTATTAGTATCCGAACATCATGTCGTGCGCTGGAATGACAATGGCAGGGATCTAGGGGACTGCTTGCCCTGAAGTGTTGTCAAGATAATCGCACTGAAGACCCCGAATAGCTCTCTTCTATCATTGGGATGTAGGCGGTAGATAGCGACCCGTAGAGGATAGACTCGAGAGCTGAGGCATGGTAAGCTGATGTGCCTCGCTCTCGGGGATACATGCAAAGCCTGGGCCAGCAAAGGGAGGCAGCGATTGACCAAGCCGCGATTCGAGACAGGACTACGACTCTGCACTTGAGGATTCGCAATATATTACGCACACCACAAGCCGCATGCTTCGCTGTGGCAATGGCATGAAACTTTCAGATTCTCTTAATTGTGAGCACGTTTGGAACCAGTGCCCTGAGGTGGAGATCGACGTGCTAAGGCAGCCAGGGCAGCCGGAAGGATGTGTGGACAGACAGCATGTCCGCCAGCGTTGCGTTGATAGACTGGACCCGCTGGGATCTCCAAAGTCTACCATCTCACTCGTCTCAGAATGCGATCCAATGGCTGCGGCGGAGTGGCTGCGGCGAACGGTCAACCTGTAGTCGCGAAACAGCCCAACTGGACGTCGGCTAGCTAGTGAACGAAGCCATCTACAAATCAATTTCGCGCTGAGGCTGGGGCGTTTCTTCTTCCGCTGTATCGTCTGAGTCAAGGCCCGCGCGGGCGAGGACCGAGAAGATGACTTATCCCATGTTCATCGATCATGCAACATTCAGAAATTGTACCCGACTGAAACGTCATCCCAAGAGCCCAGGGCTAGGGGACTCTGGTGTATCGTGTATACGCGCATTGCTAGGTATAGGTAAGTAGGCACGCCGGTAGACGGCAACGACAGCAAATGGCAAACACTTGCTGTCGCCGGTCAGATTCCGAGGAGTGTCACACTAGAAACCGACTTGGAATTTAGCAACGAGGCATTACCGATTTCTGCGGCTTGACAATGATATTCTGGAAGCGCAGCAGCGCACTTGACGTACACAGAATGATTGACGGGAGCATGTTTGGCCAACCTAGGTACCCTTTCAGTTTCCCCAGGATTGGTGGGCGTTGAAACCTCCGAGCTGAGGCTGGTGATAGGCTGGGCAGAGAAGGTTGAAAACAAGAAAAAGGAAAAAGAAAAGAGAGTAGCAAAAGACAAAAAGAAACATGTTGGAGACCAGTAAGGATCAAGGCATATTTTCTGTCGCGATTGAAGCTTCGCGTGGTTACATAGCCACACATGGCCAGTCAGTAGCCTATGTGGCCGATGATCCGAAGTTCGCTCACTTACACAGTAAGCAAACACGAAAAAGGCCACCGTAATAATACCGATGCGGAATGTACGGAACGACAATCAGCATTGACTCTTAGCAAAGGAAAACATCTTTAGCGGGATACGGGCGAGTTGAGCTGGCAAAGGTATGGCGGGCCGGGGGATCTGTGTGACTCCAGATGACGATACCTTGCAGTGGTTCAGGCAGTGACTGTGGCCGATCGCAGTTTGTTTTCGCTGTTTGCTCGCATCTCGCATCAGCCCCAAAGCTACGCCGCCACGCCGCTTCTTCGGGAGAATGCTGCGTTGTGCAATGGCCTGGTTCTCGTTGGTTCTCGTTGGCTTCCGCCGTGCGTCAACCCCCACTCTCCCGCCGTGTGGTCGACCACATCTCACTGATCCCAGACACGGCACGTCGCAGATGGACAAGTATAGCCGAGGGGATCGGGTCAGGTTGCTTCAGACAGGCGTGAAGTGGGCGGCGAGTCGCTCGTTCTGGCTATTGTAGTCGAGTGTGACGATGTTGTGCAGTGATCTGGCGCCTGGGTTAGTATCAGAAGACCGGACGAAGGGCGCAAAGACAGTGGGCAATGAAGATGCGGATGAGACGCGGACCCGATCGATGGGGCATTCGGTAACTCCTTGTGTAGTGGTGTGGGAGTGTTTCCTGGATGTGTCCTGGATGCGCTCTGTAAGATTGGTTCAAGCCCTCAGTTTCGGGGCCATGGAGATGTTCGACTGCATAGGTAGGTGGTGGCTGCGGGCCTCCACCGGTGCTTCCTTGGTGTGACAGGACCGAGACGCACAGGTACCAGCTCCTGCGTCTTCCCATCTCGACTTGCGCGATTGGACGCGTATCTTAATAACAGATTGGCTGTTCGGAGATCAAGGCCGGTGGTGCCAAGTCAGAAGTTTGCAGTGTTGGTGGGATGGTGGGATGATGGGGAAAAACAGGGTAGGGCATCGGCTGTTTTCGCAGTAGGGCAGTCGCAGCCGGCCGGTTGAGGTACCTGCAGCATATCTTAGGATATCATAAGTACGTACACTAGTGGTCCAGCGCCGCTACCTAAGCATCCCCCGTCACCCGTGAGAAGCTCCGCCGGGGCTCCGCCTTGATTGGCTTAGCGCAGCCTTGGACTTGGGAGCGGCTTGTTTCAGAGGCTTTCTGAAAAAGTGGATTCTCAGATCGTTTTTTCTTTCCTCTTCCAACGTAGGTATTCACATACCTACGTCTACCTGTAAGGTATGGCGTTAGGTAAGGTAAGTTCCCTCCCTCGCTGCCAGCCTGCGTGCCTGCCACTGGACAGACGAGAACATCCTGTCGGTGCAGTTAGCACTGTCAATCAAACCCCGGGTGGGTGTTGGCTCTGACATATTCGTACCGACACAGACGGACTGTGCCCCAGGATACGCGCAAATGCTATTGATATCTAGGTGGATGGAAATGACAAGAACAGACAAGAAACACAAGAACACCATCTTTGCTTGTGCCTCTGCGTCGTCTAAAGAGTTCAGGTCTAAGAAAAGACACGTCGGCTACGGCTACATCGTATAAGAGAAGCACTCCTGGAATCATCCCCTGGATGGGCGCGCCATAAAGTTTCCCCTCTTCGGATACCCTTCCCTTTGCGTGTCGTGTCTTAGAGAGTGCTCCGTATTCTGTACAGCAGAAGTGCTTGTTCGTGACTTGGCACACAACTTTAGCCATGTGTTTCGTTGCATGACTGCTGGCATGCTATGAATTACGGCGAGTCGGCGACACCATTGTTAAATGAGCCTTGACCCGGTGTGCGTACGGTGTGGTAGCTGGCAATGGTCGATGGCGTTAAGTTAGGTTGTGTGAAGTGTAAAGTGCTAACCCCTGACTATCCGCCCAGCATTGGCCATTCCACGACACCAGCTCACACCTGCAAGGTACGAACGAATCTTACAACCAATCAGCTTCACAACCGCCAGGCTCAGCCAGGATTAGGTGCCATTGGAGCCAGGAAGGTCACGCATCATAAGGCAGGGCGTGGAAGAGACCGACAGACCGACAGAGTTGTGTTAGAGACAGATAAGGGCCAGAAAAACACCCGCGGCCACGGCATCGTGGAGGCCTGAAGGAATCGTAGGTAGGGCCCTTGCCTTGCATCAGCATGGTATCTTGTCAAGTAATATGTATCGTCGTCGCCCATGCTTCGAGAATGGAAATGGAAATGGGAAGTTGAAAAGAGAGGGGGGACTTGAAAAACAGTACGTACTTCCAAGTTTGTGCCTTTCGGGCAACCTGGAACCTGGATCCCCACCTCTTGCGCATGCAAGCCCCTGCGTCGTGGCTCCCTGATCTGCTGCAGTACATACGTTCTGCCAGTACGTACTTCCAACCATAATAGGTAGTCCCTCGTCTACCCCTGCCGCCTGTCGTCCTCTCTTTCTCGCCTCAATGTCATCCCGTGCCTGTCAGCGGCCCTTGCTGCTCTGTTGGGTTCTCTGCCTCTTCTCTGGCCCTTCTCCTTACAACTAAGAAATCCCATCTCTCAGCTCCTTTGGTCACACACACACACGCACGCACACCACGCACTCCCAAGCGCGCGCGCGCACCCTCTCGTCCCCTCCAACTGCCGTGCAAATGCCGCGTACGAGATGGAAGTTCAACTCCCTTGCCGATGTCACCCCTGTTTGCCTGTCAACATGCACCCTGCAATCGCATAGTCATGCCCTGCCCTGCATGTCCCGAGGGCCGCGCCTCGTCTCGACTTGACTTGGCCAGAATCTTGCGTAATGTCATGTGTTCTCTGCTTCCAGATTGACAGCGCCCACTGTGTATGCATCCGTACGAATGCTCCGTAGTCATCGGGTGGAATATCCGTAGCTGGCACCCTGCCCTTGCGGTCTCGTCTCTTATGACATGTACATACTTCGTATCCTAGGAGAACTGTGGACGAAGTGCCTCGGAGCGACTAGGAAGCGCTTCCTTTTCTCTCTATCTGGGGACATCCACATTTGCGGAGAGAGCAGTCTCTCCTTGCCTTGTGGAAAACGGTGTTTTAGTCTCCATCAACTGGGCCGTATCAGTTCACACACCTCCACTCACATACTCTCGGGTAACGGCCCACACGGTGCAGCCCTCCCAGAGAGGATCCAGGAACGCACCATCTTGGGGCCCGGGGTCGACTAATTCCTAGTCGGACTCCCCTTTGCCTTGCGCAAGTTCGGTCCAGTCAATCCTGTCCAGTTATTGAACGTAGGTACCTAGACTAAGGTGGATTGCAAAGTACCTGACTATGTACCTCTGTGGTGTGTCTGGTATCCGTACTTACCTTTACATCACTGATATCTCTCGCCTCTTATTCCTCACAATTTCTGCTCCTTCTCTCCCCTCTCTCTCTCTTTCCTTCCACTCCACGGCCATTTGTTCCCTTCTCGTCCTTCCCTTTCACAAACTCCCTCGTCCTACCAGACTTGGGTTGTCAGCTGACGTCGCTCACCCAAAGACGTCCAATTTCTCTTTCCACTGACGCCAGTTCTGTTATTGCATTGACTGCACTTTTTTGACGCTTCTTTCCACTGGCCCACCCCTTTTGGAAGTACCCATCGTGCCGGCTTCGAGATATATTCCAAAAGACGGGAAAGAAAAACGACAATCCCCACCAGATCTATACGACTTAGTGTCTGATTAACCGCCTTGACCAATCTCCTTGTAGGCGATTTACTCTCGACAACGCGCAAACGAGCTACCTTCTCTTTCGACTTCTGGTGAATTTGCTGTGCAACTTGGGGGATATTGGAAGTAGGACAACCAATCACGACGACGGGTCAACAAAACCTCACTCTCTCTCTCTCTTTACCTTCTGGTCTAAGCCTTTCATATCTTCGAACTCAACCTTCGCCATGGCCGCTGGAGGCGCAACGAAGTCTCCCGAGGAGCAACAGGCGGCTATCGATGCCGCCAACGAGAACGTCTCCCTCTCCAACTATCTGTACTACATCTGCGCTGCCATTGCCGCAGCCGTCATCATTTGGAGAGTATGGACCGTCATCGTCAGATATGTTCGTACCGTTGCCTGTCTCAACAACGACAACCAGCGCTACTTTGCCCAGTCAGACTCCAAGGTCTCCTGGATGAAGAAGAACATCCTCTACGCCCCGGTCATGAGCAAGCGCCATAACCGCGAAATCCAGCTCAGTTCTGCCATTAATGTCGGCACCCTCCCCAGCCGACTCCAGCTTCTGTTCCTCACCGGTTACTTCGCCACGAACATCGCTTTCTGTGTCATTAACATCCCCTTTGCCGGCTCTTTTGCCGCGGCTGCGTCGCAGCTGAGAAACCGAACTGGTACCTTGGCTGTTGTGAACATGGTGAGTCGTGAACAGCTTATCCTGATGAGCGAGTCTCAGATATCAAGGAAACTTGTGCTGGCCAGGCCTGAGACACCACTCGTACAGTGAACACTAACCGGATGGTAGATTCCCTTATTCCTGATGGGTGGCCGAAACAACCCTTTGATTCCCATGCTTGGCATGTCCTTCGATACTTTCAACTTGTTGCATCGTTGGTTCGGCCGTATTGTCATTTTGGAGGCTCTTGCTCATACGCTCGCTTGGATGGCCAACACTGCCAACAAGAGCAGCTGGCAGGCAGCTATCACCTCAGCAACGACCGTTCCCTTCTTGCTCTTTGGTTTTGTTGTAAGTGGAAACTGCCCTAAGTCAAACGATGTTGAGGCAATGAGACTAACCTCGATGAAAGGCCACTTGCGCTTTCGTGGCCATCGGAATCCAGGCTTCTAGCCCGATCAGACACGCCTTTTACGAGACGTTCAAGTTCCTTCACATTTTGCTCGCTATCACGGCTGTTGTTGGTACCTGGTACCACTTGCAGATGAAGGCCCTGCCCCAGCTCAAGTACATGTGGCCCGTAATCATCTTCTGGGGCGGTGACCGCGTCTGGCGTGCCTGGAGGGTGTTTTACGGCAATGTCGGGCACGGCGGCAGCAAGGCCCTCGTCGAGGCTCTTCCTGGCAACGCATGCCGTGTTACGGTAACGATGGCTCGACCCTGGACCTTTGGGCCCGGCCAGCATGCCTACATGTACATGCCGTCCCTCAGCCTGTTGCAGTCTCATCCCTTTTCCGTCGCTTGGAGCGAGGAGGCTGAGGATCCTATGGCTGAGAAGGGGTCCCTTAACCGTCAAGACATTCTCGCCATGCGCAAGACCACCATGTCCTTTATCATCCGCGCCCGCACTGGAATGACCGACACACTGTATCGCAAGGCCGCTGCTTGTCCTGAGGGCAAAATGACTACGACATGCATGGTGGAGGGGCCCTATGGCGGACTGCACAGTATGCGCTCTTATGGTACGGTTATGTTGTTTGCTGGCGGTGTTGGCATTACTCATCAGGTACCTCACGTTCGCGATCTCGTCGCCGGCTATGCGAACGGAACTGTCGCCGCAAGAAAAGTTATTCTCATCTGGACCATCCAGAGTCCTGAGCATCTCGAGTGGATTCGCCCCTGGATGACGGAGATCCTGGCCATGGAGAAACGCAGAGATGTTCTCCGAATCATGCTCTTCGTCAGTCGGCCAAGGTCAACCAAGGAGATTCACAGTCCTTCGTCTACTGTTCAAATGTTCCCTGGACGCCCCAACATCGAGACGCTCATTAAGGCTGAGCAGGAGTCACAAGTTGGAACCATGGGCATCAGTGTCTGCGGTCCTGGCGCTCTCAGCGACGAGGTGCGCCGCGCCGTTCGCGACCGCCAGCATGATTCAGCCATTGACTTCAACGAAGAGGCTTTCTCGTGGTAAGATGGAAAGGGCATATTTGCGCAACTGCAGCAGAAACGCAATAGGGTTTCGAGTGGTTTTGCATCAGGCGACCTCCATGTGCTGCGAAGCAATACACGTCAACACAAGAGCAAAGGGTGAGTTATTAGGATGAGGTTACCGTACCTACCTGGCGATCGAGGCACAACGGGTTAGTTCAATGTATATATAGGGGATCGATTTAGACCGTAGTTTTATGTATACGTGAAACCACATATTTCACACATATTTCATGTATCTAAGAGACATAGTGGGGAATCCCATGCAAGATACGTCACTGAAACCCAGCCTACCTTACTCCGTACCTTACCTTCCCTTCAGGTAGGTATCCGTAGTGTGCTGTTTCCGAGGCTTTGCTCAATGTACCTAGCTTGCCTTACCTAAGGTACCTATCATCGTCGGAATGTCACCAGTGCACTCCCAGTGCCAAGTCCCCTGTCAACCATCCCCGGCTTCTTCACCGACCCCTCCTTCCGCCGTTGCCTTCTGTCAGCTAGACAAGCTGCTGCCTTTCTAACCCTTCCCCGTCCTCCGCATTCTTTGATGAATAAATCTTTTGAATTTGTACCCTGACGGCCCAAGACGGAAACAGCCAAATAGCCAACAGGTCTCTAGGCTTAACTGAGCACACAGTCGAAAAGTGGCCCAGCCTGGCCCCAGCCTGACCCCAGTGCTTCCCTCCGAGGCCCAGCTTAGCTCGGTCCCCATTCCAAGGAAATCGAACGTTGCTGACGTCCGTCACACAGCGGACTGGTGATTTCAGGAGGGTCCACGGCGGGCGCGCTTCAGAGGGCTATCTTATCTCTCCTGTCTACCTCAGCTGCACCCTCACCTCACCTGCTCACCTGAGCGTTCGCCGCATCCATCCGGCCTGGGCACATATCCCCCTCCCGTCTCCCGCACACCCGCCTGCCCTACGCTCTTTTTCCGGACTTCAAAACACCTACCACGTCAACCAGGGAAACCCTTTTTCTACGTTATCCTCATTCTGTCTTTCGGTAAAGCGCTTCGAGGAGGAAGCTCTCCTTCTTTTCTCCAGCTTTGCAAGAAGCATATCGACGACAGCACCAAATCCGAAGCTGCCTGCCGCTATTGAGTGGCAAGGCTTCGCGACCAGTCACAACCGTTCCATCTCCCACCGTATCCTGCCTGCGCAGGAGGAGACTTTGCACATAATGGGGTTGGCGTACAACACGTACTTGAACAGCAACAAGGTCTATGGCTGCAAAACATGCAAGGCGCATCTGTCGAACCATGAAGATATCATAAGCCGGGTATGGTTCATCAGGATATTCTCTCCTCCTTGCTCTGCATCGCATGCTCCAACAAGATTTGGACCACGCAAGCAGACATCGCCTCCACCTCTCTGGTAGCCATCTATGTACACGCGCTGACAAGTGTGTCAACAATAGAATTTCCGAGGCCAGCATGGCAAAGCATACCTATTCAACAGCGTCGTCAACATCGAGACAGGCGAGCCCAGCGAACGAAACATGACGACTGGACGACACATCGTACGCGATATCACCTGCAAGCAGTGCAAGGAGACCGTTGGCTGGAAGTACGATAAAGCATACGAGGCTACGGAGAAGTACAAGGAGGGCAAGTTTATACTTGAGGCTGAGCTTCTTTGCAACGTCACCTAGACCTTTCGCGTGACAAGCAAAGCTCCCCCAAGGGGAAGGGATACTATGTTGAGATATGGCGTTTGAGCTTCAGTTCGTCGGGTTCTTGTTCGGGGGCAAAGGCACCATGATGCCTTGCATACGGGCGGCGTTTCTTGGTGTATAGGACGGTCTTCATTTGGGGCCGATCGCAGCGCCTGGCCAGGCAATCGGGTTTCATCTGACTCCGTGAGAGTGGCATATACCTGTCAGTTGGTTGTCAGCCGATCCCTCAAAGTCTGCCAGCATTCACACCTCCCGCTCAACCAATAAGTTAGGAGATCTTTACTCGGGGTTGCTGGGAAATATGGCATCGGGTTTTCTCATTTAGTCTTAGTTGAAGCACAATAGAGACGGTTCGTGGAGTGCAACTGAGCCATATCTTTGAGTGACTGATTCTCGCACGCCTAGAATACAGCCGCTTCCATACCTGATCTAATCAAGCTACAATCTAGAGCAGAAACTCTGGCCATGGGAAGGAGCCAACCGCAACCCCGCTGACTAAACCGTACTATGCCCCTTCTCTTCACTGGTGTTCGATGGGTTCTTCCGGAAGTAGTTCCTCCACCTCTTCGTCAGGGACAAGAAATTGGAAAGGGGGTTGCACAATTCCGTTGAAGAGGAAGGTAAAGTAGACAAGCAGGCCAAATCCAACGACTTGCAGCCACTTAAAGGTCTCCCAACGGAGCCCGAGGGAGACGATCCAGATGAAGAGAGTTCTGCACGTATCGATCGTAGATCTCGAGGTAGCGCTGACGCTTCTGGTGACGGAGAGACCAAAGAAGTTGAAACCACTGTTACGGCGCGCGTTAGTAAGTCGTCTGCTTGTCAGGTAAAAAGTATGAACGTACCCGATACTGATCATGATCAGGATGCTGGAAATCCCGATGGCTCTGTTCTGCGTAAGTTGCCTCCAGCCCTCGGCCATGTCGAAGTATCCGTAGCGTCCAGCATCGGTTTTCCCGATAGCTAGATGCAAGACAATCATGCCAATGACGGTGACAGTAAAGCCGAAAAGACCTTCGAATCCAACGACACGGATAGGTTCGATGGATGACCTTTCCAGAATCCATTCCTCCAAAACGAACTGTGTCGCAGTGAAGATCTGCGCGCCGGCAATGAGGAGAACGCCCACAACCGTCAACAAGGCATTGGACTCGGGGGAGCCTTCTTCGACGTCAGCCTCGTTCGTGTTCTCATGGTAGATGGCACCAGCCAATCCAACAATTGCGACGCCCGTGACAACGCCGACGAGGGACAGCCACTGGAACAAAAAAAGTCTACGCTTGAGGAAAATGACGCTGAAAACCCCGACGAAGAGAACGAGGGCGCCGCGAGTCATTTGGTAGATGGAGGCCGCAACCAACAAAAGACCAATGTTCATCAGCGTTGTACCGAGAATATCGCAGATGGCTGGGAGCGCCAATAGCAAAATACGAGGCCCGCGCAGAATAGCACCGCTTTCCTCTTCTTGAGGCTTCGGGCGTCCGTCCACGTTGCCGACAAGAGGAGCATCTGCATTATCGGCATCATTCGGGTTGACAGCCTCGTAGCCGTTAGCCGTGGGGTTCGCTCCGGGTCCATAGCGACGATACAGGTTCATCAAACCGATGACCAGCCAACAACCCATCTCTCCAACAAACATCTGTGCTGTCTGCAGTACAGGTTGGTTAAAGTATGCCCGTTTCGTGGGGTCCTTCGCATCGCAGTTGCGGACGCATTGCATATCCTGTGGGGGGAAGCTGAGTTAGCATCTGGTTTCCAGGAGCCAAGGAGTTCCAACATACCTGATACTTTGTGAGAAGGGTATTGCAGACGCCTGTCAACAGCATCATGCCGACAAGAAAGGGAATAAGGGCCCGGGAAGCCATGTTGAGCGAACTGTCGAACTTGACCAGCGAGACGACTGTGGGCAGGTGGAGTTGTGAGAGACGAGATGATGCAGAACCAAATGTATCCTTTTCCAGTCACCCCTCTAATTGCGTTATGATACGAGACTGCTTTGGGGAAACACGCAGCCGGAAGAGGCTGGAGGAAAGGGGATTTGTTCTTTGGACAAGCACAGCAGCCGTCGTTGTCGAGATGAAGGTTGATGTAGCGGCCGTATTCATCTGGACGTGGCGGAGGTGTTGAGCTGAGTGATGGAACGAGCCGCTTATCAGTGGGTAAGGTGGACGCCGGTGGTCTTGCTCGTACCTCGGGTACTTCCTGTGCTGTGTTTAGGTGTCAGAGTACCTCAGCAAAGTCGATGTCACTTCCGCAACCCACTCGGCTCCCCAAAATGGACGCACACGGCCCCGTGCCTACCTTATGCACCTTCTGACCTCCACTCCATTTAGCGTCCGGGTTAGGTAGGTAGTTAATACGGAGTACCTTAGAGGCTTTTGGTCGTTTAGCGTTCTGGAGCTGGTCACGCGTCCATGTGAGACTCTGACGGGTTAGCCTCGATGTTAACCATCAACGTGGGTTGTGGGCCATGGTAAGCCAAGAGAGTAAATCAACCAAACGAAAATTTCTCTCACATCAATTACTGCCCCGTCAGTGAAAGAAGAGAAGGAAAACCCCAAAGTCATTTGAAAGTGGTCGGCAGCGGATTTGTTTCATCAAATCTGGTGAGTATAGCAAAGCCGCTCTAACCTTGAGTGGAATCTGATATAGGCCGTGCAGGCGACATCGTTCAGAACCCTGTTATCTTCAGTTAATATATGCATCCACCTGCCCGCTAGGATCTCCATGAGGTGCATCATAACTGGGAATCATCTTGTGCTCCTGACCATTGACAAAAATCAAGTGACATCGCGGGAAGGATAAACATCACTTTCAGCAAATAAAGATGTCATTGCGTATTGTATTACTCTTCGCGTATAGGTATCTCGTCTGTGGCTTAATCCCACTTTACTAGCCTATTTCTTTTCCTTGGGCTTCTTGTCCTTGATGTTGTTGTAATGGTGAACTCCCATCTCCTTATCTTTGGCCAGACGCTCCTCATCTTCTTTGCTGAGCGGCACGCCTTCAATGCTCTTCACTTTCTTACCCTCGAAGAACATCATCAAGCCTCCTATGGCAGCCGCCAAACAAGCAAGCGCAACGAAAAGACCGGTGGACCAACTGGGTCGATCGAATCTGTTCATTCCCCACATGAAGCCTGAGAGAACACACTGCAAGAATGTGTTCCACACATTGAACCAGATGACGAAGTCCATTTTCCAAATTGCTGTGGGAGGTGCTCGAACTCCAGTGAGGGGAGCGTTTGGAATAGCTTTCTCGGGGTGCGGAATGTGCAACACAGGCCGTTCGTTTGCCAGCTCCATGACGTTTTCGGGGCCAATATGGACAGGGAGTTGGTCAGACCCAGGCAAACGGAACCATCCGCGGTGTATACCCGCAAGCCGGCCAAGAGCTTCAGGTTTCTTCAGGATGCGATACTGCATCAAGAAATACAAATCACGGAATCTCCACGGCGCCAATCCGAATCCTGTGACGCAGAACAGAGCGTTCAGAATCTGTGAATCCCATTCGATCCATTTGCGCCGGGGAGAGTTGATATCGTTGCATGTCGGGTAGCACATTGCCGGGGACGCATTGCAAAGTAGCAGAAACAGCATGCCGCCCCAAGCAACGACATTCAGGCCGTAGAGAACGACGAAAAAGCCGAGGGGCGTGCAGGTGTAATTCCAGAACGCTTTTGCGCCAATTTTCATAGACTGCGACTTGGTGTGTGCGGGTGGGAAGTGGTAGCCGTTGTCGTAGGGTTCGTATAGTTCGTGCTCTGCAGTGGCCACGGTAGCGGAGGCGGCACTGGTTGGTATTCTTCCTTCAACATCTTGTTTTTTATCTTCATTAAGGTTGCTGTTATTGCTCTCGGAGAACTTCGTCTCGGTTGTAGACTGATCGGAGTTAGGGTGGTCCAGCGGCGCGTTCCTGTCCTTCTCGCTGCTGTCCAGTGAAGAATCTGGGCGAGACATTGCGTCGGATTCCAGAAGCTTTTGTTGCTGTCTGATATAGACGCCTTCAAGGCCTTCGGTCCCTCGAGACGTATGCTTGCTGCTGACCCAGAAGGAATAGCAACGTGTTTCGGTATCGCCCGCTGCAGATTGGTGCAAGTGCGGCGTGTGATCCGTACAGACGAGCCCCCGTGTGTCGACCGCGAGAGTGTTTCTGATCCGGAATCGTTCGAGTATCTGATGCTGGGTTGAAGACCAGCTGTAAAGATCGATGACGATTCGACAAACAGCGTAGGAAAGAAAAGGCTGGTGCGGTAGGTCTTCCTCAAAGTGCTTTTGTGGATAACGATGTACCGCTGGTGTTGTCGAAGAAATGAATAATTAGAGACTAACACAGCAACACGCAAGACCGAGTCGTTGGCAGAAAACTGCTGCCAGGAAGCAGCGACGAAGAACCGGCGGGGGTCAATAAAGGGTATCTTTGAATATCCGACCTAGTAAACGGGAAAGGCAGCTGGCGCGGCGTGGGAGAGGAAGAGTGATTCGGAGAATTCAATCAAAAAAATAAAACAAGGTACGGCGATTGTCAAAGAGGTGTTATGTGGGGGCCGGTGTCGAAGAAAAGCAGGAGAGGAAAGGAAGAAGTGCAAGCCACAATGCTGAGCCAGGGTCGGAGGATATAGCAAAGTGCCCAAGAGTCCTGGGGGGGGGGGGGGGGGGGGGTGTGGGGGGGGAGGGGGGGGGGAGGGGGGGGGGGGGGAGGGAAGAAAAAGAGAGGGGGAAGAAGAGGGGGGAACGAAGGGGGGGGGGGGGGGGAGGGGGAGAAAGGGAGGGGCGGGGGGGGGGGGGGGGGGGGGGGGGGGCTGGGTCTAGGCCTTTAGTGGTGGAAAGGGGCGGAACATGGGAAATGCGTAATTGAATGAGACGCTAATAAGCACCGACCTTGGGAAGGAAGATTGGACTTCCATTGATGGACGGATGGACTCCCCGTTTATGCCTGCCCTGCTAGATGGTAGCCTGTGCCTTGAAGGAGGGGCGGCCAAAGTTCTCCGTCCAGGCGTGACAGGCTGCTTCATTGTCAACCTGTCAGAGGCTAGAGCCCGTTTGCCGTGGGCTACGGCCAATAGACACTGTCCGCATGGAAACGCTGGTGTCCATCTCAAGTGATCTAGGGGCAGGAACCACAAAACAGCCGTCGCAAATCTGGACCCTTACGTCAATACGCGTACGATGGACCGGGAATACACTTTGTTAGGTACTTTGCACGACCACAGCCACTGCAGATTGTGTGACGACACGCGCAGTGAGGTCAGCGACACAACCACACAGCCTGCCTTTCGGTACGTACTCATGACGGGATCTGAGAGGCATGTGCACGTATTTGCCCCAAACCTTGGCTGTTGGTTGGCTCGCGTTTCCGTCGGTTACGTAGGTTGACCAGGATTATCAGAAGTGGACCGTGGATGCCGATGAGCTGTGCTTTGCTCTGTGGGTTTTGTCTCAACTCTTGAGAGCCACAGAGCATTTGAATTTGAGTTGCCGGCCTGCCGGTGGATTCGTTCAGACATTCAAGCTAGGACATTCTTGTATAAATGACGATTGCCGTTGCAGCTCTCATGTTCAAAAAGTCGCAAGAAATACAATATCTTCTTCTTTTTCTTGGGAATAGGTACCGCAGAATGGATTAAGATAGCAATCATCAACACCAACTATCCCATTCTTGATTTAAGTGAGACAAGCCAATTAGGATGGGTGAGGAACCGTTGCTGTGTGCCTGGCTAAAACAATCACCTTGGCCCAGGAGAGAAACATGACGGAGATTCACAAGCCTCAGAGCGGGGCTGAGAATAGGAAACGTAGGTGTGGCTTTGACAAGGCATGGATATTATGCACACTTCGGATCGTTTCGCTCCCTACTTACCTATGACGATGACTACATCCACCCGGCGGACAAGGTGCGCTGGACTAATAACATATGAGTATCTGTAAGGAGCAAATATGCCACAACCAAAACCTTTGTCCTCTTTCTCTGTTCCGCCTGCACCCATAGGCTAAACTGGGTGATTAATTTACATCGGTAAGGTAAGGTAGGTGTAGGTAGGCACCTACTAGGACCAAACGCCACGGAGGTCCTGAAAGTACCGCAGAAGCCTCTATACGTGCATGATAGTGTCCTTAATAGATATTTATGCATTTATCGATGACCCAGCAAATCGTTTGCCAAGGAGCACCTCTGATTGGCATACCGACAGTCTTATTGGGGCCACTTGTCTTGAGAACCTTGAGAACTCTTCAACGACAACCGCAACAATTTCCTCGGTGACTTTGGTCTTCTCAAACATATATTACGCCCTAGCAACTCCGTTTCTCCAACACCTCATCAAGATTGGATCAGGCGCAATGGCAACCGCAGAACATCTAACCAACCTTACCGATCTAGTCCTCGGCAACCTGCGAGATCAGCATGACTGGACTGATGTCGAGGTTCGGAGTGACGGGAAAAGCCGACAGCGTCCCATCATCACCGGCCTCCCGCCTAACAGGCTGTACATGCACCCAGACGAACAAATTGAGGTCTTGGAAATGGAGCAGACCGCCGGCAAGCGCTCGAGCCAGGCCCCCGAGTATGAGTGGGTTCTCCCAGTGCATCTGGGCGAACAATGGACGCTGAGTTCTTTTGCTACAATTTTTGACTCCATCGACACTCTGCCACGAGAACTCGATCCAGCAAGCACCATCGATGGACCCCAGAAGCGGGATTGGCGTGGCACAGATCGTCAAAAGAGACTACTCCTTGCCGTGGTCCACGACGATTCGACCGTGTCTTATTACCTCATTCACGACGGTATCGTCAAGCCAAGACAGAATTAAGGCATTGATCCTATATCTATCTCAACATTCCAGCACCGCAACCGCAAACTCCATACTACTCCTGCTATCATGCTGAGTAGGGAGGCGACATCTTCTCGCTACCAGTTGGTGCTTTCAATCAAGGAGTGAAAATAACTTTCTGGACCTTCATCTGATCGAACAATGCATATCCCTCAACCGCCTCGCTCAATGGCATAATGCGGTCGAACATAAACCTAATCAATGTCAGTTCCCGGACGAGGATAAGTGAGGGCGCGAATGTGTGCTCCCAATGGCGCGGGAATAAACCGAGCCATGGGGCATGGTCAGCACTCACCCAAGTTTGTCCTGCTTCTTCTCCAAGAGGGCGAGAGCCTCGGGGAAGATGGCCCGGACAGGACATCGACCCATCTGCAGCCTTAGGTTCTTGCTATGGAGGCAGTCAGCACCTTTCAGGCCACCAAACCTCCGCATAGTTGTCAATATCACACTCACCCATACGCTTCGGTACCGGTCCATGGAATCTAATCATGTGTCAGTAAGACGAACCGCAGCCTCAAAATTTAGATCGATACGGACCTCGCCATTATGGACGCCAATGCTAGCAATGACACCAAATGGCCTGATGATGTCGAAGGCAGTTCTAAGAGCTGGGCTCAGACCGACAACCTCAATAACGACATCAGCTCCGCGGCCATCAGTCACCTCCTTGATCCGCTTCTCCATGCCTGCACGATCAGTCTTGAAGTTCAAGGGCTCGGCTCCGAGGCCTCTAGCAAGCTCTAGGCGACTGTCTACGCTGTCAATGGCAAAAAGATGCTTGGGACGGTACTCGAGCGCCGAAATCACGGCACAAAGGCCGACGGGTCCGCAACCAATGACAACGGCGGTGGCGTTTGATCTCTCTTCTTCCTTGAGCAAGTTGAAGCCAGATTTGGCGCCGAAGAAGCCGGTTGGGAAGATATCGGCCATGAGAACCAGAGCATTGTCGGAGATGGTGGTTGGAGCCTTCATGGCGGTTCCGTCGGCATCAGGGATACGCACGTATTCGGCCTGACCGCCATCCAGCGCACCGCAGCCAAAGAGCTTGCTACGAGCGCAACGGGATGTGTACCCGTTCTTGCAATAGAAGCAATTCATGCTAGAGAACCATGTTGGAGGTTTATTCAACACGGGAGAGTGAAGAGGACTTACCACGACGAGGTGAAGGGAGAGACAACCCTGTCACCAATGTTCAAGGAGGTCACAGCGGCGCCTTTTTCAATGACCGTACCGGTGAACTCATGGCCCATGATGAAGCCTGTCTCGGATGGCTGGTGGCCGCGGAAAACATGCAGTTCTCTAAGATTTGTGTGAGAAGGAAGGAAAAGGAGCACGGTGGACTAAGGAGTGCCTCACGAGCCGCACAGAGCCGTTGCCTGCACCTTGACGATTACGTCGCCATCGTCTTGGACTATGGAACTGGTCAGTGACAACTGGAAGCTGACATGAAGCTCATCGGGGAGCAGCAAGATGGGCAAGCGAACCGGTAGGGATGGGGCGTTGCTCGACGGATACAGATCGCGGTCCGTTGAAGACAACGGCGCGCATGGTTCCTGAGGTAGACATTGCGGGGGTTTGTTCGGATGGGTTTGGAAGTAGATCACAGTGAAGGCGTTGATTGAGATACGAGAGCTCTCGGATGAGAATGTTTGGAAATCTCCAGGGGTTGTGACAGTCTCAGCAGAGGTAATGAGGAGCAACAAGAAGCCGAGGCACGCAGCCAGAAACACAGTCGTATTGGTCCTCGGTGATGCTGGATGATGTGGTTGTGAGGTGTGGTGAGGCACAGTTTGTATGCACGCCGGGCCAATCACCTCGCCCCCGCTCCCATTGCCGTTCATCGGAGCATCACTGTGCGAGCGAGTGCGTACACAGGGCGGGCAGTTGACGTGCACGAATAGAGATGAAGTGAAAAAGAGGATTAAAATCTGCCTACCCCGCGCAATTACCTAAGGCGGTTTTGTATCGGAGTAGTTTGCGCTTTCGCCAGACATGTCGTGGAAAGTAAGTGATGAAGTGAACGAACCCCTTCCGTGGCAGCAAGTATCGTAGCGTAAGATCGACATGGCATATCCTGAGTACAGTTTCTCGTAGAAGTCGACCGACAATCACTAGATAGGAATCACAAGTGCGGGAAGTAGGTTAGAGGTATGCAGGGCTATGGTCGCTCTGCTCTGTATGAGTATAGTTTCTACAATGGAATGTAATGTCTGATTCTAGCATTCTGTTTCATGCGTTAGTATGTTCCTCGTCAGATAAAGGTGAAGATGCAAATCAGGCTTGACAAAGTCGCAGAGGGCGTTAGGTTGATGGCTGCGGCTCATATTGATTGACTCGGCGGGCAAGGGAAGCAGGATGCGTTAGATCTAAGTTGACTTGCCGCGGTCCCGAGTCTAAGTGCCCGGCACCATAATGAGAATAAAACACAGGGGTATTATTCATGCTAGGAGAGACTCTCGCGTTATCTGGGTCGATGTCCAATGAGGGTTCCAATAAAGTACCTGTGGATAAGTAAGATAGCGCACATGGCCGATGGATGGACCTACTGTGTAGATAGTGAGGTACACGACGGATACCCCAAGTACCTAGAAAGTTGACAGACCAGCCGTCTGACAGCTCGCAACCTTGAAGAGGGCTGGAATGGTTGGCGCCTTCTAGAAACCTACCTTGGGGTGGCTTTCTATGCATACTACATGCCGTACCACGCGGGTGACGGATTTATCCGCCGCTCTTTCCAGCCAAACCTGCCACTTTAATAGCAAATAAAGGAATATATGGTAATTTTGTCTTTGGAGAAAAAGGAAAAAAAGGGCTTTTCTTTTTATAATTATATAATGTTCTATTCATTTTTTGAGCTTATTAGGTATTGAATAAACCCTTGGGATAAGGAGAGAGCTTGAGAAAAGCGGCGGATGGATGTGTCACCTGCGTGCGTACCTAGGCGTACCTAGGGGTGGTGGATAGCGGCCCTGCCACCCTGAGCCAGATCCCCCGCTCGTACGTGCCACCACCTCTGTCTAAAAATCGGGGACCACTTTGCTGAAGAACCCCTCGTCTGGGGTAAGACGGGTAAGGTAGGGGGCAAAAGTCCCTCTTATCGCCGGTCGGGGAACAGAAGACGTCTTGGGATGCCAACGTCTTGGCCACAAAATAGGACGTGACGGGGCTAGACGGTCGGTTTCGTCCTGTTCATATTGCGTGAGTAAAATTGCATCCTCTTCGTTGGTACGGAGGATTGGGTGTAGTGATGGTGTCTGTTGATGACAGAAGGACGATCCCTAAGTTTCCTTGAAATATCCATACACTAAGATATGCTCCATTGCTAACGTCCCGTGATTGTGGAAAGGAAGGGAGATAAGGGAAATACCGAGCCCAGCGTTTACATATGACACCCGACACCAAATGGAGTTTTGTAACTACCGGTTCAAGAACAGACTGGTGCCATTACCTTGTTGCAATTCTGGCATGTAATTTTTCTTTAATCTTAGGTATAGTGTGCTGATTTCTCCTGAGTGAGGTACGTCTGCGCCTCCGCCCTTTTAAAGTAATGGGCCCAAAAAAAATGCACATAATTATATATTAAATAATCATACTATTATAGTACTTATATAACGCTATTAAATATTATTATTTTAAAATAAATTTCGAGATTTTAAAGTTATTAAATAACTCTTTATTATAAAAATAAAGTTATTTACTTTGTTATTTAGCTAATTATTAATATTATATAAGTATATTATATATTATATTATTTTATAGTCCCTATAAAGTATTATATATATTAATTATATAAGTAATACTACTTTTATAAGCTTATATAAGTAATAGAAAGTATTAGAATATAACGAACTATATTGAAATTCTTTTATAAGAGAAAGAGATAAGAAGAAAGAAAGAAATTTGAAAAAAAAAGTTTACTAAGATAGTATAAGTATCTATTGATACTGTGTATTAATACTATAGAAGCGATATTGAGAACTGCCCGAGTAGCTAGTATAAGTATAATATAAAAATAAATACTAAAGTTTTCTCTAGATAAAATTACGTCTTATAATTATATATTTACTTACGTATACGCTTATTAATTTATTTATAATTAATAAGCTATAAAATATTCTAGTAAAAAGTATTTATATTTATATTAACCGTATATTTACGCTTATTTTCTCTATAGTTATATATTTTTTTACTTTTTAATAAAATATTCACTTTTTATATTTTTATAAAAATATCTTATATTACTATATTTAAGCCATCTAAACCAAAAATAGGAATATTAAAAAGAGGTTATTATTAAATGAATTTCAAGAATTCAAAACATAAAATTTAACTATTGAAAAAACTTTCAATATGTTATAGTAATGAAGCTATTAATATTTTAAGTTTAATTTATATTAATAATTAGTAGTTACTATAGCCGGTTATAATTAATTACTTAGTTTATTTTATAATAAAAACTTAATATTAATACTAATAAACTAGCTTATTTATAAAGGTAAAGATGGCCCCTAATGAGGCAGGCCGGACCCCAAAGGGTTATAGTAGGATAAATTGCTTTAATTACTACGTTCTTGCAAATAGGACTCCTGAGTGAGGTACGTGGGAAGGAGACATGGAGATGGGTGGAATGTTGCGACTTGTGCAGAGTAGTAGCTCAGCGTCAAGGTAGCTAGCTAGTCCCCCATCCCATTGAAAGCTAACAAGTAAGGTATAGGTACTTTACTCCGCAAAGAAGAGAAGTAGCGAAAAGAAGGGTCCCCTTGCTTGACCGCCTTGGACTTGGCCAATGAGGCAGCCCGAGTCAGCTCGCTCTAGGCCGATTGCATGTATAGATGATTGAGGCTTAGAGGCTTAGCGGCTTGGACGCATGGATCAATCACGGGCAATGGTGGCATGGGAAGGGGGACTCTGGAGGGTTCTATTGAACGATTGGACAGAACGGAGCAAAGTGGGCTCCGTCTAAGTTGATGCAGCGAGTGGCAGGTCTTCGATGCGAAGGAAGGTTGGTGAGGGGTTAATGTTGGACTTGGCTTGGAGAGGAGCCCATCTAGTGTGGGGTAATAACGAACGATGCCGAGAGGTAAGGTATCCGTCCGAATAGTTGCACACCAGCCCGACATCTTGGTCTGCACTGATGTACCTAAGGGAAGCAGTAGACGATAGGTAAACAATTCCGCCGATCGGTTGTTTAAAGACGAGGCAAATTTTGAGTTGTTGAAGCGGAAGGGGAAAAGAAAACCCGAGAGAGAAAATAACAATCATCCACGCCTAGGGTTGCTTAGCAGAGTTCGAACTTGCAGATCAATAAGGTGAGTGTGGTTAGGTACAAGACTAACGCGCGGGGATGGCTCAGCGGATGACTTGATGTTTTGGTCAAGTGTTTGTTGACTTGGATACACACACACGAACACACACACACACACACACTAGGCACCCACCCTCTTCGTCTAAATCGTTCCATTCCAGTTCCAAGGTTCATATTTCCTCAAGCCAAGGCCGCACTGTAAGCCTGCGATTTGGAAAGGCGAGTTGACGGAAACATTGCCGGAGCTTTGCAGAAGAAAGTGAAGAGCAAGAAAGGGTGGGTAGACAGGAATCGTCAGGTGCGGTGACTCGTGAAGCGAACCAGAGTGTACAGAATCAGGTAGGGCTTTCCAAGTTCCAGCTTGGGCCTGGCCCGACGGCGACCAGTGACCAGCACTGATCAGGGACATGGCCCCCATGCCTCGGATTGAGCCTCCACTTCCGTCCCATTCGTCCATCCATTACATTGGGTGCGGCTAATTGTCATTGACAAAGGTAACTCCCGCTCGTACAGTGATAGTGTGCAAGTTGTTGCGAACTTGCAAAATACCAAGACCTGCGGAAAGGGCCTCGCCCAAGAATAGAGATTACGGAGTACCTAGTCATTAGTGATCTGTCAACCGAATTGGGTGAAAACTCCACGGGCTTCATTCTCCATGTATGGACTACCTAGGGTAGAATGCTCTGTCTATAGCTCAACCTCATGTGCCACGTACGGAGTAGGTACCTCGTGCGCAGTACCTGCCGCATTCCTTGGGGATGCCCCGGTCATTGTCAGCCTTCATTTCCTCCGCGATCCGTCTTGTGCTCGTCCACCAGCCACCGGCTTTCTTGCACTTTTTCCACAATGGTCTCGTTTCGTTCCTTGTGGCCTTTGCGCATGATGCTGTTTTTCAGTGGACCATGGGCTTGCGGTGCCGTGTTTCCGCGACTCTGCATTGCTCAAAGTCAACCAAAGGATGAAAACAATGACGGAAGGCTGACTACCTGACTGTCCTCCCAATCTTCCGAAGGGGGGAAAATGACGCTTCCCCCCAAGGTAAGATATAGTGAGATGCAGAAAGGGCATACGGATACAAAGGTCATCTTGCCGAGGGAAATTTCTTATCCGATGTAATTGCGAGGTTTTACTATACCGTACGCATAGAACCTGGCAGGATGGCTCTCCCCTCCTTCTCCAAGTTTTTTCCTTTGTGATAGTACTGCCGTCCGATCCTGCAGACTGTTCCATCCCATCTTGACCATCATTCGAAATGCGGTACCGGTACTTCGTCCCTTCTGCCCATCCATGTATGGATTATACTTTCGAAGTCACTCCCCATAGAATGAAGTCTCCCCAGTCCGTCTAGGGTTCCCGCCGCGGCATTCTCATGCTTGCGCCTTTCAACGAGCATCTCGAGTGCCTGGGTGACCATTGATGCTGGGTGACAATCTGACAAGTGTAACATGGAAACCAGCTCTCTCGACTGCTTGTGGTAATGTCACTTGATGAGACTAAAAACCCTCTCTTTCCCCGCCTCCTATCATGCCCCCGCGCTAAACACAGATAAAGCGGTGCATGGCAAATTTGTGAGAAAACTGCTGGTCCAGGTTCTTGGTAACCTCTTAGCTCGGCGCTGAATCGATCCTGGGTCGTTCCTTGCCGAGATAAGCCCATCCGCCGCATCTACGACCGCAAGTAAGGCCGTTGGCGCCTAGTCAAGACTGTGATGATGCTCACCCACGTCGAGGGCACGCCGCACAAGAGGGACTGCGACGAAGATACCCTTGTTGAACCAGGCCGCCGTGTCTTTTTACTGAACATTGATGTGACATAGAGGCACGTCAATCTTACTCTTGCACATTTCATCGCATGAGGCCTTCCCGCTCTTCAGCCTGCCTTGCAGCGCAGCCTGTAAATGCGAATACTTAGGAGCATTGCCCTGCTGGTCTCTCGGAACCGTTGGCGTGCCTCGCTCTGTATACAGTACCGATCAAACATGCTTGCCAGGCCCGGAAGTGAGGCGCAACGGGTACGCAACCAGGGACGGGACCGGGAACAAATAAGTGAGAGGGAGACAGAGAGAGGGGGGGGGGGGGGCAGCAGAGGAAGGGAAAGAGATAGAGAAGGAGGCAGAGAGAGAGAGAGACTGGACAAGCCTGCGGAGGAGGCAGGGAGGGCGGCTGAGAAAGGGGAAAAGGTACGTAGACTTGCACTTCATTACTGCCCGCTCCGTGTACCACCACCGAAATATCTCCAAGGCACTATACTATGTATGTGCCTTTTTGCTTGTCCTTAGGTATCTGTACTTTGTACTACACATGTAAAGCCACTCTTGTACCTCGACCTATGGACCGGTACTCCTGCGGCCTGCCTGATCTTTACTTAGCCTCATATTTCGAGGAATCCTTTCCCTTATTTCGTGCTCATAACCCTTAGTAAGTATCCCTACTCTTTGGATACCTGGGTAGATACCTCTCTTTACCCCGTCTCGCCATCTGAGGTGTGTAGTGTGCCCGCAATCCCTATGCGCGCTTCCGCCCATCCCATATCCACTTTCTTAGTGACTCGGCTTCTTCATCTCTTCTCGCCTCCACGTCCCCCCTCCTCCTTCCCCCAAAATCCGCTTTTGTTCATCGCTAGGGTCACGCGGTCCCTTGAATCTATCTGTGGCACTGGGCGAATCTCTCATACGCTTCCAAGAAATTATGCGCTAACAGTAAAGGACAGCCTCCCTCCCGCTGAATACCTTGGAGAAGCAAGAACCAGATGGGGACCTTTTTGCAACATGAACAACTCGCTCCTGTTTGACTCTGAGGTGCTGTTGTCGCGCCCCTCAATCTCTTTACCGCCTTCGTCTCTTACCTGGTTGTCCAAGGTAGACGAGACTGTTCATCTGTACCTCGCCCAAATTTTGTTACTTTTGTCACCTACCGTAGGTACGGGTTCTTGACCTTACCTCATCGGCACCCCGTCCGACGACGGGCCAAGATACCTACCTACCTGTCCTCCAACCCGTCCGACCTACCGCTTCCACTACCGCTACCGCTGCCGCTGCCGCTCACTCAACTTGTGTTCTACACCCGACTATTGCTGACCCTCGCTCGCCCTGCCTCGTGCATCCATCTGCATGGTTGCCGTCCCTGGGCGCCCTCTTTTATCCGTCAAAGAATCACGCACCCGACTGACTCCCGCGCTTGCTCCTCATTCTCCCCACACCCCCTGCTCGAGGCCACACCGACCTCCGTCTTTGACATCCAAACGTCGCCGCATCCCATCCTCCAACTCCCGGCCGCCCTCCATCTTTCAGTCCGCTCTTCCTCCCAGTCCTCCTACCTGCACCTGCATATCACCTTCTCGACTCCCTCATCGGCTGCTTTCTCCCGGAGTCCACGACGGCGGCGATAGCTGTCTCGGGGCCGACTTCTCGCGACGCGCATTACTCCCTCTATCACTTGCCGACTTCATCGTCCTCGAAGCGACGTTGTCTTTGTCGCTCCCCTCGGCCCCAACAGCTGCCGCCTTGCGCAAAAAGGGACCATAGCAGCGCAACCTACTGATACCCCGTGGCGCCTCGCGACCATCGTTTTCTACTTACCGCCCCTCCAAAGTCGACCCTTCCTTCGCCGCTGTTACCGTCAGTTTTACGACAACCGTTCTGGCCGTCTCTGTCGCTAGCCACCCGTCGTTGCTGCGACCCTTACCCTGCAACTTGCCCCATGGCGGCTTGATATCGCTTGCGCTGTGAGCCACGACACTCTCCGGTAGCGACAACTATGACTGCGTCGGCTGTTCAAAGCCACATGCACCACACAGCTGCGAGCGACTGTTACGACCCCGATGACGTCCTCCCTCACGATAGCCCCCAAATGCAAGCTCACCGCCCCAGGCTACAGCCCTCACCCAGTCCTCCGCCTGCTCTGAGCCCTAGCCGAAAGTCGTTCCACGGTCGTCGCAAGGTCGAGCCCATTCAAGGCGATGCCGTGTTAGTGGCTCATCTCGGAAACGGCAGACAGCCAGACGTCGCCCAGGCCGCCGCTCTTGAACCCCTTGCCTCTGACAACGGATCCGAATCTGAGTCTTCTTCCCCAACCTCTCCTGAGCGCGACATGGACAAATCGGCGGAACCTTTCGATCTCAAGATTCTCGCTGCCGGCGCCTTGGCTTTCACTTCACCTGGTGCTCCCGAGCCATCTGTCCCAGTTACCAATTCTACTGCTGGAGCACTCAAAATCGATCAATCGCGCTCAGGAGAGAGACCCCGGGTTCAACATGAGGCATTGCCTTTAGGTCCTGGCAGTCGGGAGTTGCCCATTCGCGATGATCGGCCAAGTCATGGCTTAGCTGCCCCAGCTGTCGTTTACTCTGCTGGGGACAAGTACACTTCTCGTCGTTCGGCGCCTAGTCTTTGCCAGGCCGAGGTCACGTCCCCGATGAGCCCTCCACAGTCTGCTCCCAGTGGTCTTCCTCCACTTCTGGACTCCCCCAAGTCCGATGGCAGCGGTCATGGTCCATTACCATCTATCAGATCCCAGCTTGGGGACTTGCAGCGCCTGGCAGATACTGCTAGAAGTCCTGAGCATGATCTGGGTTCTGCGCGACACACGGCTTCATATCCCCGGTCGCCACCAACCAATATCCCCCGACTACCCTCACTCGCCGGGCTTCCAATCGGTCACACATCACCTCCAATTTCGCCCAATGAAGGCTTTCGTAGAGACCACCCATCGCCTGCGCATCCTCTAGCCGTTGTCAGTCCTTACTACTACGCGTCTTCATCGAGCGGTGGCCATCACAGACAAAGTACCGACTATAGTAGCGGTACAGCAGAAACCCCGAGCACTGATCAGACCGCTTCAACGCCCGCCACGTCTGTGGCGGATCGAATGAGCATCGACGGTCTTACAAATCCTCAGGCAGGTTATGTCTGCACCTTCTCGGGATGCAACGCGGCACCATTCCAAACTCAGTACTTGCTCAACTCGCACGCGAATGTTCACTCATCTGCTCGACCACACTACTGCTCTGTCAAAGGCTGCCCTCGGAGTGAGGGTGGCAAAGGGTTCAAGAGAAAGAATGAGATGATCAGGCACGGGCTCGTTCACGAATCTCCGGGATATGTATGCCCTTTCTGTCCTGACCGAGAGCACAAGTATCCTCGGCCAGATAATCTTCAGAGGTAAGATGAATCCATATGTTTGTCACACATCCTGATCAATCTAAACCCCCCACAAACGCGTCGTCGCTGTCAGGTAGTTGATTTCGGCTGTGGACGTAACTAATTGAGTATGCAGACATGTTCGGGTACACCACGTGGATAAAGATAAGGACGATCCTGCTTTGCGGGATGTGTTGTCACAGAGACCAGATGGGCCAAATCGCGGCCGACGACGCAGAGGAGGACCTGTCTAATCAACTGAGCAATGTGCCATCTGGTACTTTTCACGTAAATACTTTTTTTTTCTTCTCCTTTCCTCTTTTATGGGCTGTTCGGCACCGACGACATCTTGCCAGAATGTCGGAATGAGCATATAGGAGGTGGTTGATTGTACATAGTAGATGGATATTTGGAGTGACCAGATATCACTGTGATGCTTGGTTCTCCCCCCCTTGTTGGTCCTGAGAGGGGGAGACGAGCGAAGATTGGCAAAGTGGGTGACACCAACTCTTCGTTAGTTTTTGTCTTCGTTTTTCTTCTTCTTCTTTTCTTGTTCTTGGAGGAGGCGGCTGTCTCGGGCTGGTACTTGTTTTGGAGCTTATTTGAATTGGCACGGCACGAGTTCATGAATGGGGATTGTTTCTGCCTTTTTGTTACGAGGATTCTGGCGTTGCGGTGGATCATATACCACATTGACGAGTCGTCCGCGTCACGTCACGTTTTGTCCCTTCTTTTTATTCTTCTCTCCCTCTTTTCTCTTCTCTCTTGCTTGATGGGTGGTGGCCGGCTAGGAGAACGCAAACTCTCGAACAGTCTTTCACAAGAGCCAACATCAACATCGTCTTCGATTCAAGCGGCAATTCAAGGGAAGATCCCTTTCTCATATTTGGTATTAGGGCATCTACTTGGCTTGTGGCCTTTCCCCTTTGCTTTTGTCTGCTTTTCAACCCGTCCACCCGAGAGATGGGTAAAGGAGGGAGGAGGAGGCGACGGAGAAGGATGAAGGGAGGGAGGCATCGCGGATTCGTAGTGAATTCTATGAGCAGGGCTTAGGTACCTACCAGACCACTAAAATTTCGCCTTCCACCTGTGGCGACGAACCGAAGCCTTTGGCTAGCCTCTCACCTGTGCCATGGCTACTAGGAATCGGTCATCTGCCATTCGCCAACGTGAACTGAGTTGTCGCTCAAAACCTCCACCTCGATGCTCTGGCGACCCTGCTGACTCCCAAGCCGCTCCACAATAAGCCATAATTTGTCTTGTCGAAGACGGTCGGGCTCAAGGTCGAACTCGGGTGTCCTGATAGCCATCGTCAGTTCCCGGAACTCGCCGCCCCCTGACATGGCGAGTACCGACTCCTGCGGCACCCGACCGTAGACGAGAGAAACGCGAACGGCCGTTGTAGAAATGGGCTGGTTGCTTCGCCCCGTCTGCAGCGGGCACCGCGCCACAACTTGGGCCCGGGACAACCGTGATACCGTGACCAGCGCTCGCCTACTCTCCTCTCCTTCGTTAAAGATGAAGGCTGGCGCCAGATTTCGCAAAAGGCCGGCTCTGTCGCTTAAAACGGGTTTGATCTGGCATTCCACCTGAGACCCTACCCGCATGCCAAAGTCGGCGAGCTGCCCCGGCTCCCACGTCGAGCACACAATGGTGTATGTGCCCGGTTCCAACATAGGGACCTGAACAAGGGCATTGCCTCTCCGGTAGTCGCCAGAACTAGCCACAACATCCTTTACCCCGATCGACGTCACTCGTCTTCCGTGTGCCCATACCAGGTCGACATGAATGGCTACCTCTCGGTCTCCTGACGAGAGAAGTATGGACAGAGGCGTGGCTTGGGGAACAGAGATGCTGAACTGCGGATTTTGAGAGTAGGTGATGGACGACGCATTGCCTCCAGCAGTTCTCCTGGACCAAGCACTCGACAGCTCTTGGTAGTGGCTCATGGCTTCCTCGGCTGGCTTGACTTCGAGTAGTGCCTTTGAGAAGAGAGTAAACGTACACGAATATTGATCCAGCGGGAGGTCTTGATGGGCCATGACAATGGTATAGGGCGTTCCGCTGCGAAGTTTGAACTTGGCGAGCGTTTGTGGCGAGTCAACATATGGGCCTTGATAGACAAAGCCCTCCCTCACCTGAACCTTTTTGCCCTCGCTCTCAAAGATGAAGATGCTCGTGAAGCCGAGTTGTCTCGATGCCGCTGCCAAGGAAGCTGATTTATTCCTTGCGATCTCCAGCTCCTCGTCTGCAAAGTGTCGACTGAGCAGAATCCACACGGTCTGTTCCGTATGTGACAGGACTGAGTATTGCGGATTGTGGGCAACAGAGGACGTCATGTTTTTGGTGGGCACGCGCCACGTAAAGTGGTGATCCTGCCTATGTGTGAACAGGTCCGGATTCCAGTTGAGATACATGGACTCGAAGTTCTGTGCAACGTCTTCCACTGATATCCAGAAGGACCCGACAGGCCTGGTAAGCTCAGAGGGCCTTGGCTCGATCGAGACCAATGTGTCTAATAACGACACAGCAGCCGTTTGCTCAACGATTCCAGATGAACCGACGCCTTTCCAGACCAGACCATCACACCACGGGTTCTTGACGAGTAAGCGACGGGCGCCGGGCGAGCTGTCAATCTCCAACACAGCATAGTCGTGCTCGCCTACAAGACCCAGGGCGTCTTCTTCCGACTGCGTCAAGCGACCGGTTCCTAGGGTCATGATCAAATTCCCGGCATGGTATGCCTCTTTGATGGAGTCCCATTCGCCCTCAACGTCTACATCTTCGCTACGTCTTAGCGTTAGTTCTCGCCGATAGTCGTCTCACCCCGGGCCGGGCTTACACGGCAGTCCCTACATACCTCTGCAAGAACAGCTGTTCAGGAATCCACCCCGTAATTACCCATAAATCGGTCCCCGAATTGCTGCCAGGGAAGTCGTACCCTCCGCGTACCTTCAAGTAAGCCTTTTCCAGCAAAGCTGGCCACAAGAGATTGGGGTTCTTGCGGTCGACAACGAACAAAGTGCGATTGTTCCGCGAGACAGGCAGCCGATCATCCACAACGACTTGTCTGAAGCAGCCATTAAAGTGCATGCGAAATATGTATTTGCCACTCTTGGAGATCATCGGCCGCCCCTTTTGGTGGTTGTAGGGGTACATGATGGAGCTTAGGATCTGATAAGACTGGTAAGCAAGCGCGGTCAACGGCATTCTGCGTACCACTATTGACTGACTGATTGTTGGCCACCTTGTAAAATCTTCATGGCGGCGCATAGACTGGCTACAACCGAGCAGTCGGTCGTGACATCCTGTACGAGATCGCACTCTTTTTCCGAGGCCATAAAGTCCTCGTCTACGTTATCGTCTCTCGCCTGGTCCACGGGCCGCTGCCATGCCTCGAGAATAGTTTCCTGCCTGGCGGACATTGTGTATTCTGCAGGGTCACTGGTTTACGAATGAGTTTTCGGCCGATTTGGCGGTTATGCGAACGTACGAGAAAACATTCTGGCCCTGAGATAGGGAGAAATTGTCAACATCAGGCTCAGCCTGCCATGGCGGAAAAATGTTGCCATGCAGTCGCGATGAGCGCAGAAGGATAGCCCTCTCGTTGGATGGGACATGGCGCACATGGCAGTTAGGATTAGAAGCAGAGGTGATGGTCGCAACCGTTGGCTGGGTCAGAGACGGGCTTGCAGTCTTGGGGGAAGACTTGAGCTTTTCGGCGAGAGAAATGAGTCCAGCGCACTTTTTCCTGAAACGAGAGCGGTCGGCTGGTGAACTAGCTTCGTGTGCTGCCTTCATGTATAAGTCGGCCGCGGTAATGGCATGATTCAGCGCTTCACGGCCTGTCGATCTGGCGACAAGGGCCTCTTCTCTCTGGACACCGAGGCAACTCTGGTCAGCTGAGGCGGGTCTCTGTGTTGCGTCGCGGCGTGACTTGGAGACTCACTCACAATGGCTTTGGCTTCCATGCTTCCCGCTAACAAGCAGCTGATTGAAGCTGCATTCAGTCGTTAATGTCAAGTCGAGGCGAGAATACCGGTCGCGCGACTGGAATTGATTCAGGGAAACTAGCTTCCTATACAGGGAGTCGGAATCAAGATTTACTCGAGTCGCATGTCGAGGTCACGAGTAAGGTAGGCAGGTAGGTAGTCGATGCGTTGCGACCCGACACGGCGGGAAGCAAGGCGAGATTCGGGAAGAAAGCAAGTGGAGCGATGACAGGTTGAGTAGTAGGGCTCGGGTTTGTTGGCCGTGCCTCTCAAAACCGCCCGTGGCTCTACCTGCTATCTGATCACACCTTCCTCTGACTTTCTTTAACACCAGTCTTGACTCTGATTCCGGACCGAATGTTGTGTGGTTGGTATCATGAGCGCGGGCAATTATGGCTGAAAATGGGCGCGGGGAAGCAGTCGCAGTCTTAGCGCGAAATGCATTCGTCGTGGGGTGAGACGAAAGAGAGCGGGCACCAGATTGAGGCTGTGCAAAGCAAAACCCAAAAACGGTCCAGAGTCGATCGGCCAAGGGCCAGCCAAGTTGAAATGTTGAGACGGGCCCTAGGTGAAAGCTCTCGAGGCCAAGGACAGATGAAGCAAGACAAGCAGACTTTGTGGGCGTGATCGGAACGCGGAAGCGCAGAATCACAGGAGAGTTCACTTCAATTCACACTTCAAGCCTGCCTACTTTCGTGTTCTGGCGGTTATGTCGAGTCGAACCAAGCCAGGCGCCCAAAGGAGCGGAGCAAGCGCCAAGCAGAGAATCAGAAGCGTCGATATCAAAGAGTTGGATTTAGTGAGGCAAGGCAGATTACCTAGGCCTTGGGAGCACGGTAAGATTGTGCCCGTTCATCTGTTGGATGAGGGCAGCAGGACTGCACATTGGTACATACCATCTATCAGAATGGAATTTCCAGATGAATAGATACCTTAGCTTACCTAGATGTGAAGGTTCTTGGCTTGCTTGAACGACAGGTAAGGCACAGGACTGCTAATAGAACTTACCACATCTTACGTAAGGCACGTCCTGTAATCTGGGTTCTCGGAAACTGCTCAGGACTTACACGGGATTGCAACCTAGATCATGGAGAACGGCACCTTGGACATTGTAATACTGCACTATTCCGTCGAGTTCCGAGTTAATTCAACTTCGTTAGTTCAACCCTTGGCAGGTTTTATTCAGTCGGGTTCTATTGGCATGAAGATGAGGACTTCTTGTAGATACCATGGGCCAAGCTGAGTGCCCGCGGTGCCGTATGTTAGAGAGTGGGCAGCTTTACATACCTGGATGTGTTGGCCAAATGAAACACTTGAAGCCAGACAGACTGTATCACCTCGGCACTGGGCCATCACCAACCTGCCTCTCATGTCGTCCCCCACCTCTTGGGCCGCTGGCCCCATTTCCCCGGCTGCTCCGCTCTCATATGGCCGATTTTGGCTACCTACCTTCAGAGAGTTCAAGGTCTCCGGCAACCATTCTTCAAAGCCAGTCACGTATTTGTATCGAGACTAACCCGTTGGTACGGATCCTTTATGCTGCTTCGCATCCATTAGCCTTCCGCACATTTTCACTCAACATTCCTGCCTGCCGACGGTATCTTACCGGCACCTTGGTGTGCTTGCTTACCTTACCTCCCCTTAGCTTATAGTGCGGCGGTCTGTCACCAGGAAGTATTACCTACGGTAAGGTAGGTACCGTAAGGTAGGTAGCCATTGATTGTGCCGAAACCCCACCAGGTGACCTCACCGGTTAACCGAGCATATGGCGGCCCAGGCCTCTAGCGTCATCTCCAAGGGCCGAGGTCGACGACTCAAGTGCCAGTCCCGGCACCCGCGCAGGCGCAGTGGCCGGCACGTCAATCCCCATGGCCCATGGGCACTGAGAGCGGCCCTCTCAGTTTGGGCCATTCGTCCCAGAACCTTGAATCATATATCTAATCGTCGCCAATAACTTCTTGGACCATTCCTCGCGCTCGCGCATCTTCCCCATTGTTGCTGGTACTCACTGCTTGTCCGTTACCGTTCTCCGACCTGATCACTTCCCCTCCCGCCCTTTGCCTCGGATCTTGATCGGTGCAGAACCGCAACGCCGACGCCGACGCCGATATCGTCACCGTTACCGACATTGCGCGCAACGATTCCCTACTTGGGGCCCGGTTATTCGACCAAACGCCTAACAGAGAACTTTGATCCGTGTGCCTGTTGACTGCTTCTTCAACCTGAACTCGGCAACAATACAATGGCTGCGCAGTCGAAATCAGCCTCCATCTCACCTTGGGGCAAGGCAGTTGCTGGCGCCTCCGGTGCTGTGCTCGCCAATGCTTTAGTCTACCCGCTTGACATGTGAGAGATACGATGCTGCCGCGATACCCACACCCTCACATATTTGTCTTCTCTACCGCCTCAAAGCCACTCTATGCTGTCGTATTCTTTCATAGAGATCGTCTTTGGCTAACCTCTCATCGTTGAAGCGTCAAGACGCGCCTACAGGTCCAAGTGAAATCGCAATCCGGCGCAGTAGCGACTGATCCCTCCGAACCTATCGAACCCCATTATTCGTCCACCTGGGATGCCCTGAGCAAAATTGTTGCTGACGATGGCGTCAAGGGCCTTTACGCCGGCATGAGTGGTTCTCTCCTTGGCGTCGCCTCTACCAATTTTGCATACTTTTACTGGTATTCCATTGTGCGCGCCCTCTACTTGCGTTCTGCCAAAACTTCGGCACCACCTTCGACACTCGTCGAGTTGAGTCTGGGCGCGATCGCTGGCGCTGTAGCCCAGCTCTGTACAATTCCTGTCGCCGTCATCACGACAAGGCAGCAAACCCAACGCAAGACCGAGAGGAAAGGTTTTGTCGACACTGCACGGGAAGTTATCGATGGAGAGGATGGGCTGTTCGGGCTCTGGAGGGGTCTTAAGGCTAGCTTGGTGCTCGTGGTGAATCCTGCAATCACTTACGGAGCTTACGAGAGGCTGAAAGAAGTCATCTTTCCTGGCAAGAATAACCTCAAGCCTTGGGAGGCATTCCGTACGTTATTGCACCCTCCAGGACTGCAAGGTTTTGACGGGGCCGGCTTTGGCTGATGATGATGATATAGTTCTTGGTGCTGCCTCCAAGTCACTCGCAACGATTGCCACACAGCCTCTCATTGTCGCAAAGGTAGGTTTGCAGTCTAGGCCGCCACCCGAAAGGAAGGGCAAGCCTTTCGGCAGCTTCATCGAGGTAATGAACTTCATCATGGAGCGAGAGGGTGTGTCTGGTCTCTTCAAGGGTATGGGGCCACAGATTCTCAAGGGCCTTCTTGTCCAGGGCATCCTCATGATGACAAAGGAGCGGTAAGCACGATGCTATTTGACTTGAAATATCCATCGTAAGGGTGCTAACTCGGGAATAGCATGGAGTTGTTGTTTGTCCTCTTCTTCCGCTACCTCAGAACGCTGAGGTCGAAGCGGCTGCAGGCTTTTACACGGAGTCCCGAAGTTATTCGCAGCGCATCTGCCATCAAGCCTCTTTGAGAGAACGGTAGCGACATGCATACATCTGCCTAAGCAACCTCGTCAAGGAGCCAATGGCGGCTGGCCTTTCGACGTCATGTATAGCGAAATGAGATAATATCTCATAGGGTGTAGACTGTAGACAGAGTGGGCAAACTTATGGACTAATCTGTATGGTGACAAGGATAGAACACAAGAGCACTGTACGGTCACTACAAGAGGTTAGCACAGTAGAGATGACAACCGACAACTCAAGGTAGCTAGGATAGAGTAAAGCACGTTTCGATCCCCCAAATTTGCTCTTTGATGATATTCCTACGTGTCTTGGAAGTAGACGAGGTAATTTAGAATTATGACAGCATGACACACAAAAGTCCAGGAAACCCTTCGCGGTATGTGAATCGGAAATATGGTTATGTTTTCGTGACGATAGTCCGAAAGTGACATTGAAATATTCCAACCGATGAGAGGTAGGTATCTGTCTCGGTAGGTAAGGTGAGCGATGCTCCATGCAGTCATACCGGCAGTCCTGCCTGCAATGACTTATCCGCACTGAATACTTAACAGACCTATCTTAGGTACTCAATTATGAAAACTGAGGTATAATTTTATACGGGTTGGAAAGCCTGAAACTCCATTCAATCATGTAAGGACCTACCTCAAATGGTGGCGCACTAGCGCGACGGGACTCAGCCACACCATGGCTCAGCAAGTTCATTAGGGCACAGATTTTCGACCCACAACACCGAAGAGCCTAGCATGCACCAAACCACCCCACGGCCAGCCTCGTTATCACAATACTCGAAATCCCCTCGACCGCATCACGAACTCCAGGCTTTAGTATTCAACGTTAGGGGCACCTTCCGACCGCAGCAATGGCCAGTAAGTCACGACGATTTGTTTCTGCGAGCCTTGTTGCTCGCACCGGGAGAGCTTAGCTAATTTCTGAGCGCAGAGTCCAAGAACTCCTCGCAGCACAACCAGTCGCGCAAGGCGCACCGCAACGGGTACGATTTCAAACCTCATTTCTGGCCCATGCCAACCGATTTCTGAGGTGTGCTTTTACTGATCATTTGTTCCTCTTCTTGCCGTGTAGTATCAAGAAGCCCAAGACGTCGAGATACCCTTCCCTCAAGGGAACTGACCCCAAGTTCCGCCGCAACCATCGTCACGCTCTGCACGGCACCATGAAGGCCCTGGTACGGATTGCCCCAAAGAACAGTTTACAAGGATTCTTGTTACACCGACCTCCACCGCGACGCTTGCTGACAAGTTTCACAGAAGGAGCTGAAGGAGGGCAAGCGCGAGACGGCATAGACAGGAAATTGGACGCATGGTTATTGGTCTCTTCTACAGCACGGCTGCGACGCATTGGGGCATCAGGGAATCAAATGGAACTGGCAATTAGGTTGAAAGAGCCAGCAAACGAATCAAGCACGATTTAACCCTCTCGGATACCGAACAAGCCGCGAAGGTCGGGCATATGCTGCTTCGAAATCCAAACGATGACACCCGACAAGAGAGATCGATGACTCTGCCAGGGGCGTGGTGACGGAGTGATACATGCAGCGAGGCTCTACTATACGTCCATCAGCCGTGCCCCGATGGGTGAACTATGATGTGCGATATCAGGCCAGTTCAAGGATCACAACCAAGTAGATGAAAACCTTACGCCGACCTTCCACGGTCGCCCGACATCGAACGTGATTAATGAAAAACGGTCAACCCCGAGAATCTCCAGGGTCCCATGGGCTCTATTTGCCCCAGCGATCCAATATGTTTGGGTATCCAAGTCGGATACTTGCCTTGAATATTCAGGAACTTGCCTTGCTACGGTACGACGCTCTCCCCGTAAGTTCCGGATGGCCCAGCCGAGCAAGTTGTGAGATCGGATCGCGGGTCTATAATCCCAGTTTCGCTGCCTTGACTGTGGTACTTTCGCAATGACCAGGATGAAAAGGCCGTAAATGCTCAACATGAATTGATTGCCTCCATGGCTGACTTGCAACTCGGTAACTCAATACCAACTCATGAAGCTATTGGACACTTAACTGGCAAAGGGAGGGGCGTCATTCGTCGCTGGGGCAAAGTCGCATGCTGGCAGCTTAACAAAGCAACTCAGCAAGGAAGCTCAAAGAATCATCGCCAGTCAGCCTCGTTTCTTCAATCAGAGAGGCGTTCCGTCAATTCCACTTAACGACCTCACTACACACCTACGCATTGGCGTCTCTCTGATGGATCGGATTCTTGCCATGCCGTTCTCTCTTCTCTGTTTTTGCATGAGGCAAGTAAAGGGGGTTGATGAAAAGAGCGGGGGAGGGGGATTTGGGGCGAGACGCGTACGTACCCTCTTGAAGGGTATCTAAAGTTAAAGTTGAAAATACCCGCCAATTGCGCCTTAATACCTGGGAAACGAAGAAATAACGGGGGCCACAGGAACTTGGCTGATAGTGAGCATGCTTTCATTGGGGATCATTGGTACATTCCCGACGGGGACGTGTGGCCATATCTACTCCTCTCGGTGCGATCAAAGCTTGCCGTGCCCTTTCCAATACTTTCGAGGTCGGATACCTACCTCAAGGTACTCCGTCCGATCTATCTGAGGTAACTACCTACCTGAGATCAGAGGTCTCAGAGGCGGGCCCCATGCTGTACGGCGTGCGAGGCACCCTGCCTTACCTCAGGTGGTAAGGTTGAATAACTGCACCAACCCGGTGACTAAGCAGCGACCACGCCACGTTGCTGAACCCTTCTTTCCCTCCTCTTCCCGCTTGCCAGCCGTGGTGCAGTGCAGTACATGAATGAGTACCTCTCCTGCAAATTCGAGAAGCGAATTCCGTTCCCCTTTTGTTCCCACCACCCCCGGGTAATACTTTCAGACGACGCCAGCCTTGAATATCGTATTACCTACCTGCCTGGAAGCAGTATTTCTTGAATAATTCCTGCCCGCCTGCCAGAAGTGCATTACCTTTGTCATCCCGCTCCCACCACTCCCAAGATTCCCCGGCTCCGTTGTCGTCGCCCGCGCCCCTCGCTGCGGTAGAGCACACGGAAAGCAGAACAAAGCACAACGCGACTCGCCTCGACTCCCATATCAGCAGCTTCGGCTTGCGCCACCGGCTACTGTCTCTTTCGGACCCTCCTCTACTCCGTAGACATTCAACCAAACCCCAAAATTCTGGCCCGATAACCAGACCCTGTCATCCGTTCGGAGAGACATGTGTTAAGCAGCAGTTCCTCATTAGAATTAATCCCCGACTCCTTTGAGGTCAGCAGGTTTCTGCAGGAGCTTTGGGCAGCGAATACGTACCCTACGATTCACTACTCGCGCCGTCTGAGCTCTGCCGCAGCCAGAGACACGAAAAAAAAAAAAAAAAGAACAGGCCGTTCGGGGCTATTGTCTTCACTTGAACGAACCAAGTCAAAAAGTCCCTTTGGATCTCTTGACAGGCGAGCGTGTGATCGCTAACGTGGATTTACACCGTTTGCTGCTGTAGCTTCTCTCCGTCTCTCCCACTCTTGATTCAAATCACAGAGTCACAGAGGCTAGGCTTGTTTGCTGATTCGATTGACGTTACCGTCATTCGAAATCTCGAAACAGCGCTGGTCCCTCCTTGCCCGGGCCGACCCCCCTTCCATCATCACACAAAGACACGACACCCTTCACTGGTCGTCGGCATCGTTTCATCTGCCACCTGCCAATTTTCTACCGTCTTCACGACATCAACTTCGCCGCCGTTACCAGCGCGATTCCTACCTCGCTATCATTGCGCTGTCTGTCGACAATGCTCAATATGTCTGGCAGTCACATTGCGGGCAACCGCAACAGCACCCCGGAGGCCAACACCAACCCGTCTCTTCGCCCCCCCTCCTCGAGAGTTATGGGAGCCAACAGCCACCTTCGAGCTTCTGCCGACATGGCTGCGCTCTCCAACGCATCTCCCTCGAGCCGGATCCGCCCGTCGTCCGACTTCTACGGCTCTCAGCAGGGCCAGGGTCATAGTAACCCCGAGGCCGATCCCCAAGACAAGATCGCCCAACAGTGGATTGCCGATATCGACCAGTACGAGACGACTTTGGAAGAAATGGCCGCTGCTACTCTCGACCAGGACTTCAAGGACGAACTAAGTGCTATTGAGCAGTGGTTCAGGGTCCTTAGCGAGGCCGAGCGCACTGCTGCTCTGTACGCCTTGCTGCAGCAGACCACCCAAGTGCAGATTCGGTTCTTCATTCAGGTTCTACAGCAAATGGGCAAGAACCACCCCATGTCGGGCGTCTTATCCCCGGCCAACTTCGATAAAGGCACGAATGATTACACGCTTCTTACTATCCTGCTGTCCTTCGGCTAACGTGTCTATTCCAGATCCAATGTCGAACCGCCTGAGCGACGCCATGAACAAGCTGAATGTTGATTCGTCCAGGAACTCCCTCGCCCGCCCTACGAGCACTGCCACCGGCAAACGGCAATCGGGACTTGATCCTTCCACCATCAATGCAATGTTTCCTGACGCCGCCGCAGCCATTGCGACCGAGAAGGCCAAGTTCACCCAGCAGACGGGCAACCCTCCCTCGTCCAACCGCAACAGCGCTGTAGGTGATTCTCGGCAGTCTATGGCTGCTCCGACAATCGCGGGCCCTGCCGACAACCATGACTCCAATGGTCAAAACCAGTGGACTGGAGGCGATCAATCGGTTCAGGGATCTAAAGCTCCGGGTGGTCAAACCCCGATGGGTCAGTTTGTCCAGCCGCCCCCGTCGAGTGGTTTGAGGTCTCCTCGCCCGCCTCAGATCTCGGGCAACCAGAATATCCAAAACACCACTTTGACGACCAATGACAAGCCGGCAGACCTCCCTCTCCTGTCCCCCTATAACCCGAGTGGTGGTAACTGGGCGTCGATGGTCAATACTCCGCTCGTGGCGAATTTCAACGCCAATACTAGCGGTACGCAGGCCGACATGGTCGCAAATGCCACCGCGATGAAACTAGCAGCTTTGTCGACCGTTAACAATCGCTTCGCTCTTGATGATGTTCGCAAGTATCGCCGTGCCCGATCCAACGATGCTCCAGGTGCTCCAGGCCAGCAGGGTCTGCCTCAGAATGCGCAGATTCCCAATACCAACGTGGTCATGATCAACGAGCACGGCCAGGTGCTTAGTCGCGAGCAAATGATTGCTTTGCAGGCACAAAACATGGGCTTCGGCCAACATCGATCTCGACCCAGCTCGCCTGGCATTGCCATGCAGCCCGGAGGCTTCGGGCCCATGGCTTTCGCTTCTCCGCAGAACAATGGGTTCCTCAGCGCCTATGATGGCGCCTCTCCTCTTCTCAACAACGGCATCCCTTCAGTCAACGTGGGCCAGCTAGGTGTAGGAAACCACGAAGGTTACCTTTCAGACCACTCCGATATGGTCCGTGGCCGATCTCCCCGAGGTCGTAGGGGTAGCTCAAAGCCGCCTGAAGACCCGACAGACCCGACCCTTCTTCAGGATATTCCCAGCTGGCTGAGGAGCTTACGGTTGCACAAGTACACTGAAAATCTCAAAGACATGAAGTGGCATGAATTGATTGAGCTCGACGACAAGGCGTTGGAGGATCGTGGAGTCAACGCCCTCGGAGCTAGGAGGAAGATGCTCAAGGTTTTTGAGCAAGTGAAGGGTAGGTACTTTTCCGAGCCAGCTTTTCTGCGGCACCAGCGCTAACGCTATGTGAACAGAGGCCAAAAATGATGGTAAGATTGCTTAAAAAGGGATTTGACGGTTGATGCAAGGAAGATGTGTGCGCTGTTCTTACCCCTTTTGCCACACCAAGGACACACAGACACATTTAACCATTCACGCGCCCACAGGCCCAGTGGCCTCAATGTGTTGTTGGATAGACAACAAGCATAGTAAGGGGGTATAAGCATGAAAAATTGCGGGTGTGTATTTAATTAGTGGTCCGGAGGGTAGGTGAACCTCTACCAAGGGTCAGTTTTCGCTCACTCTGTGCTTCTGTACATATATAAGAAGATAACTTTACGTGTCCGGCTGCGCGCAAGGAAGCGCCTCCATATTTACAACGCGTGGCTGATGATTGTTCGTGAGGGTCTTTAATGGATCTAAAACTCAGTCGCATCGAGAAGGAGCGATCATGTCTTCGAGTGGCTACTCGCGTCGATTGTGTTAGAGTTGAATATCCGTTCTAGAACATTATCTTATCTGGATCTGCTGATCAGCGATTGTGCCACATGATTGAGTCGATTCCCTGTGAAAAGGGGGTATCGACATACACCGACAAGAAATTAAGAGTGCCATTTGCTTCAGAGGTCACATTGTTCACTAGCATTGTTACTCGCCAGAGGGGGCAAAAAAGCTGTTAGGCGAGGAGGATATGTCAAATTTACCTTAAAAGCTGAGTGGGGAACTTCGTAAATGCAAAGGTGAGGTAATTGGGTAGATACCGCGGTGCACGTACCGTTACCTTTCTTTCTGCCTTTTCCGGGATGCTTGATCAGCTTCATACTTTGCAGCTGCGACGACCTCTTCTTTCTAACTCTTGCCTTTCCGAAAGCTGTTGTGCACTTTCGGTTTCGGACACACTAGCCTGCCCAAATCTTTCGGCTACAGCTCGTTGCCAACGGCATGGTGGCGTTTCCGCTAGAGCCACGAGGCCTGTATTTATCTATCTACATTACTTCGCAGTCAATCCGCCAATTTCGGTCTGCGCGATAAGACGATTCGAAGGGACTGGGTGTTTGTCGACCACACAAGAAAGGTTGGTTATTTCCCGCAGACTCAGCCAACCACATCATCTATCGACAAGATAAATGCTCAGGTAGGAAGTTTCTAAACCGATTTTGCCGACACAGCTATTCCTGAGCGCTCTTGTCACTTGCAATCCTAACCTCTTTCAGCAGATCATTGCCCTCGCACAGCAAATGGTTCTGAGCCTTTCCGACTCATCGAAATCGGATTATTCCGTCTAGCTCTGCCATCATGGATTCAACATGGAAAGAAGTCGAGGCTGCGAACCTCGAAGACAATGCCCATGTCGATGACGACGATGATGATCTTGTATCGGATGCCGATTCAGATGAGATGGAGCTCCGAGGCGATATCGCCAAGTATGAACAGTCTGTACGAGAGTTTCTCTCTTCACATCACACTACTGGGGCCAGCGCTGGCGCTGGCATTGATGGCGATGACGGAGGATTGAGGAGGGCACCGCCGATATCAAGGAGCAAACATGCTTCGCGCTCCATCCGAGGTCCCAGAAAGGCTGCTGAGCCTAGAGGCGACATCAAGCTTCGTCTTGCGGGAGTGAACCAGGCGTTTATGAGTGGGAACTATGCCCTCGCTCGGGATCTTGTATTCGAGATCATCAGAATCAATGCCGAAACTCATCAGGCATGGACCGTCCTAGCATCCATTTTCCGGGAAGAAGGCGCGAATGACCAAGCGTTGATGGCTATGGTCATTTCTGCTCATCTGAGGCCCAAAGACTTCGCGGTGTGGATGGATTGTGCGTCCTTTGCCATGAGCCTTGCCGAAGGCGGTCAGGAAGGCGCTCTCAAGACCGCCCTCATGTGCTATTCATCTGCAATCAAGGCTCAACCAACGAGCCTTGAAGCTAGACTAGGTAGAGCCGAAGCCAGTCACCGCCAGGGCTTCTTCTCCCAGGCTATAACGGAGTTCACCTACGTCATTGAGCGCCGCCCGCTGGACATAGATGTCGTTCGACGATTGGCAGAAGCCTGCGCCGACTCTGGAGGCATGGAAGATGTCCAGAAGGCTGTCTCGGCTTACAAGACGTACTTCGCACATGCACGAAGTATTGAGCAGGAAACAGGGGGGGAACTATCATGGCACGACATCGGCATTTATGTGGAGCTCTTTGCCTGCGCTGGAGACTTCGCAAACGCCATTGCAGATCTCAAGTCGCTTTCACGCTGGCTGCTCGGACGACCAAACGACCAACTATGGGATGCTTGTTTCGATGACAGGGAGTGGGATCGCGATCATTCTCGCCGTGTCCAAATCCCCTCTTTCGACCCTTCTGCCTACAATATGTACACCTATGGCATGGGATTGCCTCTGGAATTCAGGGCCCGTCTTGCTCTATACCGGCTGAAGATCCGAGACGACGAGGAATCAGATGTATGTATACTGCTGTCTTCCAGTGGCGCAAGATGCCTCAGCATTTACTGATACCCTGCTAGCTCCATCTACAGTGGCTAGATCCAACTGAATCTGCCACGGCTACCGCTATCGAGGACTTTCCCTACCTTGTTCGAGATATTGCAGATGAACTCTGCGCCGCCCAGCGCTACCAGGAGGCACTAGATTACTACGAACTGCTGCGACATTCTGTATACGGGCAAGACGCGACCCTACTGCTTCAACTCGGCCGCTGCTACCTGAGGAAATCCGACAACGTTGCGGCAGAAGACTGCTTTCTTGTGGCTATTCAGGTCGACGAGACTAATATCGACGCCCGTTATGAACTAGCTACGATATACGAAAAGGCAAAGGAAGAAGAGGAGGCTTACATTCTCGTGACTGAAGCGATTGCTCTTCAGGGCATCAACGATGAAGGGGGTTTGGCTAGCGACAGCCGTGGAGATATGCGTGGCATTGGAAGTCACCGTTTATCAGGATCTCTAGCCTCCGGTTTGGCTGATGGCGCCAAGTCACGGCGTAGACGGGAGTACAAGCGCCGACCTGCGAACAGCGGAATTGTTCGCCCGAGATATCGCCCGAAGCGCCTGATAGCTCCCGATCAACGGATGCAGGAGGAGCGAGCCCGGGCAGATGAGCTCACAAGGCGATACGAAGTTGTGCGCAGCCTAAAGAAGGAGATTCAGGCAGGCGATCACTCCCTAATCCCAACGTGGATGGCCGCTGCTGGCGATCTTGTTGGCGAGTTTAGATCCTTCAGAAAGTTCTATCCTTGGGACAAATACCTCAAGTTTCTTGGAGCCGCCAATGATGTTGTGTTCAGCGCTTCATCCCGAACTCAGCCTGGCCTTTCTGAACTGGCCGAAAGATTGTCCAAAAGTATGCATTTGATCGCCTCGAACACTGCCTTTGCCCCTATACTAAGTTTCTATAGATATGGCACCATCTCTGACGGATGAGAGGAGGACGAACGTAACGTACGAGGACGACGGCTATCGAGGCATTCCTTTCGGCGAATGGCTCGAACTATTCCTTGACTACGCCATCAGCCTTGCCCTCGATAACCGTGCTGAAGAGGCCTACCAAGTTTGTGAAGCAGCTCGAGATTCCATCGTGTTCGTCAATTCCAAGGATTACATGTTCTTAATCCATGTCGCATGGGCGGGTAGGCCAAATTCTCTCCAATCGTGTTCGAGATGCATGACTGACTCATGGACTGATGGAAACAGCATGCGCAATATATCTTTCTGACGAAGAGATGTGTGTAGCTGTCGCTAGATTCTTTATGAAGGTACGACAGCTAGACTCGGATTCATACCGCATGTTCGCCGCATTGTGCAGACTGTGCCAATCACCGGCGTCATGGTACAATTCAGGACCTGCGCAAAAGTATATCTTACGCCAGATCAAGATCATTGATGCTTCTCACCTTGGTACGGCACAGGCAGATAGGAGCTATGACGTCTCGGTCGGCGATCGTACGAGTACTGGTGAGGCGAAACAGCTCGATACTTGTTTACTGATGCTTTATGGGCATATTCTCTTTACTTCGACCAGCTACACCTTTGCACTGAGTGAGTCAAACCAACGACTGACCTTTTCCCAAAAAGACCTTGGCTGACATGTGAACCCTTGTGCTAGATTACTTCCTCAGGGCACGAACTCTGGATCCACTGAACCCCATGATCAGTCTCAGCGTGGGGCTAGGATACATTCATCATGCTCTCAAGCGGCAGGCCGACAATCGTCAATATCTCATCATGCAAGGGTTCGCCTGCGTATTTGAATTCTGCCATTCTAAACTTTCTGGACCGCCGGAGGAGAAGAGAGAAGCCTTTTTTGGCGTGGCGAGGACTTTCCACATGCTTGGTCTGCATCATTTGGCTCTGGAGTGGTATCGAAAAGTTATTGACGCGGATGCTTCAGATGGTCTTGAGCCACGAGGAAATGCAAGCAGCCGAGATGTGATACTTAATGCGGCATACAACGAGTATGCGCTCTTGATCAGCAGTGGTAGTGTCGACGAGTTGGAGCAGTCTGTTCTACCTCGGCTGGTCCTCTAGTTTCCTACTTAGGATAAACGAAGTGGTGATCCCGCGGTTGAGAACTGACCATGTTGATTCACATCGAAGTGCCACGAGGACAAGTACATTTCTCAAGACTGTATGTTTGTGTTTCTACGCCGATTGGCTTGGATTTCGGGTTCTTTGAGTAGAAGAATCCAAGACATAAGATGCCTTATAGCAATCAGCAACAACGAGTACCTAATGCGGTGAGCCACTGATCGTTCGACATCTACCAAAGGTAAGGCAGGCGCCTACCTACCTGAGCAATGTGGCATTCACGGCCACAATGTGCCAATATTGGGGACAGAAAGGGAAGGTGGGGGCTTTTTCGCATTTTGAGCTGGAAATTTTTGCGCTAATCCATTCCAGGCACCTTCTCCAATCAACCTCTTCTCCCCTGCTGGCCTACTCAAATCACCCCGCCCTAGGCCCGATTGGGGTTGGAGGGGCATTCGACCAGGAAACTTTTTTACTTTT